AGCCAACTCCTAGGGGGTGGGGTGGGGGTTGCCTGGCCCACCCCCCAAAAAAGTTGATGGGCATTGCCTTTTAAACAGTGTGTGTGCACAGCATCATGCGATTGATTTTGTGGGGTGGGGCTTACCTCTCTCTCCCCCCCCCAATATTTTATTCACCCCTGAGAGGGAATAAATAAAGAAATAAATGATCTGAGGATGTCCTCTGCTCAGCTGCAGCCAAAGGAGCCAAAGGTGGAAGAATGAAACCCACCTCCTCCTGCCTTCTTTTCAACAACAGAGTCCTTCGAGGCAGCAATTTTTAAAAGGCAGTTGGCTATCATAAAAAAATGCCATTAATAGCAATGAAAGGCCTGGGTCTCTGCGTACACGCCCTCCCCAAATGTTAACATTTCCCTGGCTCCCTTTCCTCAGCGGCAGGTGCGTAAATGGGGGTGAAATGGGAACTTCCCCCCCCTCTTCTGTGTCTGTAAACCAAAGCTTGGTCTCTGCTCTCCTACAATGGAGTCCTGGGGGTCTGATGGCATGGGAGGGGGGATGATTGAATTAGCGGGGAGGGCCAGGGACTGCTTAGTGCCAAGATTGAAAGGCAGATATTTGCCTTTAAAAGGAATTAAGGAAAACATTAACCACTTAATGACCAGAGGGGAAAGAGCTGCTTCTTCCTCCACCACCCATCCTCCTGCTTTCCTCCCCCCCCCCCTCCAAACATCCAGACACTCGGGCTGTCCATTTCTAATTTCGAAGATGTATTTGTGCATTTGCAATGTCAAAGTTCGCTCCCCTCCGCGCAACACCGCCAACCCCACTCCATCGCCAGAGGGGCCTGGTTCAGACATTACAGAAGAGGGTTTGTATAAAGGCAACTATTTCTCTGCGCCAAATATGTACAGGGACCTTTAAGGAGAAAGGTTAGGGTGGGGGCTGCCCATTCTTCCTTTCTTTTGAGTTATCATAAGGTGCACTTGAAATTATATTTTATTGGGGAGATTTCTGCCACAAACACACATCACATAGAAAATAGAACTTTCAACGGTGTCTGCGAAGGAAGGAAGGAAGGAAGGAAGGAAGGAAGGAAGGAAGGAAGGTAGGTAGGTCAGCATCTGATGGTGGGGTCAGAGGGTGTGTTAAAAAGAGAGATAGCCCCCCCCCCTTCCAGGTTTCCCTGGGTCTCTGTTCTGACATCACCAACACTCCTTTTCTCTGCAAAAGGTCTTTGCCAAGCTGGGCCTATCTTGTTCAGATAGTCCTCTTGTTCAGACAGTCCTATCTGAAGAAGTGTGCATGCACACGAAAGCTCATACCAATAACAAACTTAGTTGGTCTCTAAGGTGCTACTGGAAGGAATTATTTTTTTATTTTGTTTAGTCCTCAAGACAGCTACTGCTACAAGTGTGTTTCCAAACTACTTAGGCCAATATAGATCCATTTGTCAAAATAATTGGTCTTCTATATGATCTTGGCAGCTCAAAGAGCAATTGCAACTCAGTTGAAAACAGCCCAAAATCTTACACTGGTACTGTTCCCTCAAGAATACAGTGGTACCTCAGGTTACATACGCTTCAGGTTACAGACTCCGCTAATCCAGAAATATTACCTTGGGTTAAGAACTTTGCTTCAGGATGAGAACAGAAATGGTGCTCCGGCGGCGCAGCAGCAGCAGGAGGCCCCATTAGCTAAAGTGGTGCTTTAGGTTAAGAACAGTTTCAGGTTAAGAACAGACGTCCGGAACGAATTAAGTACTTAACCCGAGGTACCACTGTACAGTGATAATGGATAAAATTATACATAACTTGAGATTTTAACTAGAAGCTCATTATATATATAATTTGGCATTCCTTTATGCAAGCCATTGATAGTCCTCCATGAATGTGCCTAACCCTCTTTTAAAGCCGTCTAGCCATCACTGTCTCATGTGGTAGGGAGTTCCACAGTTTAACTGTGCACCACATGAAGAAATAGAGGCATTGAGGGGCGATTGCAGAGGGATGTGGTCTCCAGGGCCAGAGGGGGAGAGAAAGAAGGATACTTCTCATCGCCTGCTGCTGCCTTGAAGGTCTGGGATGCTGGCTGTCTTGAGCCTTCTCAACTTGGCTTCGGCTCAGGAGGGAGCGCTGGATTTACGTATAAGCTAAACAAGCTATAGCTTAGGGCCCCACTCTCTTGGTGGGCCCTCCAAAAATTCACTATTAATATACTTCTTCTTAATTGTATTTCAGTTCAACAATTACTTTGATAAAATACATATTTTGTTATGTGCAAATGGCTTTAGATACCTGTCAGGTCCATAAATTACCATATAGCATATATTCAACACATAAAGCAACAGCAATTTGTTGTTGACAAAGGACAGCTGGACATAGAAAGGGCCCCATTACCTTGTTGAGGCTTAGGGCCTCAACAAACCTAAATCCGGCCCTGCCAGGAAGGTAGGAAGTGGCCTCATCCCAGATCAGACTCTTGATTCAGCAAGTGCAGGACTCTCTGCTTTGACTGGCAGGTGGCCATCTGTCATGGATGCATTAGACGAGATTCCTACATTGGGGGGGGTGGACTAGATGACTGTTGGGGTTCCTCTCAATTCTACAATTCTATGATTCAGGGCCCTAGCATGGCGGCAAGAGGCCTGCTTTGCATGCAGAAAAATCCCCAGTTCAGTGGCATCTCCAGGTCAGGTTGCCTGAAAAAAATGGAGAGTGGCTGCCAGTCAGTGCAGACACTATTGAAGTAGATGAACAAAGACTCAGAGCATAAGAGGCAGCCTCCGCCACCCTGTGCTCCTAGGTGTCAAGAGTAGGGAAGCTCCTTCCCCGTTATCTGCTCCCGGATCCCCTTAGCTAGAGGTGACAAGGCCACTCTGGGAAGCTTCACCCCAGCTGGAGTCAACCCAAGAGGAGCCCAGCTGGACGGCAGGATGCGCCAAGGAATCTGCCTCGACCTCCCAACAGGACGCTGCTGCACAGAAGGGAAGGGAAGCCTGGCCTAGTGGTTAGAGCTTCGGACTAGGACCCGGGAGAGCAGGGTTCGAATCCACCGCTCCAATGGGTGACCTTGGGGGCCAGTTCCTCCATCTTCGCCTCCCCTACCTCGCAGGGTTGCTGTAGAGTTTAAACGAGGAGGGGGAGAACCACGCACGTCACCTTGAGAGAAAAAGCTGGGCTAGATGCAAGAAATAAATGAATAAGCGAGCGAGCGATGCGCTCGCGGAGTCTGGCAGGCGTCTTAGCCTGAGAATCTACTTTATACTATCACAAATTGAGAAACTACATGCCCTGGACGTTGGGTGCCAGGCTTGGGGGGCCCCCTTCTGCCCTGCTTCCCCCACCCCCAACACACGGGACCCCCACCCCCGCGGCTGCTGCGGTTCATCCTACAACCTTCGGCAGGTCTACTCGGAAGTAAGCCACATCCTGTTGAACCACCCCAGGCGCTCCTTCCCGCGAGCCGACAGAAGCAAGCATCTCGCCATTGTGAATATATAAATCATATAGTAATGAAAATTACCCTCCCCTTTTGACCATACAGAGATTACCATTCAGAGGAGGGGACGGTAAAAAACCCCACAAGTTTTTAAATCGCTTATATTTTTTTTGTGCCCAGCCAGGTACGCGTGAACCATATTAGCCTGAGAATCGGTTTTCACCGCCCAGCTGGCCAAACGAGCCCCTTTTCGTTGCGCGCGCCCAGCTACACTTTCACGCTGCCCCGGTTTCCCCCGGTTTCTTAACAATTTGGGCAAGTTTTGCACTGCCGGGGGTTGGGCTAGATGTCCCCTGGGGTACCTTCCCGCTCTAGGATACGAAGTCCTTTCTTAGTCAACGCTGAGAAAACAAACGGGGCGCGGGAGAGAGGAGGACGAGCGCAGGATTTCGTTGCTGGACAGGTTTCAACACGGGCTCTGCGCTCGCTCAGCCCTCCGCGCAAAACAGCCCTGCAAGGCAGGCCAGGATGTTTCCCTCCCACCAGCGAAGGAGAGGGAGGCGGCCAAGGTGGATGTGTGGGTCCTTTATCATCTCCCCTTTGGACCAGAGGAGGTTGGGGGCGGGGCCAGCACGCCGGAGCCAGAGATGCTTCTGAATTCGAGTTTCTGGAATCCCCAGGTGGGGAGAGCGTTGCTCTTGAGCTCGGATCCTGCCCGCTGGCTTCCCTTTACGGGCATCTGGCTGAGCGCATTGAGGGTGCTGGAATCGGTGCACCATAGACACAGGAGCCAACGCCTAGGGGCCGAGGCCCCTTTAGACAGCCCCATAAAATATTTGAGGGGGCCGCCCACCCCAAGTTGATGGGCATCTCCATGCAAACATTGTGCGGGCACTGCGTCCTGTGACTGATTATGCGGGGTGGGGCTTACTCCATCCCCCATGTTTCCGTTCCTGACCATGGTCCCGATCCTGCAGCAGAGCTCCTCTTATATCCTTACAGCAGTGCTCCCGTCAGCAATTTCCCCTTTTTTAGGGTATGACCCGCTGCTTGCCCCTCCCCCATGAGAAAAGGGCGCTGGAAAGATGGGCCTGATCCAGCGGGCTCTCCTGGTGCCCTTAACGTTTTTAAACACGGGGAACGTGGCCGCTTGTGTGGCGAAACTTCTCTGGCAGGGAAAGCAAACGGACTCATCCTGCAGCCTCTCCTGCTGCTCTGAGGATGCCACCCGAAAGGGTTAAGGGCTGGCTGAGCGACGGCGGGAGGGAGGGAGGGAGGGAGGGGGTGGGCGGGGCGGCGGGCAGCCCCCCCTCCCTGGCCGCCCCTCCCTCCCCCCAATCGACTCCCGGCGAGATTGTCATGCAAAGGACCCGCCGCCTCGTCCCTTGTTTCCCCGCGCGCCGCCAACTATATCACCCGTCCGCCCCGTCGGTGCGCCTCCAGAGCGCAACGAGGCACCTGCAGCCGCCGCTGCCGCCGTCCAAGCCGAGGGGGCCCCCTCTTTCTCCCTCTCCCTCTCTCTTTCTCCCACCCCGGGCCTGCCGGCCACCCTGCAGATCTCCAGATCCCGGGCCCGGCTCCCCATGTACAAGATGGATTACTCCTACCTGAACTCGTACGACTCTTGCATGGCGGCCATGGAGGCGTCGGCGTACGCGGACTTCAACTCCTGCAGCCAAGCCAACACCTTCCAGTACAACCCCATCCGCAGCAGCTTCGCCGCCAGCCCGGCCTGCCCGCCGCTCAGCACCGCCAACTGCACCCTGGGCGCCCTCCGAGACCACCAGCCCTCGCCCTACGCCACAGGTAAGGGCGCCGCCGACGGCCGGTTGGGATGGATGACCTCCCGGGTACCACTCCGGCGCCAGGGCTCCAGGAGACGAGGGCTCCGTTGCCGAGGCGCGCAGGAGGAGGGCACCCCCGGCCTGAGACGGGCACGGAGCTGGTTTGCCCGGCGGGCCGGAGGCGCGGCTTCGGCCGGCCCGTGGGAGGCTCAGGCCGGCCCGCCAGCCTGGAAGCCGCTCCGGAGTGGGGTCGGCTGGTTCCAGGGGCCAGGAGCGAGGGACTCCTCCTTCGGAATATTGGGGAGGCAGAGACACCCCCCAAAAGAAGCCCAGAGTCTCTGGCTGGTTCTCACCCCGTCTCTCTCTCTCTCCCTGGTTCCAATTTTTGTCTTGCAACCCGGCCGACCCTCGCCGCTTTATTTCCTTTCCCCCCTTCGCAGAGGGTGGGGGGAGCTCGCAACCCACCAGGTATAAACCAATTTTGCAAAATGCAGTTATAAAGATATAACATTTGTGCCTAATCGAGTTAAAGGGCTCCGTCGCCCCTCTGTTCACAGCCAAAACAAATTAATGCGTAATCGGGTTAGAGCAAATGGAAGGATTAGATCAAGGAATCTAATTCGATATTTTGCAGAAATTGCTCCCAGAAAAATATATATACTATTTTTTTATGGAATTTATTAATCTGGAGGAAGGAAGCGTCCGTCGCTGGCGTTCTTTTAGGCTGGCGGGGAGAGGTTTATCTAGTTTACCAAAAAGGGCGCGATCCGGTTCGGGTTGAAAGCGTCGAGGACCTGGTATCTTCGCTGAGCATCTTCGAGTACGCTGGCCTCCTAAAGGGGATTAAAAAAAAAAAAAAGGAATTCTATATTTTGCCTTGTAGCGATTCGATTGCTATAATTTCCAAAGCAAAATTTGTAACTAACTAAAACTGTGCTGGAAATTGACGGGAGAGTTTGCGTTTACAAAGTATCTGGAAGAGAAATCCCCAGATGTGGAATTTGATGGATTAATTTGTGTTTGCAAAAAAACACAAACAAAAAACCCGACAAGGGCGAAGCATCAGATGGTATCCTAGAGACGAACAGGTTTCCTTTGCCACAGGTAATCTGTTTTGCCTTTAAGATACCCCAGAAGACGTTTCCTGGGTTTTCCTCTAAAACCCAGGCGCTTTTAAGGCAATTCTTTCCCCCACCCTGAAAGGAAATTCTGGGTTTTGCGTGACTTATCCGCGCCTACGCTTCGAAATGCGTATCGTGCGCCGGAATTACTCTCCGCGGTGGAAGGAGGACGCGCTTCTCGTTCGGCCTCCTCCTGTGTAAATGTAGGCAAGAGAGGCAAGACGCCACCCAGCAGGCCAAGAGCCCTTCAAGAGAGGCAGACGGGGTGTTAATTTCACTCACACACAAACACACGGAGAGACAGTGTGGCCTAGCGGTTAGAGTGGGAGACCAGGGTTCAAATCCTCGCTCGGCCACGAAGCTCACTGGGTGGCCTGGGGGGGGGCAGTCACTCAAGCTCAGCCTAGCCTACCCCAGAGGGTTGTTGTGGGAATTAAATGAGAAAGGGACTGAGCGCCCCCCCCCCCAGCTCTTTGGAGCGAAAGGTAAGCTAGGAATGCAGTGAATGAAACTATCAACGATAAAGATATTGTTACAAGCCAACCCAATCTCTGCTGGGCAATGCGCAAGATTCCAGGGACTCTTGACAACACATCCCTTCCGCTTTCCTCTTATTTTCCTCTGCAATAATTGCCACGGACGAATATCACGGTATCTGAAGACGTGTGAAAGCTCATACCCAGAACAAACTCTAAGGTGCTACTGGACAATTTTTAATTTATTCTGCCACGGACGAAGCGTTCTGTGTGACTCCAAACCTTGCCTACGCCTCATGCCTCTCGCGAGGAGCACGTTTGATCTGAGACCAACCCGGAATGAGCCCACCTGGGCGATATTGCGATGTAAAATCAAGAAAATTAAATACAGGACCACGACCATTTAAACTCAAAATCTCCATCTCTTTCCCACGTGTGTCTCCCCCCCACACCTGTGCTTTTTGAGGGGGGTGGGAATGCAGCTGGGTGCGATTTTCCTCCAATAACATTGTGCTTGAAAAGCCGCCGGCGCAGCTCACCATTCTGGGGGCGCTTTTAAAATGCCATTCCGGTTTGGGAGAATTTGGGCAGGATCTAATAATCGGATATCAGCCGTGTAAGAGAAGTAAGTTTTCCCCCTAAGTAAATGGGCGTCGGGGTTTGGCCTTAATGTCTCATTGAATCCGATGGGGGAGGGTGACTATATTTAAAACCTGCAGTTGAGTTTAATGGACCCGGACAGTGCCCTGATGTACCGCCTTAAAGTGACTTTGCGCTATATCGGGATTATTTCATTCCCCCTTCATTTCTGGCGCGAGCAAAACACAATCCGGATTTTGCTTCTGGAGTTACTGGTTGCAATAATAGTCGGTTTGCAAGGACCGAATGGAGGTTTCGTCAACCTTTTAGCCATTCCAACCCACTCATTCGCTCGAGATAGGAAACGAATCCGCATTTAGCAACAAGTAGGAAATTAATTCGGATTTAGGAACAAATAGGAAACGAATCCTGATTTAGCAACAAACATCAAAACATTGAGGTCTTTTGTTTTGAAGGAACAAGACTCCGAAATAAGGGAGGCGGCCCACTCCTCAAAGCGAAACCCTTGCGGTTCCGAAGCACCTTACCTGAAATTTAAATCATATGCGTTTTTACAAGGGAAACACGCCTGAAAATGAATCTAGTTTATAATGACGCGGTCAGAATGAATTCCTAGTCGATTTCAAGGCAGCTGTGTAAATGACCAAACGGTGCTTGAAATCGACCTCGGGGTGAAAAAAAGAATTTCAGTTGGCGAACCCCGAAAAGGTAACCAACAATTTGGGGACGGAGGAGTCACTTTCGTTGCTTCAGTTTAAAACAGAATGACTGGACCACCGTGGGCCGCTCAGATTTAATTCGCGTCGTTGCCAAGTCGGATGAATGCAAATGTCGAAGTATAGATGTAAAGCGGACGAGCGTTCAAGAATTCAGGAATGAAAGCAGGGGCGGGCGCGTCAGGCTTGCAGCTCTCCAGGCGACATCTGGGGAATTCATTTATTAAGTCCCCGGCTATCAGTAAATCCAACGCGGCTGCCTGCTTTTCCAGCAGTATCGCCATTTAATTTCTTATTTATTGCATTTATTTATTGCCTTTATAGCCCGCCTTTCCCCACCAAGGATAATAATAATATTTATTATTATTTATACCCCGCCTATCTCTCTGCTCCTTAATTAACCCTCACAAGGACCCTGCGGGGGAGGTTAGGCTGAGAGAGGCAATGACTGGCCCCCCGTCACCCGCACCCAGTGAGTTTCATGGCCGATAGGGGGATCGGGACCCTGGAGTCCCGGATCCTCGTCCGACGCTCTAACCACTAGGCCGCACGTTTTCTCCCGTATCCGGAGCAATAAATGCCATCCAGGGGGAATTCCACCCGCAGCCGCGCCTCAAGACCGAGGAGACCGCGATGCCTTCACTTCTCCTGGGCGCCTCTGCGGGAGAGCACTGCTCTGGGTTCCTTCCCCCAAGCGCTAGCCTAGGCCTGTCTACTCAGAAGTAAACCTCATTGGGTTCCACGGAGCCTTACTCCCCGGGGAAAGCGCGCGCAGGATTGCGGCCCAGCACGTCGCTTGAACCCAGCTGCTCAAACGGGATGACAAAAAAACGGCCCCCAGGAAATAGCTAGGAGGCCACCGATATGTAAAATTTATATTTTATATTTAATTACTTAAACAATAAACAATAGAGTCTTAAACAATAAACAAATAAAGCATTAAAATGATAAATAAAAATAATTAAAGACTCTGCCTACTGCGCAGAATGCAACGGGGGGCGGCCGCGCTCTACTCGGAAGTAAGAGCCGCTTATCCCCCACAAAAATGGCAATCGAAACCGAAAGAGAGAGAGGGTCCCGTTTGGGAATGTTCCCTCCCTCCCTGCAGCAGGATCCGACCCCTCATTTTCTTCCCAGCCCGGGCAGAGTTAAATAAACAGAGATAACCACCCCACGCCCTGGTGCCATCGCCACCCGGCAACATAACGGCACCGCTGCCTATTAAAAAATGTTCCAGAGTTTTAAATTTATTTTTTTTAAAAAAATAAAATAATATTCTTTTTTAATTTTAACAATCTAAGGACCATCCTATTTTTTTTGCATGAAAGCTCATCGATCTGCATAAAGTCCGTCTGAATTAATCCGGATTGAGTTAATCCGGTCTACATACAACCCTCTACCCAAATCAGGAGTACGACTCGCCTTTTAAGCAACGGGAGTGAGGGCGGGGGCGGGAGAAAAGGACTTCTGGCTTTGACATTCTTGAGGCCCTGCTGAGCTGCTGGACGAATATGGATCGCCTGATCTTAGATGGAAAACAAAAGCCAGTCAGGTCGAAAAGCAACCAAAATAAAGTTGGTTTAATTTATCTTTCGTCAGACATAGAATTGTAGAGTTGGGTGGGGAACCCCGAGGGTCATCTAGTCCAACCCCCTACGATGCAGGAATTTCAGCTAAAGCGTCCCTGACAGATGGTCACCCAACCTCTGCTTGAAAACCTCCAAGGAGGGAGAGTCTACTCTACAACCTCCCAAGGGAGACCGCTCCATGGTCAAATAGCTCTTACTGTCAGAAACTTTCCCCTGATGTTGAATCGGAATCTCATTTCTTGTGACTTGAAGCCATAGGTTCGAGTCCTACCTTGCAGATCAGGAGAAAACGAGATTGTTGCCTCTTCCATGTGACAGCCCTTCAGATATTTGAAGATGGCTCTCCTCTTTTCCAGTCTCCTCTTTTCCAGGCTAAACATGTCCAGCTCCTTCAACCGTTCCTCATCAGGCTTGGTTTCCAGACCCTTGATCATCTTGGCTGCCCACCTTCCAGCTTGTCAACATCCTTCTTAAATTGTGCTGCCCAGAACTGGACACAGGACTCCAGGTTGGGGCTCTGACCAAGGCAGGATAGAGCAGATTTATGACTTCCCTTGATCTGGACACTAGACTTCTGTAGATGCAGCCTAGAATAGTGTTAGCCTTTTTTGCTGCTGCATCACACTGTTGATTCATGACTTGTGGTCCACCAAGATCCCTAACTCCTTGTCCTGCTAGTAAGCCAGCTGCCCCACCCCACCCCGTTTCCAAGCACAATTCAAAGTGTTGGTGCTGACCTTTAAACCAGGCATAGGCAAACTCTGCCCTCCAGATGTTTTGGGAATACAACTCCCATCATCCCTAGCTAACATGGCCAGTGGCCAGGAATGGTGGGAATTGTAGTCCCAAAACAGCTGGAGGGCCAAGTTTGCCTATGCTTGCCCTAAACGGCCTCGGTCTAGTATACCTGAAGGAGCGTCTCCACACCCCATCGTTCTGCCCAGACACTGAGGTCCAGCGCTGGGGCCTTCTGGCAGTTCCCTCCCTGCGAAAAGCCAAGTTACAGGGAACCAGGCAGAGGGCCTTCTCAGTGGTGGTGCCCACCCTGTGGAACAGCCTCCCACCAGATGTCAAAGAGAACAACAACTACCAGACTTTTAGAAGACATTTGAAGGCAAACTTGTTTAGGGAAGCTTTTAATGTTTGATGGACTACTGTATTTTAATATTTGTTGAAAGCCGCCCAGATGGGCAGGGTATAAATAATTTATTATTTTTATTTATTTATTATTATTATTATTATTATTATTATTATTATTATTATTATTTATTATATTTGTGGATCTGGTTCTTCCTGCCTAAGTTCAGGAATGAAATCCACTCGGTTAGTTTGGGCTTCAATCTGTTAAGGTCATTTTGAATTCCGATCCTACGACATTAGCTGCCCCCTCCCCCAGTTTGGTGTCCAACCTGCAAACTGGAAGAGCACCCCCTCAATTCCTTCAGCCAAGTCATTTAGAGATGTACATGTTTTGCTCTCCAGGAAGCCCCCTTAGCCCAAAGGCCTCCGAAAGTGGCCCCGACTGAACCCCGAGTTAAGAAGCGGGGAGCAAATCGCGACTCCCAACCTCGCTGGGATCATTTTTAACATCTCCTCAGCAAAGCCAAAGGGACGACGGGGGTATTGGGCCCTGATCCCAGCGTGGATCCCTTCCCTCCGAGTCCACGTGAGCCGCGCAGAGGGATCCCAGCGGAAGCGCATCGCCGATCCAGCAGCTCCGCCTGAAGCCGAGGGAGGGATGCGGCAGGCGGAGCCCGTCCGCTTCCAAGTTAGAGCGCGGCGGGTTGGGAGGGCTTTACTCCCGAGTAAGCGCGGGTAGCGCATCTGCAAACTGGAGCCAGTTGAGGCGGTGTAAAGACAGTTGGGTTGGAACTGAAAACTCGCCGTTCTTGCGATGCGCGTTTAAGGAATCCCGATATAAGGGCTGCAGAAATGGAGTTGTCACCGCGGATTGGAGAATCTCATGACCTGGAGAAATTGGATGGAGGAAAGCTCTCCTCCTTCTCTTATAACACACGAAATCGCGGCCATTCGGTGAATGTCGGAGGATTCAGGACGCATAGCAGAAAGCCGTTCTTCAAGCAACACAGAGTTGAACCGTGGAACTCCCTGCCACTGGAGACAACGGTGGCTTTAAAAGATTCACGGAGGAGGAGAGGGCTATGGAAGGCTACTAACCAGGATGGCTCTGCTTTGCCTCCACAGTGGGAGGCGGCGATGCTTCTGAATCCCAGTTGGTGTAAAATTCAGGAGGGGTCATAGGGGGGCTCTTGCGCTCGTATCCTCCTTACAGCCCCCCCCCCATGTCTGCGGCCACTGTGAGAATCGGATGCTGGACTAGATGGGCCGAGCAGGCTCTGCTCACGTTCTCATCATCATCATCAGTTTAAACCGGAGTCACTTCGGATTCGCGCTAGCTAGCGCAAGATCGCGTCACCCAGACGTTGCTGGGCGGCCGCCCATGCAGCGCTGGGGCAGGCCGAGCAAAAGGCTTGACTTGCGGGTCTCCTTCTCCCCACCACCCGCAGATCGAGCGCTATTTGCGGCCGCGTGGGCTTCAGAATCGCGAAGCAGCTGCCGCAGGAGCCTGGGCTGACGCCTGGGGGCTCTGGAGACCCCAGCTATTCGGCTCTCCCCAACAACGTCTCGATTTTTGGTACTTTCTCTCCAGGGAGGTGTGGAAGGGGAAGGCGTCGTCCTTCTCCTTTTAGGTTTGGACTATGCAAAAGCCTTTGACTGTGTCGACCACAGCAAACTATGGCAAGTTCTTAAAGAAATGGGAGTGCCTGATCACCTCATCTGTCTCCTGAGAAATCTCTATGTGGGACAAGAAGCTACAGTTAGAACTGGATATGGAACAACTGATTGGTTCGAAATTGGGAAAGGAGTACGACAAGGCTGTATATTGTCTCCCTGCTTATTTAAATTATGCAGAATTCATCATGCAAAAGGTTGGGCTGGATGAATCCCAAGCCGGAATTAAGATCACCGGAAGAAATATCAACAATCTCAGATATGCAGATGACACAACCTTGATGGCGGAAAGTGAGGAGGAATTAAAGAACCTTTTAATGAGGGTGAAAGAGGAGAGCGCAAAATATGGTCTGAAGCTCAACATCAAAAAAACGAAGATCATGGCCACTGGTCCCATCACCTCCTGGCAAATAGAAGGGGAAGAAATGGAGGCAGTGAGAGATTTTACTTTCTTGGGCTCCATGATCACTGCAGATGGTGACAGCAGCCACGAAATTAAGAGATGCCTGCTTCTTGGGAGAAAAGCAATGACAAACCTAGACAGCATCTTAAAAAGCAGAGACATCACCTTGCCAACAAAGGTCCGTATGGTAAAAGCTCTGGTTTTCCCAGTAGTGATGTATGGAAGTGAGAGCTGGACCATAAAGAAGGCTGATCGCCGAAGAATGGATGCTTTTGAATTCTGGTGCTGGAGGAGACTCTTGAGAGTCCCATGGACTGCAAGAAGATCAAATGTAGCCATTCTTAAGGAAATCAGCCCTGAGTGCTCACTGGAAGGACAGATCATGAAGCTGAGGCTTTGGCCTCCAAGACTTTGGCCACCTCATGAGAAGAGAAGACTCCCTGGAAAAGACCCTGATGTTGGGAAAGATGGAGGGCACAAGGAGAAGGGGGCGACAGAGGACGAGATGGCTGGACAGTGTTCTGGAAGCTACCAGCATGAGTTTGACCAAACTGCGGCAGGCAGTGGAAGACAGGAGGGCCTGGCATTCCCTGGTCCAGGGAGTCGGACATGACCAAACGACTAAACAACAACAACGTCTCAGTTTTTGGTACTTTCTCCCCCGGGAGGCCTGGAAGTGGAAGGCGTCGTCCTTCTCCTTTTAGGCTTGGAGGCTTTCCCCACGCCCTTTTCCTGACACGGGGAAGTCGAAGCTGCCTTATTCAATACTGAGCCAGCCCATTGATCTACCTACCTTTATACTGCCTGCACTGGTTGGCAGCTTCTTTCCTGGGTGTCAGGCAGGAGATTCTACCCCACGCCCCCAAACCACCCAGGCCAAGCAGGTGTTTTGCCATGAGCCACATTACCCACACCCAACACACCTGTTGTATTTGTGTGTGGTTCATGGCAGAAAATTTGCTTGGCCTGCAGAAGAATTCAAGTTTAATCCCTGACCTCTAGAGTAGGTGTTGGGGGTGAGCTGAGCAGAGCTGGATAATTCCTGTTTCAGGTGTGCCCTTAAAAGCCAACCTTTCTTTCCTTTTTAAAATACATTTTTATTAATTTTTTAACATGTCATTTCCAACAGTCATTTAACATACATTCTTATCTTACACAACATTTTAGACTTCTGTCAACTACCTCTGAAGATTTTCCGTTCTTTATCACTTAATCTGCATTTCTCTATTAATTTTAATTGCCCTTAACTAATAATTCCTCTTCATAGTCTTTCTTGCAATATTTCACCTAATCTTCCTTACAAAACTCAACCTTTCTTTCCATAGTTTAAGAAATTTACAGCACGCCTGCCTATTTCAGCACATCTACTTGAGTGCGCCTGACAAACTCCCAGCAATTTAATTATAAAATATATTAAATAGTCAGAAGAGGATAAAACAAAATGATTTCTCGGTTATATTTATGTATGTCATTGATGACTGGCTTTAAACAGCATTGGGGGATATCTGAAGATGTCTGTCCAGCGGCCGCAGGTGTTGCCCAAGGAAAAGTTTCAAGACTCATTTAGCCAAAGAATTCTGTGTAACTCTAAAAGATTACATGCATTTATAAGAACAACAGCCATTGGTGCGGTTTTCATTTCTTCCACAGCTCTCCTAAGTACAATGAATTTTGAGGGGTGCGGCTGTCTTGGCAGCTGGCAGAATTGCCACATGCTTTTAAAATACCAGTATAATTTAGAAAACCTATGCATACTTCTTAATTTAACTTCCCCACTCTTCAGAGAAGTTGGTGGTTATATTATGAAGCGGTTATATTATTAAATGATTATACTATCTTAGCGGTCGTATTATTAAGTTGTTCCCCTAGCGATGGTCGGTGACACACATTTGCACCTTCACTGTAATTATGCAAGCATCAGCTTGGGTACCAGTTTTGCAGTTTAGCATCTCAACTTTTAAAATTTATTTCTTCTATTGATATTGGGGGTGGGGAAGGGACCCTTCCCCCCCACAAACATTGAGCTCCGGTCAGTTTGCAGGATCCTATTCTGAACTCTAAGCCACCTGGTTGGTATGATTCCTAATACTTAGTGCTTATATTATTGATTGCCATCATTGTGGTTTATTCAGCGTATATCCTGCCCTTCCCCTCAAACGGAGTCCAGGGTGGCAAACACATATTTAAAGCACCATCATTAGAAAACTTCTAAGAACAGCTTTAAAACAATCACATTTTCCCAGCTGACAATTTCAGGGTTGCTAGGAACAGTATCCTTCGGCCACCAATGAGAGACGGATGCACCTTGCCAGGGAAGGCAGTCCACAAATGGGGAGCCACCACTGAAAAGGCCCTGTCACACAACCCCCAAGGCCTCACCTGCCAATGATAATAATAATACTAATACTACTAATAATATTAATAATAATTTATTATTTATACCCCGCCCATCTGGCTGAGTTTCCCCAGCCACTCTGGGCAGCTTCCAACAAAATATTAAAAATACAATAAAACATAGGATCCAATATCCAATTACGTAGCTATTTGTGTCCCAAGTCATTTAGAGCTTTGTATGTTAGTCCTGGGACGCAGGTGGCGCTGTGGGTTAAACCACAGAGCCTAGGACTTGCCAATCAGAAGGTCGGTGGTTCGAATCCCCGCCACGGGGTGAGCTCCCGTTGCTCGATCCCTGCTCCTGCCCACCTAGCAGTTCAAAAGCACGTCAAAGTGCAAGTAGATAAATAGGTACCGCTCCGGCGGGAAGGTAAACAGCGTTTCCGTGCGCTGCTCTGGTTCTCCAGAAGCGGCTTAGTCATGCTGGCCACATGACCCAGAAGCTGTACGCCGGCTCCCTTGGCCAAGAAAGCGAGATGAGCGCCGCAACCCCAGAGTCGGCCACGACTGGACCTGTTGGTCAGGGGTCCCTTTACCTTTACCTATGCTAGTCCTAACACTGTGAATGTCCCTGGTAGCTCAGTGTTTACAGTGTACAAAGTGCTTTACACAGAGAGATTGTTACAAGAACCCTGTAAGGTAGGATCATAGAATTATCTCCATTCTGTGGATTTGGGATGGTGGAACGTGAGGCAGTGACTTGCTGAAGGCCACCTTCTCATTTTACAGTTGAAGCCAAAGGGGATGCAGAGGGGAACCTCAGTTACCTTCCAAGCTAGCCTACCACAGCATGGAGCTCCCCAGCGTCCTTGGAACTACAACTTCCATAATCCCCAGCCTTGGCTGTTCCAACTGGGGCTGATGGGAATTGCAGTCCTGAACATCTTGTGGGGCACCAGGTTGGGGAAGGCTGCTCCCAACCCGCAATACTGGAAATGGACAAGGGGTGAGCTCAGCAGCACAGAATCATAGACTTGCAGAGTCGTAAGGGACCCCAAAGGTCCTCTAGTCTAACCCCTTGCAATGCAGGAATGCCGTGGGCCACTGTGCCACTCTCATGCCACGTGACCCCGTCTTCCTCCTTCTAAATCAGGGGCTCTTTCTCTCTCCTCTCTCCTCAACCAGTTCCCTACAAGTTCTTCTCGGACCCTTCCACCATCAACGAGAAACGGAAGCAGCGCAGGATTCGCACCACGTTCACCAGTTCGCAGCTGAAGGAGCTGGAGAGAGTCTTCGCGGAGACCCACTACCCTGACATTTACACCAGGGAAGAGCTGGCCCTCAAAATAGACCTCACAGAAGCCAGGGTGCAGGTGAGAGGCTTTTCCTGGCAGCTACAATGCTGACCCCTTTTTTAAAAAGGGGAAAAATAATAATCATTTTCCTGGAGATGGAGGAGGGGGGACAGTGGCTGATCTTCTGAAAGCCCCAATTGCTCTGAGCAATTTATTTATTGCATTTAAATTAAATAATCTTAGAACCATAGAGTTGGAAGGGACCCTGGGGGTCATCTAGTCCAACCCCCAGCAGTGCAGAAATCATTTGGCCAATATGGGCTGAAACCCACGTCCCTGAGATTAGGAGTCTAGTGCTCTACCGACTGAGCTATCCCAGGTCTTCTTTATTGTGTTTATATCCCAACTTTCCTCCAAGGCGCTCAAAGGTGGGGGCATAATCCCCCTCCCCATTTTATCCTCACAAAAACCCTGTGAGGTAGGTTAGGCTGAGTGGTCTTAGGTCACTGTGTGAGTTTCATGGCCCAGTGGGAAATCGAACACTGGTCTCCCAGGTCCTAACCACTATCAGGGCCGGATTGAGGTTTGATGAGGCCCTAAGCTACTGAAGGTAATGGGGCCCTTTATATGTCCAGCTGTCCTTTGTCAACAACAAATGTTTTTTGTGTTGAATATATGCTATATGGTAATTTATGGACCTAATAGGTATCTCAAGCCATTTGCACAGGTTGCCCTGCAACCAATCCATGCAGAATGTAGGTACCCTATACATAGAAAGGAGCAAAGCAGTGATATTTGAGGGAGCAGGCTAGCAGGCGGGGCCCATGACTTACATCACAGGAGCCTACACAACACAAAACACTGTTACTGTATGTAGGTTTTATTTTATTTGTTTTTTATCTTATATTTGGAAATGCACATCCATTTTTTCCCTTTAATTTATTTTGGGGCCCCCAAGAGAGTGGGGCCCTAAGCTATAGCTTGTTTAGCTTATATGTAAATCCGGCACTGACCATTATGTCATGCTGCCTCTCATTTCCCTGTGGGTCACTGCAGAGAAAGCCTACCTTTCTCAATATTGTCTCCCCCCTGTGGTCCCCAAACCTTTTTGAACCCCTGCCCCCTTGGTTCCATTAACTCGTCCCCAGTGCCCACTATTCTACCCCTTTTTTAAAAAAAAGCATAACTCAGAATAGCAGTTTCCACTAAGGAAGGTAAGAACACACTAAACTTCAAAGCAGTAACAATTAATGGCACATTTATGCAAAATCCAGTTTGTCAAAGTTGGATAGCCATTTTCACATCAGTGCCCCCCTCCTGCTGCCCCCTTGCCTCTTAGCATTCCTGTAGGTACCAGCCCCCCCCCCACTTTGGGGTCCAGTCTGAGCCTCTGCCAGCCCTTCCAATCCCGCAGGCGATTGGACTTGGCACCTTCTGCATGCAAAGCTGCAGCCCTGCCCCTAAAAATAAATTTCAATATTCTAGTCCTCATTGTTTGGGGTGCGGGGGGGGGGGGAGAGCTGAATTAAACAGGAAGCTGCCTTATACTGAGTCAGACCATTGGTCCATCTACCTTAGTACTGCCCACACTGACTGGCAGCAGTCATTAAGCACCTTTAGGCGCCAGGAGAAAACGTTCCCATTCCACCAGGCATTGGGCTGTTTAACGTCTTGTATTCCTTTTTAAGGACTTGGGTGGTGCTGTGGGTTAAACCACAGAGCCTAGGACTTGCTGATCAGAAGGTCGGTGGTTCGAATGCCCGTGACGGGGTGAGCTCCCGTTGCTCAGTCCCTGCTCCTGCCAACCTAGCAGTTCGAAAGCACGTCAAAGTGCAAGTAGATAAATAGGTACCGCTCCGGCGGGAAGGTAAACGGCGTTTCCGTGCACTGCTCTGGTTAGCCAGAAGCGGCTTAGTCATGCTGGCCACATGACCCGTAAGCTGTATGCCGGCTCCCTCGGCCAATAAAGCTAGATGAGCGCCGCAACCCCAGAGTCGTCCGCGACTGAACCTAATGGTCAGGGGTCCCTTTACCTTTATTCCTTTTTAGATGTGTTTGTGGGAGAGCATGCGGAGAAGGCGTGGGTGCTGGTTTTAGTTTCTGCTCTTGTTTCCGTTATGTATTTTCACAGAATCATAGAACGGCTGAATTGTAGAGTTGGAGGAGATCCTGAGGATCATCTTGTCCAACCTGCTTCAATGAAGGAATCTCATTTGAAAAGGCCTTCTTCTCACCTATCCACAGCTCCCAAAAGCGGGCACAGATCTGGATTAAATGTGCCTGCGGCGATTTATATGCAATGATGCAAATTTTGGAACAATTACGAGAATTACTGATCAAAAAAGCTTTAGTATTTTTATGTTGTGAACTGAGATCTACAGATGAAGGGCAGTATAATAATAATAATAATAATAATAATAATAATGAAATAATTTCAGGCAGGGAGTCTCTCCTAGCCCTAACGGGAGTTATCATTGGGGATCCAACCTGGGACGTTTTGCATGCCAAGCAGCTGTTCTGCCACTGAGCTGCAGCCCTGTCTTCCCCTCTCTCCCCAACCGCAATGCCTGCTTGTTGTTCACCTGCCCTCCCCTCCTCCTCCTCCAACCCAGGTCTGGTTCCAGAACCGCCGTGCCAAATTTCGCAAGCAGGAGCGGGCTGCCAACGCCAAGGGCCAGAATGGCAGCAACGGCGGCCCCTCGGCCAGCAAGAAGCCGGACCCCCGCTCCTCTTCGGAGGACGACGAATCCAAGGAGTCCAACTGCAGCCCCACCCCGGACAGCACCGCCTCCCTGCCCATCGCGGGCAGCCTGAACAGTCCCGGCAGCAGCCTGAGCCCCAGCCCGGGCACGGGGCAGCAGGGGCTGGGGCCTGGCCACGCCAGCCAAGCCCTCAAGGCGCCCCTGTGGGCCGGGGTCAGCACCAGCAACGGGCCCACCAACACGGCCGACCTCCTGAAGGCCTGGCAGCCGGCCGAAACCATGTCGGGCCCCTTCTCTGGGGTCCTGTCCTCCTTCCACCGGAAGCCCAACCCCCTCAAAGCCAACCTCTTCTAACCGCCTCGGACTGAGCGCCACCAGCCTCCTCCGCTGGGTGCCCCACAGAATAGCTTCCCCTCCACCCTCCTCCGCTCCTCCTGTAGCTGCTAGTTTTCGTCCTGCGGGGCGGGGCCCGGCTCAACCTTAAGGGAACAACAGCCATCATCTTGCCGTGTCCGGGCAACCACGAATTTGTCTCGCTGAGCTGGACGGAGTCCTCTTCTCCCAGGCTGCGAATGGCAGGTCTCGCCAGTCACCCTGCCTGCTCAAGGCATCACCCGTTTCCCAACTCTGTATGGAAAAACAAAGTCCTGCTTGCATCAGGTATTGGGAACATCTGCGCAGGCCCTCCAGATGTTGCTGTACTACAAATCCCATCATCCTAGCTGCTGGGAGTTGCAGTTCAGCAAGCATCGGTCTGAAGGGACACAGCTGCTCCCAGCCCTGGTCTCCAACCTTGGCTGATTTCTGTGTGAGAGATTTTGTCCTCAAGAGAAGAGAATTTGTTTCCTTTTCCTGATGTCAAGTGATTCTGAGCGAGGAGTCCCTCCTGACCCCAGCTTTTTTCACGAAGGGTCTCGCCAGCCAGCGGTCACTGATGACGATGTGGAATCTAAGAGCATAAGGGCTTTGTTACAGTGGTTTTCCCCGTGCTTCACCGTCTCTGCAGAAAATCAAGTTTGGCCAAGTGGACATCAGTGAGCAAAGGAGGGAATAAGCAGAAAGGAACTCTATTTATATCATTTCCAGAGGGGGGGTCAGGTAAGCAGCAAGTGATGGGGGACGTGAGCTCTGCTTCCTTTTCATGAACTCACCAGGAATTTTGGGCTGGAGTCGAGAGACCGAGTAGAAATGTGGGGAACACTGGACCACCCCACACAAACTGGAGGGATGATCTCCCCCCTGCCCTGCAGAATTTCCAGGCGTCTTTATTTACTTCTTTCTGAGACTTTGGAGCTTCCTTTTGGCTTATGGACACTCGGCTGCGTTTGCAGCTCAGGTAGGAACTCCCCGCTGCAGGAAGATGGAGATGGAATTTGTAAATTGTTTGCATCCCCCAGTACTTTTCGGACCTGACCTTTTTCCCAAACGGGAGGCCAGTTTTGTGAGCCATCCGGTCACCCCTCCAGCCTGCTGCCTCTGGAATAAAGGACAGCACTTTGGTTGAGCAGCCCAACTGGAGAGAGAAGGGGAAATTTGGGGATATTTGGCAGACCAGGATTGCAGGCTGGCCGTATGGTCTCCTTGATGGCCATCATTCTCTCTTGCAAGGGGGTGTCAGACCTGACGCTGTCCGGTGAAAAGGGGGCAAGCCTCTTTGGGGCAACATGTATCCCTTTCCTGACGCCGCTGCCTTTGCTTGCTTGCTATTGGTGAGAATTAGTGGATCTCCGTCAGATCCTGAAGGAAGACGGATGAGCTCTTTATGCTGGAATTTCCAGTGTCTCTCTGCAAATCTTCAACCCACGAGAACCATGCTCAGAGGGGCCTAGGCAGAAGCAGCCACCCAGCGCTCGTAGAACCTCTTTGCCCAGAGACGGTTGGGCCTGACAATTTGCCTTGCTTTAGCCATAAGGATCAAGGGATGTCCCCATGAGACCTTGCCCAGAGCAGGTGGTGAGATGCCAGCCTCTGTTCGCATTGGCAAACCCACCCACAGAAAGTGTATTCCACGGACTATGTAGATAAGACTGTGCCTCCGGGCTTCTAAGAGACACCTGTCCATATGCACACAGCCTCTCAAGTAGCTTTCAATGTTGAGAAGGTCTTTTGTCCTCCTGAACATAGGATCTCACCCTGCAGTCCCTGGCTGTGTGCAGATTGTTGTTTTCAAAAAGAGCAAAACAAACAAGATCAACGCTGCAGGCCCCTTCCTCATCCTTCCGACCCCATTTAAGTGGCAGTGACCCAGCCCCACCTGCTCCCCCACATCTCACAAGTGGAATTGACTAGTCTGCAAGTAGCTTCCGGACCAGTCAATTTCCCTCTGGAGAAAGGAATCCGGGGAGGAGTGGTGGTGGTGGTGGCAAGAACTGGATTGATGTGGTAGATACAGCCCAGCACTGGTTTGGGTTATCCCCACCCGCAATTGCAAAGGGCTGCTTGCGCAGATGAGTGAATCAGCACTCGGATGAAGTTGCCTTAAATCAATCTCCCCCAACCTGGTGGCACTTCCTGGAGTTTGGGACTACAACTCCCATCAGCCCCAGACTTCTACAGCCATGCTCACTGGGACTGATGGGAACTGTAGTCCAAAACACCCCCAGGTTGGGCGAGGCTGCCTTATATCGAGCCAGACCACGACTGCTTTGGAGTCTAGGGTCACATGTTGCTAAGATACATGGAGACACCTTTCCTGGTTCTGCCGCTTTTGGGAAAACCCGTATCACTGGAGCAGGGGATGAGGAAGATGTGGTCCTCTGGATGTGGGTGGGCTGTTGCTATCAGGACTGGTTCACCTTTAAGGAAACCAGGTGCCACCAGATGCTGATAAGATTCTGAGCCCAGGCACGGGGCGTTTGAGCTCCACGGCACTGAGTGGGCCCCACATCTCACAACTCAGATTTGGGGGTTTCCAGCCTTGCAGGCTTTGTAGCTTTTCCAGCTGCTAATGGCCCCATCCTGTGGTGGTCCAGTGTGCAGGGTGAAATGGAGGAAGCTCTGTGGCCATTGTGCCAGTTCACAGGTGGCACAACCCACCTGAGGCCCAGTGAAAAGACAAGGCAAGTGTGCGAGAACGCAGGAGTGCCCTTGCACAACTCTCCTCCAAGTCAGTGGGCCAGGAGAACTTCCTCACGGGTCGTGCCCAGGATGCCGCCACAACTGAGGAAGGTGGCAAGGTGGCATTTGCTCAAGCCCCAAGATGGGCTGGAGAACGAGTCTCTTTTATGTCACATAATGTTCAAAGGAGGATTTCGTGTTCGTAGCTAAGCTGTTGGGGGAAAAATGCATTCCAGGTTTTCATTGTTAGAGAAAGTCTTTTCATGAAATGGTGGCTTGCGACATGTGTCTCAGAATCTCCGGAGTGTATTTTGCAGCGAGGGGAGAAGTGTGGGGGCAAGTAGTTCTGTTGCACCCCTGTCCTGACCCACGCCCCTTCCCATCAACAGATATTTCGGCTTTATATCCTGCAGACCCTTTCAACACTTGGGGACCTGCAACCTCTAGCCAATTACTTCTTAATGCAGCGCATAACTGGACTGTGGAACTCCTTGCCTCAGGAGGCAGCGATGGCCACAAACCTGGATGGCTTTGATATAAGAGGAAGAGGCAAATTCATGGAGGAGACTGATATCGATGGCTATTTGCCAGGAGGGCTGTTTTGTCTCCAGAATCGGAGGCAGAAATGCTTCTCAACGCCGGTTGCTGGAAACCACAAGAGGCAAGAGTTGCTCTTGTGCTCAGACCTTGCTTGCCAGGTTCCCACGGGCATCTAGTAGGCCCCTGTGAGAACAGGATGCTGGAATAGATGGGCCACCGTTGGCCTGATCCAGCAGGCTATTTTCAAGTCATAGGGGAGAAATTTAAGCAGGCTTTGCAACAGGTGGGATTCAAGATAGCAAAACTCCAAGTGCTTCACGGCTGGTTTCATTGGGGCTCAGTGATGATTGGTTCTGTGTTGGCAGGTGGGCTTCTGTTCCATTATTTAGGTGTCTAGGCCTTCTTGGGGTCCCCCCGAGGTCCCCCTGAGGTCATTGTGGAACAGCAACAGTTGGGGGGGCAGAAGCATGGAACTGCCACCACATGCCATGGCCCAGTGAAGTCCTTACGGGAAACCTGGGCTCACAGCCCCACCCAGGTCTCCCGGCTCCACGTGGCCTCAGTAACGCCAGGGCTGGGGGAGCTGCGGCCCACCCCTAGCTGGAGATGGAAAGGCGGCAATGGCCGCCGTGTGGCACCAGTGTAGGAAATGATGCAATTTTAGGACTCCCTGAGCCATGGGGGAAAAGGGTTCCAAACCTCCCAAAGGAAAGATAAACAGCAGGTTCAGCTTGCAGTGCTCATCTGGGTTTTGGAGAGAGGGGCAACAGGTTCAGGCCCAAAAGGAGGGCGATATGGGGAGCATCAGGATGGCAACGTACGGAAATGTGGGGCTTTAGGAGCCGGCAAGCGAGCGGCACCTCCTGCTCAAGAGTGGGTGCCTTTTGGGGCCAGACCGTAAGGGAACAAGGGGCACCCCCGACTCCACGAAAGGGCAGCTTCCAAGTCCCCAGGGCTCAGCTCTGTGGCTGCTTGTCAGATGATGGTTCTCCAGGCTTTGTTTTGCTTGTTTTTTTCATTTATTATTTTTTAAAACCAACAACTGTTCTGTAATTTATTGAACTCATTTGCAAAATATGCTAATCTAAATAAACTTAATTTATTGAAGAACTTCCACGAGTGCGAGTGCTCCTTTTGAGAGAAGGAATTCTGGGGGGGGGGGGGGAATATTTGGCGAGACCGAAGGCAGCCTAAGCCCCAGCCCTGAGAGCAGGAAGAGGGGACTTCGAAACACCCTGGCCGGCAGGGAAGAAGCCACAGTATCCCTCTGCCCAGTCTCATAATCCAAACGCCAATTAAAATGGTGTATGCAAAACTGCAACACTTTCTGCTGGGGCGCCTCCAAGGCCCTTAGGATTGGGTCCCTGGCGTGGTCTGAAGTCGCAGAGAGCCAGCGCCTTGGCTGGAGTAAAGAAGGTCTGAGAATCAGATGCTCAACACCTTGGGCCCCATGGCAGAGATAAATACAGTGGTACCTCGGGTTAAGTACTTAATTCGTTCCGGAGGTCCGTTCTTAACCTGAAACTGTTCTTAACCTGAAGCACCACTTTAGCTAATGGGGCCTCCCACTGCTGCCACACGATTTCTGTTCTCATCCTGAAGCAAAGTTCTTAACGCGAGGTACTATTTCTGGGTTAGCGGAGTCTGTAACCTGAAGTGTATGTAACCTGAAGCGTATGTAACCTGAGGTACCACTGTACATGAAAATGGCATACAGTCAAACCTTTGACCCTACCCCACAGCTAGCAAGGGGGTGGGGAAGAGTGTCTTCCCAGAGTCTGTGTCCTGAGTGGGCCTTGCCCATCGAGAAAGGCAGAGAGCTTAAAAGCTCTTTCCACATTGGGGAACCCCAGGCAAACCCAGGGCAAAAAGTGTTTTTAAGTTCTCCTTCTTGCTTGGATTTAACTTGCACAATTCCAACCAGCTGGCCTCCAACTGCGCACGCCTGGAACTGCGCAACTTAAACGTGCCTGAGAAGCGATTCATCCTGCCAATAAAAACGAGAGGAGGAAAAGAAGACAGCGAGATACACTTCTTTAAGCAAACAAGCCCTTTTATTGTGTCAGGATGGAGGCAGTGGCAAACTAAGGACATGAAATGCAAACACAGGGGTTTGTTTTTTGGGGGGGACGAGGGCAAATCATCGCGATTCCTGGTTCAGCCCATGAAACAGTAAGCGTATACAAAGTGTCCCAAACGACAATTAAATTAAAACATTAAAACAACAAGAAGTACATCTATAAAATACGGCACAGTAGAATTTAGTAGGGTTAGAACTCACACCAAACGCTAATAATGAAAATAATGATAACTGAACCCACACCTGGGAGCAAATTTTGCAGGAGGAACAAAACACACACAGAGAGAGATCCTTCATTTTAATTTCAGAGAGCTGCTCCTTTGCCGAGGTGTGAAAATGTCCCAGACGGTCTCTGGCAAAGCGGTTTCCTTGAAACCTCCTGAACGTAGGAGAGCTCCCTCACCAACAATATTATAAAGTAAGGCACTGGGGTATTAGAGCAATTACCCAAGGGGGAAGGTTGAGCAGAAGCTGAGGCTGGAACCCAGAACTTGCTTCCTGACTTCTGCAAGTCTCTCTTACTGTCAAGATCCAGGTCCCCGCCCTGGATCTAAGGAACGGTCTCCGTGCAGGCACCGAGGTTTGCATCCGTACGGGAGAAAGGCATCGCGTGAGCCGCCTTCCTCGGATCAAGGACAAAGAGTAAGCAAAACAAGGAAACTTCGTGGGAACAGCTGACTCTGGTAAAAGACGCCGGGCTCAGGGGAAAAGTGAGGAGGACAACATCTCACTTGTACACCCCGGGTCACGCGTGTGTCTTCAAGGTCTGCAAAGGAGGGACCCCTGGGAAGAAAGGCGGCAGGGGCTGCTGAGGTAGACTCCAGCCCCAACCAATACACGCAGGGGCACAGCCAGGAACTCTCGCCTGCTGACCTGATCAAGACACAAACCGTGCGGCGGGGAGAAGCGTGGGAGCCGCTCCCCAGAGCAGTGTTTCTCAGACTTGGGTCCCCAGCTGTGGCTGGACCATAGCTGTCAACTTTTCCCTTTTTTTAAAGAGAAATTCCCTTATTCCGAATAGGATTCCTCGCAAGAAAAGGGAAAAGTTGACAGCTATGGGCTGGACTACAACTCCCATCATCCCTGCCTACTGGTCCTGCTAGCTAGGGACGATGGGAGTTGTAGTCTAAGGCCAGCTGGGGAACCGAGTTTGAGAAACACTGCCCCAGATAGACTGATCTCGCACCTCTCTCTCTAGCAGCAGAGGTGAGCCGTTCTGCATTTGTCCCGCCTTGCAGAGGCATCCCATGTGCCCCCATTGGCTGGCTCCACTTGATTGGCTGCTCTGGGGAGCTGCTTGCTTACCTGGCCCCTGCGTTTGAATGAGCTTCGCAATCTCCGCAAAGCACCCCTGCAGGATTTGCCCGGCAGACTTTCTTGCCAGGGGCAAAGCGAGGCTTTCATTTCACCCGGGTCAAAGACTCAAGTTTGGCACACACCCCTGTGCACATTTGCATGCGCACACAGGCTGGGGGCCTCAACGCCGACCCTCTGGAGGCTTCATCTGGGGCAAAAAACCTGGCTAGTTGCCCCCCCACCCCCCAAGCTACAGCTCTGGCCTTGCTCAGACGTTTGGGGCTACCTGAGGTTATTTTGCAGATTGTCGTTCACGGGGCTGTTCAGACACTGTGCGAAGAGCTGCAGGTGGGATCTGTTTAAGGCTGAACGCTTAGAAAAGCAAGAGGCACGTGAGCAAACACCTTGGGCTGCCCGGTGAGCCCCTGAAGGTTGCATAATATTTCTTGGGAGGCAATAAACAGCCTTGAGAGGAAGAAGAGGGAGGGCTCCCCACCGCCCCACTGAAGGCTGGTCACGGGAAGGAGACGCCTTTCCAAGCGGGACGATGCAACAAGAGCGTGACGCAGATCCTTTCTGGGAAGCAACCCAGGGCTGGAACGTCCCTTGGGCGGCAAAAATAATTCCCCAAGGCTTCTGGAGGGATTCCGGGGCAAGGAGAGATCTCCGTTTGCATTGCCCCAGAGAAAGCCGGGCCTAGACAGCAAGGAGGCCAGAGTCAATCTGAAAGGCTCCCGAAAGCAGTTCCTGGGTCAGAGAGAGACACAAAGCCAAGACCCACCAGCAGAGCAGAACACAGCCGGCAGATTTGTCCCCACACCATCCACCCCCCGCCCATTTCAGGAACTCCCGCCCGATAAACCAGAGTTGGTCCAGAGGCACATTGAGGGCAGGAGAGGGGAAAACGTGGTTCTCTGAAAGGAAGAGCAAAACAAAACAAAAAAGCAAGGATCCTTCTTTCGCTGTAATAAATAAGAATAATTTAACCAGCAGCACAGAGAGGAGGAGGAAAGGGGTTGTGGGTGGAGGGGGAGAGAAAGAGGAGGGGAGGGGCGTTTAAGGGTGCTGATCTGAAATGCTTAGCCTGGACCACTTGCGCTTCCCCGTTCCCCACCTAAGAGGGTCCCGATCCTTGCAGGAGCCAAGGAGGGGCGTGGAAGCGCCAGCGCTGGGTCTTCGGCAACCTCACAGTCGGCTCCAAGTCTCAGGGACACCTTTGGGGTGTCCGTCTGGCTCTGCCATCGTCCCTCCCCTCCGGGGGGCTGGAGGAGGGGAGACCTGCTCCGTGATGCTCTGCCAGCCGCCCCGACATCTCACACGTGGCACAGGGTGGGCGAGAAGGAGAAGGGGCTCAAAACCAGAAGGAAGGAAGGAAGGAAGGAGGGGGGTCCTGGGGGGGGGCAGGGAGATTCCTGCTACTTCCTGAGCCTCAGGCTCTCAAGGACAAGGTGCTTGTGCTTGGGGTCTATCACGCCAGCTTCTTCCAAGTCCTCGTCGGTGATGTCGCTGCAGGGAGCAGAGAAAGAGATTCAGGGCTCAGAAACCAGGAGGTTCGGTGGACTGCGCCCCAAGATGCCATCCCGGAGAAAGGTCGGAGGACCCCCTGACTCATGACTCAAGGGCCCCCCTAGGCAGGAGCTTCTCCCCATATGAACCACCTGTCTACCAGCTCCATCTGGTACGCCGGCTGAGACCCTCCCTGCCCGCAGACTGTCTCGCCAGAGTGGTTCATGCTCTGGCTGTCACTGAGAAAGATGGTCCAACTTTGGGCTGGAAGGAATTTCCTCCAAGCTCTCCTGTAGGGAACGGATGCTGCACAGAGTGGGGAACGAGTGCCCCCCGGTGGCCAAAATAATGCTCTGCAGCACCTGAGAAAGCACACCCACTGATGCTGACACCCCCTCCCACCCCCATGGCTGGGACCCCTCCTCTTCTGATATCCCTCCAGGGGTTTTCTCACATTTGATGCTAACCTCAAGCTCCCAGGCCTCATTTCTCTCCACTCCTAACCCTGCACCTCTGTTTCCATCCTCCCTTTCTACCAAGGTATTATCTCTGCCCAGAGGAATGACGCCTTTAAGCCCTTAAAGGTAAAGGGACCCCTGACCGTTAGGTCCAGTCGCGAACGACTCTGGGGTTGCAGCGCTCATCTCGCTTTATTGGCCGAGGGAGCCGGCGTACAGCTTCCGGGTCATGTGGCCAGCATGACTAAGCCGCTTCTGGTGAACCAGAGCAGCGCACGGAAACGCTGCTTACCTTCCCGCCAGAACGATACCTATTTATCTACTTGCACTCTGACATGCTTTCGAACTGCTAGGTTGGCAGGAGCTGGGACTGAACAATGGGAGCTCACCCCGTCGCGGGGATTCGAACCGCCAACCTTCTGATCGGCAAGCCCTAGGCTCTGTGGGTTAACCCATAGAGCCACCCGCGTCCCATTTAAGCCCTTAGTCGCCTCCAAAAGTCCTTTCCCCCAGACCTGATCCACCCTCAAAGGCTTTCCCAGGCCCTTGGCTCAGACTATAACTATGATACTCAGTGACCACATGCCTCAATATTTGTGTAAGGAGTGAAATCATACTACATAGCAAAAAAAGTGGTCCATCGAGCTCTGCCATTTGATACTAATAATAACAATCAATCAATCAATCAATCAATCAATTTTTGTATCCTGCCCGTCTGACTGGGTTGTCCCAGTCACTCTGGGCAGCTTCCAACAGGGTATACAACACAACTGAACATCACACATTAAAACCATCTTGATAACAGGGCTGCCTTGAGGGGTCTTCTAAAAGTCAGGTAGCTATTTATCTCCTTGGCATCTGGTGGGAGGGCTTTCCACAAGGTGGGTGCCGCTACTGGGAAGGCCCTGTAACCTCACTTCTCACAGTGAGGGAACTGCCAGAAGGCCCTCGGCGCTGGACCTCAGTTTCCAGGCTGGACAATGAGGGTGGCAGACACTCCTTTAAGTATACAGGGCCGAGGCTGTTTAGGGCTTTCAAGGTCAGCACCAGCACTTTGAATTGATATTTATAGCTGGAGAAATGTAGTTTATGCAAGATCTCTTCAACGAAGACAGTTTGCCAAACCCTTGAACACAAAAACACAAGAAGAGCCTGCAGGGTCAGGCCAGTGGCTCTCTCCCGGTATGCCCCACGGAGGACCTTAAGGTCCACTTTGGAGGTCCCAGGCACTAAGGAAGTCAGATTAGCCTCAACCAGAGCCAGGGCCTTTTCAGCACTGGCTCCGGCCTGGTGGAACGCTCTGTCTCATGAGACCAGGGCCCTGCAGGATCTGATTTCTTTCCACAGGGCCTGTAAGACAGAGTTGTTCCGCATGGCCTTTGGCTTGGAATCAACTTGATCCCCTCCCCCTCTTTCCTTTTTCCTTTCCCCTCCTGTGATGGAACTCCTATTTGGGGACTTCCCTGGCTTCTTTTCTGGCCCACGTAGGACCAGTCTGGATAGTTGGCCTTGGTGAAGACTTGACGTTTTCATCCCCAAAAAAGTTTTTGATTTGAGTTTCCATTGAAATGAGGCTGTATTTTAATATTTTAATGTTTTAATGTTATCTTTTAATCTTGTTTTTAAGTTGCATTTCAATCAATTTGTTTTATATCGGGTGTTAGCCGCCCTGAGCCCGGTCTTGGCTGGGGAGGGCGGGGTATAAATAAAAGTTATTATTATTTATTATAAGGAAGGGAGACTCACCTGAGGAACTCCAGGTCGTCCCAGCCGTTGTGGATCAAGCCCTCTTCGTATTTCTCCATGCCAATCGCTCTCAGCCACTCGCCCACACTGGACTCACTCTGCCTGGAGCTGCTGCGGCCGTCCTGGCTAAGGGTCTGAGGGGCGGCAGAGGGACAGACACATCAGACAAAGGAAACTGACAAGCTGGAAGGTGGGCAGAGGAGGGCAACTAGAGGATGGAGGGCCTGCAAGCCAAGTTCTGGGAGGAACGGTTGAAGGAGCTGGGTATGTTTAGCTTAGACAAGAGGAGACAGCATAGCAATCTTCACATATCTCAAGGGCTGTCTCATGGAGCTGCAGGTGATTGGAGGCCGAGAGCGAGGTCTTGTTGTCTGGGCAGCCCAGGACCTCCAGACCCACTGCCCAAACTTGCACCCTGGGGAGGTCAGCAAAAACAACACAGGAGGCAGCAGGTATAAGATTCCGGTTTCTGCGGCCACAGCAGGCGCTGTGATTCTCCAGCGGTTTGAGTTCAACCTCGGAGGCACGCTCCATTGTTTCTCTTATTTGTCCATGCCTACACTGGTTTTGGACGCGGGTGGTGCTGTGGGTTAACCCACAGAGCCTAGGGCTTGCCGATCAGAAGGTCGGCGGTTCGAATCCCCGTGACTGGATGAGCTCCCGTTGCTTGGTCCCTGCTCCTGCCAACCTAGCAGTTGGAAAGCACGTCAAAGTGCAAGTAGATAAATAGGCACAACTTCGGCGGGAAGGTAAACGGTTTTTCCGTGCGCTGCTCTGGTTCGCCAAAAGCGGCTTAGTCATGCTGGCCACATGACCCGGAAGCTGTACGCCGGCTCCCTCGGCCAGTAAAGCAAGATGAGCACCACAACCCCAGAGTCATTCGTGACTGGACCTAATGGTCAGAGGTCCCTTTACCTTACACTGGTTTTAGGATGTGTTTTTGTTTCAAGTTTTAATTACATTGTTTAGTTTGTTTTTAGACAGCCCCTTGGAGACTTCTGAAATATTAAGTGGTATCAAAATGCTTTTACAGAAAGGGAGGGAAAGAGAAAGAGAGATGCACACGAGGTTTTACGGAATCGCAAGCGCCTTGTGGAAAGGAAGGGCAGAAATTCAGTGCAGGCAAATATTGATCCTGATGAGATCTTCAAACCCTGTCAGTCCTGGAGATTTCCCCACTTTGCTTTGGGTCCAGGGGTGAAGAACATCTGGGGCAATTTGGGTCTTGCTGGCCAGAGGGGCTGACACCCCCTTCCCAAACTCCCCAGAGCTGCCTCTCCCGACCCTCACCCAAATTCTGCTTGCTCTTCCATCCCCGTTTCCAAAGACAAAAGTGGATTCTGCAAGTTGCAGCTCTATTTCCCAAGGACTCCACCCCTCTCCCACTCACTTTGATTCCCCAATGGGCACAGCGCACCCCCCATTTGGCGGGGAGGTCCTTCCTCCCTCTTTCCCTCCTCCCCACCCCCAGAGCGTACCTCTTCTGCCAGGTCTTCCTCGATGCTCTCACGAATGGACCGTGGCGGGAAGGCGATGGGGCGGCTGTAGTCGGGGTGCAGGCACCGGTGGTGGGGCAGATCCAGTCTCACTTTGGTCAGGGGGTGCGCCGGGGGCCGCCCCGACTGCTCCCTGCCCAGCGCGCCGCCGTTGCTGCCGCCGGCATAGTCCACCTCGCTGAGGGTCTTGGCCATCTGGAGGACGGAGCAGGAGCGGTCGTCCAGGGGACCCCCGGGCCCCTGGGGGGCATTGGGGGGCTCCATCAGGAACCCTGGCCCCAGGGATGGAGCCGGCCTGGGGTGCACCTTGGGGGGTTTGGCCTCCAGGGGCTCGCTGAAGGCCACAGTCGCTCGGGCCTTGCTGGCTCCGTGCTCTTCCACCCGGGTCGCCCCAGGTGTGTAGAAGGAGTCCCCGGAGACGTCAAACTCCACCAACTTGGGCAAGGGGGGTGGCGGGAAGTCGGGGGGCGGCAGGTTGAGGACCCCTTGCTCCTCCTCCTCCGAGCTCTCCTCCGCCCGGCAGGGGGGCTGCTGCGGCCGCCGGTGCTCAGCCTGGATGGGCACCGTGATCTGGACTTTGTTCCTGGGGGCGGGGGGCTTGGCCGCCGTTGCCGAGGGCAGATCCGAGACCAGCAGCTGGTGCGGGACCCCCTCCAGGACGTAGTAGGCCGGGTTGTTGAAGCTGTTCTTCAGGGGGGGCCCGTCGGGATCTGGGGGGGCGTCTGGCCTGGGCCTGGGCAGGAAACAGGAGGGACAGCCGAGGCAATTAGGAACAAGACGAACAAGACATTTTTGAGCTTAAGTCGTATCACATAAAACGTAGAATGGGAGGGATCTCGAGGGTCATTTCGTCCAACCCCCTGCAATGCAGGAGTCTCCTTGGACCAAAGGAATCACTTTGCACCGTGACAACAAAAGGTAAAAGGTAAAGGACCCCTGGATGGTTGAGTCCAGTCAAAGGTGACTATGGGGTGCTGCGTTTGTGGAATGTAATCCACTGGAGCAGTCAAGTACAACATTCCTTGTTTGCCTAGAGTGGATATGCAGGAGATGTTGGTCCAGCCAGTTGAACTTCCTGTTCCTCCTGGCTGGAGCATCCTTCCTTTGCATGTGACCAGTAGGTGGGCACGACCTTTCCAGACCTGGTAAAAGGCCAAGTCACGTAGCCATCTTCCCTTTCCTTCTCTTTTCGTCCTGCCTGCTTCCTGCTTCACCTGGACCGCACTCTCAGCCAGCAGTCCCTGGGTTATCTTCCATACGGGGTTAACCTGTTTCTACATATTTGTAACTTTAAGCCTAAAGCCTGCCTTCAGGGATCAATCACACTGTGCTCTGCCTGATCGTGAGTAAACTTCTTTTTGTTACTTATGAATAAGACTGTTGTTTCTTTAATCTTTTAAGGAGGGAATCAAAGGGGTCTTAACAGGAATAATAGAACTTAAGAGATTCTTAAGAGAGTTAGAAAGGATACTATTAATCAAGATATCCTCTCCTGTTACCCACAACATTCTGACAGCGTTCATCTCACTTCAGGCTGAAGGAGCCGGCGTTTGTCCACAGACAGCTTTCTGGGTCATGTGGCCAGCATGACTAAACCGCTTCTGGCACAACAGAACACCGTGATGGAAAGCAGAGCGCACGGAAACGCCGTTTACCTTCCTGCTGGAGCGGTACCTATTTATCTACTTGAACTGGTCTGCTTTTAAACTGCTAGGTTGGCAGGAGCAGGGACCGAACAACGGGAGCTCACCCCCTCGCGGGGATTCGAACCACCAACCTTCTGATCGGCAAGCCCAAGAGGCTCAGTGGTTTAGACCACAGCGCCACCGGCATCCCCAACCGTGATAATGGGCAGGTAGCCACATTAGCTGCTGAGGACCAGGTGCGAGTCCTTGGTCAATGTGGGACACTGCCAGCGACTTAATTCGCTTCCCTTGCTGGGTTGGGTTCACCCCTTTCCTAAAGACCCAACATTTACTATGATTCCACGATCCATTCGCAGGTCACTCACCTGCCCTGGGACGCCTCGTCTCTGGAGGTGCCGCGATGGGGAGCCGGCGGGCGGCTGGCTGTCTGGGTGCTGGGCTTCTCCAGATCGTCTAAGAGCTTCCCAACGGGGCAGGCGGCCATTGCCGGGGCATCCCCAGGGGAATGTTTGCGCCCCACAGATCTAGCGGATGGAAAGGTTTGAGAAGGCACAACGATGAGGCCTTTAGGCCCAGGAGGCTGCCTGAATCTCTTTCCTTACCACACTCCTGAGGAACGTGAAGAACGTAAGCATTTCTAGCTGCTAGGTCAGACTAAAGGGCCACAGGGGCCGAACAGGGGCCCCTGTGGGAGCCCCACACGCAGGGCCTGAGCGGAACAGCAAAAAGCTGGTCAACACCGGCTTTTATTTTATTGTTCAGCAAGACTGGATACCTATCCAAAAATATCTCCGAGTGGTTTACTTAATACAGTGGTACCTCGGGTTACATCCGCTTCAGGTTACGTACACTTCAGGTTACATACGCTTCAGTTTACAGACTCTGCTAACCCAGAAATAGTGCTTCAGGTTAAGCACTTTGCTTCAGGATGAGAACAGAAATTGTGCTCCGGCGGCGCGGCAGCAGCAGGAGGCCGCAATAGCTAAAGTGGTGCTTCAGGTTAAGAACAGTTTCAGGTTAAGAACGGACCTCCGGAATGAATTAAGTACTTAACCTGAGGTACCACTGTATGGCAATTGCATGCAATGGCACCCTTAGGAAGCTGAGCACCCAAGCCTCTTAAAAATGTGGCAGTGTGGCGCAGTGGTTAGAGTGTCGGACTAGGACCTGGGAGAGCAGGGTTCAAATCCCCCACGTGGCCATGAAGCTCACTGGGCCAGTTGCTGCCTAGCCTGCCTCGCAGGATTTGTTGCGGGGATTAGAGAAGGAGGGGGGAGAACCACATACGCCAAACTGAGCTCCAAGGAGGAAAAGGCGAAATGTAAATGCAATAAACAAATAAATGCACAGCACCCCCAGTCCAGTCTTTGCCTTTCAAGGAAACTGGGAAGAAATGGAGGCAGGCCATCAGGTTTTGCTTTTTAAAAGGAGAGCGGTTTTGCTCTGCTTCTTTGATCTTGCCTAGCCACTGCAGTTCCTGTCCTGGAAGTTGCCCCTCTTCCCTCCAGACTGCTTCAAGGCGGTGGCCCCGCTCCCAGAGTCTTACTTGGTGTAGTCAAGGTTGGTCCGCGTTGCTACCGGCTGAAGTTTCCCTTTGGCGGCTCCCGTCTCGTCCTTATCGATGCTGATCCATTCTGTGGGAAGGGAAGGGGAACAGGCTCTGAGTGCGGATCCAACCCTGAGGTGGACCTATCCGCCTTGCAGTAGATCAAGGAAACTACATTTCTCCAAATCGGAATAAAATCGGGATTTGCACAAGGCTGATAAAATTGAAGAACGCTAAGAAGAGCCTGCTGGTCCAGCCCAGTGAACCATCTTAGTCCAGGATCCTGTTCTCTCAGCGGCAAACCAGATGCCGGTTGGAAACCTGCAAGGAGGATTCAAACACAGAGCAACTCTCCTCTGCTGAGTTTTCTAGAAACTGCTATTCAGAAGCATCGCTGCCTCCAACTGTGGAGGCAGAGGAGCAGAGGCATCTTGGCTAACAGCTCTCTCCTTCCCTGAATCTGTCCCATCTTCTTTTAAAGCCCTCTCATTCGGGGGCATCCCTGCCAGTGGGGCCAGGATTGGCCTGTGGGATGGAGGTTCCCCACCCTCTGCTTTAGAGGTTGACCCACCCAGCAGAACAACATTACGTTCATCGCCATCTAGCGCATTTCACGCTCATCGCCAGCAGCGTTGCGTAGTGGTTAGAGTTCTGGGCCGGGACCTGGGAGAGGTCAGGGCTCAAATCCCCACGAAGGTCAGTGGGTGACCTTGGGGGCCAGTCTCTGCCTCTCAGCCTGGCCTACCCCCCAGGGTTGTCGTGGGGGATTAAATGAGGAAGGGGGTGAGCCACAGGCGCTCCTTAGGGGATATAGATGCAATAAATTATAACAAATTACTGTTATTATCAGCATCGTTTTCTTTTTTTATTATTATTAAATGCTTTATTGGTTAAAAACTTTATAACAGAAATGTTCAATGGACGTTGAAAACAAAACAGAAGAACAAAAATAAACAATCATTCATTCCTTAACTGATAACTTGCCTTGTACATCAACTTGTAATTAAATTTAACATGACCTTCAATCTTCCCATTGTGTTCCCGAATTAAATTCCTTAAATACGGACTCTTAAGTTCCTTTCCTCCATGTTATTTAGCTTACTATAAAATTTATTTTATAATATCCTATTTGCACACCGAAGTTCAATCAAAACCTGCCAGCAGATTAATATTTTGACAATGTTCTTTTACACAGACTCTGTATACGTCCTACTCTCTGACAAATTTTTCATCAGTTAATGTCTCGCAGCCTCGCTGATAGTCTTGCCAGTTCAGTGTACTCTCTTATTTTATTTTGCCAGTCTGATTTAGATGGAATAAATAATAATAAATTACTGTTATGATCAGCATCGTCTTCAGTGGAAGGTCCCAAGGTGCTTTGCAGCACAGAAAAACCCAGAAAATAGGACTTCCGGGTTAGCGCCATTGGCGAATGGCGGAGTTCCTCCGACCGGAGGAACTAGCTCCGTGGAAACTGGGTCTTCCCACCGCGGCGAAGGTGGGGACCCGCTAGAAATCCCAGGCGGAGGAAGCCTGGGAACGTGGGGTTCGGCAGGGCACCAGGAGCGCCCCCCTACTCACGGGGAACCCCTTTTTGGGATTCCGGAGTGAAGTGGGGTGAGCGGCGCGGTGCTGCAAACTGACTGCTACTTTCACGGAGTGAAGCCGCACAGCCATCGCCAGAGAGCGCTGACTTTTTCCTGTGGACAATTGGATTTAAAACAAGTACCCGTGAGTAGAAACGGAAAATTGGATCAAGAAATATCTTAATTTGACATCGAAGCGGGAAGGTTCAAAACAGGAAGTCCGCCTTCCGCTTTTTGTATATAGACTGAAGCAAAAACCTTGTAAGCTAAAGCCTGGAAAGTCGTTAAAAAAGCCTAAATTTCCTTCATTTATAACTACTGAAACCCCCTTGGAAGCAGGAGAAAAGGGGGGGGGACTTTGTGTAATGCCTGCAGGAGAGGGAGTGAAGAAAGATAAGCTTCCACCGTCTCTAACCTGGGAACGGGGTGTCAGAGACAGAAATTGTTGGAGAGGTTCATTGACTGTGAATGGAATACTTTGACAGATAGCTAAAGAAGAGAAATAAACTGATTCCAATGTTGCCTTTTGCATTCTAAAGAAACAAAATATCTGAAAAATGAAAGTAATTTTCCTTTGTTGGACTTGTCTTAAAAAGATGGATACAAATAGAAATTGTCTCCTCTAGAGGAGCTTGCTAAATTGTTGCTGCAGTCTACTTGAGGAATCCACAGCTGTGAGATTAAGATCGTGGGATTAGTCCTTTTGACCTTGACTAAATATGAGCTGGAAGGAAGTTTTGGTGCTTGCTTTATGCAAGACAAATGCTTTGTTGGAACAGATGCACGAGAAGATGGACTTGATGAATGAGAAAATGGATTTGATGACTGTTGTGGCCAATAACTGTGGACAATTAGTGAATAGTGATACAGAAACCATCCAGGGTCCAACTCAGGAACCTGTATTGATTGGGCAAGTGCAGAAGATAATGGAGGAGGCTGCGGTTGCACCTCAAATAATACAAATGGAGAGGCCCAAGGCCCTACAGGAGCATAAGCCGCTGTTTTTGAAGATTGAAGTTGGAGTGGGCCAGGGGGAGTCTGGAGCTGAGGAGGCTCTTAACTTTGGAGAGACTTCGAAATATGCTCGTAAACATTTTTTGGATTATATTGATGACTGTGGGGAGTGGGACTGTGGGAATGGGCTGGTTTGATGAAGGGAGACGGAGATAATTTTGGGTTGGAACCCCCCAGAGACCTACTCCTCAATGAGAAAGGAAAGAAATTAAGAAAGAGACCAACAAAAGACAAGGAAAAGTGCAAGTATAAACAAGAAGAAGAAGATCTGCAGAAGGGACATGGAAGAGACTTAAGGGCCTTGGACATAAGACTTCTAGGTTGATGGACTAGATGGAATGGACAGTAAGGACTGACACGACCCGAGACCAGGAAGAAAAGACGTTGGAGTAAGATTGGAAGAAAATTTATAAAGAAAAATTTTTTATTTAGGGAATTAGCCTAAAATTAATGAATATTAGGGAAAATGTTGGAATGAAACTATATGACTCTAGTAGAAATGATATCAGGAGTTATGTATAACTGTGTATTAAGTTTCAAGCTTTAAGGTATTTTATGGTAAGATAAGGTTAAATAAATTAAGGTAATTTGAATAACAGAATATGGGGAAAGATGGAAAGGATCTGTTGAGTTAATTAATAGGTTAAATTGTTAAGATAAATTATTTAATAAAAATTGAGAAAGATGGAAAGAATTTGCTGAAATAACTAACTAAACTAGAATACAAAAAGGGAGGTGTGAGGAGGTCAACGAAACAAGCAAATGGAAGTTAAAGATATGTAATATGGGATTTTGCTGTATTGTTGTATTGGTTTTTATGTTTTGTGTTTTTTCCCTTTTTATGCATTGTAGTGTTGTTGTTTTTATTTTTTCTCTTTTTTTCTGTAATTCTGAAATTATTAATAAATATTATTATTATTTTTAAAAAAAGAAAAACCCATAAAATAAAAACCCACCTTAGCTGGGCACACTGTGGAGAGCCAAGGGTGCCCCCATCGCAACCCCCCCGCCCTTGTGCTGGCAGCCCCCTCCCTCTCCTGCTCCTCCTCACCGTAGAGCCTCTCACGGGTCCCCATCCGCTCCGCTGGGACCCGCACCTTCATGGAGCCACGGATGTTGCCCGTCTCCTCGCCACGGTGGGACAGGTAGGTGAGGAACTGCTGGGCAGTGCTGCCAATCATGGACTTGAGGCCAATGACACACTCGCCTGCGTGGGGAAGGAGAGGCAGGGTGGGTCAGGGCATGGGGCGAGGGGCAAAAGAGGTCCAGCCCAATTGCCGCGGCAGAAGCAGCCTAGCCCCCCCACCTTGCCTTTTAGAGGGGGGAAGCATTAGGGCTAGCTGGCTGAATTGGTCCTACTTGGGCCAGCGAGGAGGCATGGGGAAAATGGGCTTTGGGGTCTCAGAGCGGGTGGGCTTCATAAAAGGGGAGGGAAGAGAAGGGAAATAAAAGATCAGGCTGAATTCAAATTAAAGGCCAGGCAGAATAGCTCTGTCTTACAGGCCCGACGGAAGGAGGTTAAATCCTGCAGGGCCCTGGTTCTCCTGGGACAGAGCATTCCACCAGGTCAGAGCCATCACTGAAAAGGCCCTGACGGAGGATAATCTGATTTCCTTAGGGCCCGGGACCTCTAAACTAGGTACGAGGGCCCTAAGCCAGTTGCAGTCACCTCAGGACCAACTTCCCTCTGCTATAGTTTATTTGTTTGTTATGTAACCTAAGCCTGCTTTCAGGAACAGTTCTGTAAACCTGAATGAATCTGAGAGTAAAACAGTTTTATATTAACATGAATCAGATTCGTGTGTGTATTCTTTAAGAGGGATTCAAAGGGATTTTTAACCAGGACAGCGTTTTTATTAGTAGAACTCAGACAAGTCAGCAACAAACTGGTCGCTGCATAAACTTATAAAGGGGATTTTTTAACCCTGCTAAAGTAGACCTTCCCACATAAACGGCCTTGGCGCAGTATAACTGAAGGAGTGTCTCTACCCCGGACACTGAGGTCCAGTGCCGAGGGCCTTCTGGCTGTTCCCTCCCTGCGAGAAGCCAAGTTACAGGGAACCAGGCAGAGGGCCTTCTCGGTGGTGGCGCCCGCCCTGTGGAACGCCCTCCTATCAGATGTCAAGGAAATAAACAACTATCTGACTTTTAGAAGACATCTGACGGCAGCCCTGTTTAGGGAAGGTATTAATGACTGATGTTTTATTGCTTGATGATGATGAGGATGATGGGAGCCAAACAGAGCGCCTGCGGAAACCCAGCTAGATGGGCGGGGTATAAATAATAAATTAATATTATAAATTATTATGATTATGATTCTATGAGTCTTGAAACCGGCGAACTGATTCAATCTGCAAGCGGATAGCAAAACAGCGACTGCAATCCTGCAGAGCTACACTCTGAAGTCCCGCCTTCCCGTCAAGACTGCCACGCAAGTCCAGTTCTAGGTCCAGCATGCCTGGTTCTGCCACGCACCTGGTTCCCCCCCACCACCACCTCCAGGAACTCCCCAGCTCCTTACCATAGGACTCGTAGCCATCCAGAGATTTGACCGTCAAGAGGATGTGCTGGTCTTGGAGGTATTCAATGTCGGAGAGGATGGGCTTGAGCTGCAGGCAGAAGAACGAGAGGAGATAAGTCGAGGCCAATGGGAGCGTCAACGCACCAAATATTTGGAGCAGGTTTACTTTGTGTGCCCCTTTGAATCTCAAGAGGAGACACACTTAGTGGCTCTGTTTGCTCCAGAGGGGTGTCTTAAGGTAGGGTTTCCAGATGTCCCCGGTTCCTGGGGACAGTCCCCGGATCTCCAAATCTGTCCCCGGACAAATTCCGTGCCCGGAATGTCCCCAGATTTGCAAATCTGTCCCTGGTTCCCCCTTGGCAGCGGCAGTCTCAGCAGCCCGGAGGCAGCCTGGTAGCGCAGTTGGCTCTGGCTGGCTTCAGGAGCTGCTCGCTGCTGTGGCACCAGCCATTTTTCCTCGCCGGAAGTCCCCATATGATGCGTCTTGTGCGCATAGGATGTGTCTTGTGCGATCTCCTGCACCTTCCCCCTTTGTTTGGACTGATTGAGGGAGTCGCAGGCAGGTGGTCGTTGCCCAGTTTTTTAAAAACTGTGCATTTATGTTTCACTGCGGGCGGAAGAAGCGCTTGGCACCTTTATACAATATGCATGTGTGCTTGGGCCCAGGGTCTTTTGCCTCACCATCCCCACTACTGACTCAGCTTCCATAAAATAAAATAAAAGTGTCCCTGGATTCAACTGAAAAAAATCTGGTAACCATATCTTAAGGCCACTAACAGCAGGGCCTTTAGTGTGGTGGCACCTGCCCCTTGGAATGCGCCTCCAATGGATTTCAAGTAGGCACCAGCGGTATTTGCACAATACCGGTGACCAGATGGAGTGCACCTCTCAGGAGAGGCTCCTCTCCCCCCCCGCCCCACTTCCGATAGGCCCCTGGGGTCCCTCTCTGCCTCTTACAGCTCAAGGACCTTCTGCGCCCCCAAACTGTCAGACGTTGGCAGGAGGGCATGGGGGAAAGAGGAGGAAGTGTCGCCTCACCGTCGGCAGCTGCCGGGACGACCACTGCACTTTCAAGAAGTTGATGTTGTCGCTGCTCTGCGAATCGTTCTCAAAGCTCTTCTTGAATTCTGGGGGAGGGGGTTGAAAGTTAATAATAATAATAATAATAATAATAATAATAATAATAATAATTTTTTCTTTATACCCTGCCCTTCAAAAAACCGGGCTCAGGGCGGCCAACAACAAATTTAAAACAATTGATACAACAAAAAACAGCATAAAATACAGTATAAAACGTGAATAACGTTAAATTCAGAATTCAAAAATCAATTTAGGGGGGAAAGCCATCCAATAAGCATTCGATGATCACCAGGGCTAGCAGGCTAAATTAGTCCTACTTGGGCCAGCGAGGAGACCAGGGGAGAATTAGCTGTGGGATCCCAGAGTGGGGAATCGTCATAAAAAGGGGAGGGAAGGAAGGGGAATAAAAGATCAGGCTGAATTCAAATTGAAAGCCAGGCGGAATAGCTCTGTCTTACAGGCCCAACGGAAGGAGGATAAATCCTGCAGGGCCCTAGTCTCATGGGACAGAGCATTCCACCAGGTCGGAGCCATCACTGAGAAGGCCCTGGCCCTGGTGGAGGATAGTCTGACTTCTTTAGGGCCCGGGACCTCTAAACTATGGTTATTCATGGACCTTAAGTTCCTCTGCGGGGCTGACCAGGAGGTCAAAGCCAGCACCTTAAATCTGACCCGATACTCCACCGGGAGCCAGTGCAACTGGTAGAGCACTGGGTGAATATGCTCCCATGGCAGAGACCCCCTGAGGAGCCTCGCTGCACCCGCTGGAGTTTCTGGGACAGCTTCAAGGGCAGCCCCACGTAGAGCAAATTACACTAGTCTTAACAGAAGTTAAGGGTCAGCCCCAGCCAGGGTGGCTATTTCCACAAACACCCCCCAAAAACGCACACACACACACCTTCTAGGCAGGCAGAGTAGAACTCTATGAAGAATTTGGTCCTGCTGGCCGTCTTCACAATTGCTTCAACGCTCTCGAACTCTATGTAGGCCTGGTCTGAAGATTTAGAGAGACCTGGAGGGTGGGAGGAGAGAGGGAGGGTGGGATGCGTTGGAGGGGGACACCTTGGACAGGTCCCCTCCCTCGGGAGGCCAAACCACGAAGAACCAGTGGGAAATGCGGACTGGATTCAAGAGGCTGGACCTCTTCAGTATACCTGAAGGAGCGTCTCCATCCCCATCATTCTGCCCGGACACAGAGGTCCAGCTCCGAGGGCCTTCTGGCGGTTCCCTCACTGCGAGAAGTGAGGTTACAGGGAACCAGGCAGAGGGCCTTCACGGTGGTGGCACCTGCCCTTCAGATGTCAAGGAAATAAACAACTATCTGACTTTTAGAAGACATCTGAAGGCAGCCCTGTATTGGGAAGATTTTAATGTTTGATGTTGTTGCTTTTTTATTATTGTTATTGGTGTTAGTGGCTCTTAGGAGCCACTAAGAGTGGCTGGGGAAACCCAGCCAGATGGGTGGAGTATAAATAATAAATTATTATTATTATATCTTTACAGTGGTACACCTGGTTGCGAACGGGATCCGTTCCAGACGGGATCCGTTCCAGAGGCCCGTTCGCAACATGAAAAGAGTGCAACCCACAGTGGTGCGTCTGCGCATGCATGGGTTGCGATTCGCCGCTTCTGCGCATGATGTCATTTTGCGCTTCTGCGCATGTGCAAGCGGCGAAACCCGGAAGTAACCCTTTCCGGTACTTCCGGTTCGCTGCAGGACGTAACCTCAAAGAACGTAACATGAAGCGGATGTAACATGAGGTATGACTGTATTATGGGATGTTTTTAGCTGAGATTCCTGCACTACCCGACCCTTGGGGGTGTCTTCCAACTCTGCAGTTCTACAGCTCTACACCTGTGCCGTCTCAACCCCTCTCCGTTCAAGCGCACGCACGCACTCGCAATTCCCCAGTACCTTTCTTGGAAACAAACTGGGACGTGACTCCAACTTCAAATGCCCCGAAGACAGGGGAGTGGTCGCTGCTCACAATGTCGTCCGTGCATCCTGACAAAGAAGGGTAAGAGCGTCAGGAGAACTCTTCCGGATCAGGCCAATGGCTTATCTAGTCTGGCATCCTGTTCTTACAGGGGCTGACCAGTTGCTCCCATGGGGAACCAGCAAGCAGGATTCGACCACAAGAGCATCTTTTCCCCTCCTGTGGTTTCCAGCAGCTGGTTTTCAGAAGCATGGCAGAGAACTCACCGTAGGAGTTGCTATTGATGTGGGTTTCGGGATAGGACTTCCAGAGGATGCGGTCGCACCAGGAGGGAACGTTTGTCCGCACCTGGGAACAAGAATCAGGGTTTGAAAGGAAACTCTTGAACGCAGAAAGCCCCACCATCCGCTCTTTGCTTTTGACACTTCTCTGACTAAACAATCTGCACTCAAGCAGAAGATTCCCGGGGTTCAATCCCAGAGTAGGTCTGGGAGAGATCCCAGCAAGAAACCCCGGAGAGCCACTGCTGCCAGTCAGTGCAGGCAGTATGGAGCAGGATGGGCCAAGGGTCTGGCTCAGTAGGAGGCAGCTTCCGATGTTCCCTGGGACAGGCTGCAAGCTGAACTCTGCCTCCCCCCCTACACAGCAACCAAGCATTTCTGCCCACCCCCCTCCCATTTGTGGCCAACCCCCTCGTCCCAACTTCGCCCTTCCCCTCTCGGGCCGGCAGCACCTACCCCAGTGGGCTTCTGTTTATGCCAGACGTAGGTGTCCCGGGAGCCCCTCTCGTAGCGGTACGTGGGGGGGAAGGTGATCTCCTCCTCACCTGGGGAAAGCGGAAGACAAACCAGAGACCGGCTGCTGCACAAACCCAGCAAACCATGGCTAGCCTTAACCATGGTTCAACAAACAAAGGCTGGCATTCACCACGTCGTGCTCAGACATGATACTGAGCTACGTTTAATAGAAAGCAAAAGCTTCCAGTCTCCTTGATGCCACAGCAGAAGAGGGGAAAGCGAAAGCTCAGGTGAGGGGTCTCCAAGTCACAATTGTCCATAGTTTATTGTGACACATGAATGCAGAGGTTCTGCTGCTTTTGTTTTATGTTGCACTTATCTTCCTGTGGGTGACTATTGCATTATGGTTGTTACATGATTTTAAACTTCCACCCGACGCTTTAAGAGGCTGCCATTTGAATTTTCTAAATTAGTAACGATGAGGCGTGAAGTTGCAGGTTCAAAGCTCAGCTCAGGCCTGAACCTCCTCGTCCTTCGCTGGCAGGAGGAGGAGAATGCGGCTGGCTTACTTGGCAGGGCGACTGCAAAAGTTACTGAGATAATGTATATCAAAAATGTTCGAAAAGCTATTTAGATAATGAGTGTTATTCCCTATTACTAACATAGCCCTTTTATCTCAAGAGGCAACACCACGCTTCAGCTTGTTCCTCCCACCCCACCCATCCTGTGGCAAGGAGTTCCACAGGCTGTGCCTTCTACTGTTACGGATGCTAGCCAACCTTCTTTTAAAAAGGGAGTTATTTGAAACAATCTGGGACCCTTAGCTCATCACCCAAAGCTGAGATGGAGAACGGCGGCTGCAACACACAACTCCTATAGTTGGAGAAGGAGGGGAAAGCGGGGCAGGGCGGGTTGAGGGGAGAGGGATCAGCCACTCACTAAATCGCAGGAAGATCTTGTGCTTTTCCTTCTCTAGGTTGAGCTGATCCACCCTGAGGAGCGGCTCAAACTCCTTGCGATTGATGTAGCTGAGGATCTCCTGAGGAGAGCAAAAGATGCCACAGATCAGTGTGTGGAACCTCGCAGAATCGTAGAACTGTAGCGTTGGGGAACCCCAAAGGTCCTCTAGTCCAACCCCATGCAATAATAATAATAATAATAATAATAATAATAATAATAAATTTTATTTATATCCCGCCCTCCCCAGCCAGAACCAGGCTCAGGGCGGCTAACACCAATAAAATAAAATCACAGTAAAAGCATAATAGGGGGGAAAGAGAGGGAGGGAAAAAAACCCAATTTAAAATACAGGTTAAAATGCAGTTTAAAATGCAGCCTCATTTTAAAAGTAGCCCATAGATCAAGACCATAAGGGGAGGGAAACATAAGGGTCAGACTGAGTCCAAACCAAAGGCCAGGCGGAACAGCTCCGTCTTGCAGGCCCTGCAGAAAGATGTCAAGTCCCGCAGAGCCCTGGTCTCTTGTGGCAGAGCGTTCCACCAAGTCGGGGCCAGTACTGAAAAGGCCCTGGCCCTAGTTGAGATCAATCTAACCACCTTGCGGCTCAGGACCTCCAAAGTGTTGTTATTTGTGGACCTTAAGGTCCTCCGCGGGGCAGACCAGGAGAGGCGGTCCCGTAGGTACGAGGGTCCTGGGCCACATAGGGCTTTAAAGGTCAAAACAATGCAGGAACCATGGCTAAAGAACTGCTGGGAAGCCAAACTTTCTGAGTCCTAAGAACATAATGAGAGACCAGTTGTTTGGATCAGGCCCAAAGGAGCCCCCCCACACCACATCCCATAATCCTGTCCTCCCAGTGGCTGGCCAGTTGCTCATTATGGGAGACCTGGAAGCGAGACCTGAGACTGCCTCCTTACTTGCAGTTCCTAGCCACTGGCATTCAGAGGCATAGCTGTCAACTTTCAGATTTGAAAATAAGGGATCAGCAGCCTCACCTGTCCCGGGGACAGTCTACGGGATATCTAACAATCCGGGATAGCAGCGGGAAACGGCGCTGGAATAAGGGAATTTCCCGCAAAAAAAGGGAAGGTTGACAGCCATGTTCAGAGGCCTTCACTGCCACTGGCAGTGGAGGCAGGCAGAAGATCGTCCCGTTCCCCCCGTCCCCCAAATCTCAGGGCCAATCTAGACCCAGGTAAAGGTAAAGGGACCCCTAACCATTAGGTCCAGTCTTGACCGACTTTGGGGTTGCGGTGGTCATCTCACTTTATTGGCCGGGAGAGCTTCCGGGTCATGTGGCCAGCATGACTAAGCCGCTTCTGGCGAACCAGAGCAGCACACGGAAACACTGTTTACCTTCCCGCCGGAGCGGTACCTATTTATCTACAGTAGTGCCCCGCAAGACGAATGCCTCGGAAGACGGAAAACCCACTAGACGAAAGGGTTTTCCGTTTTTGAGTTGCTTCGCAGGACGAATTTCCCTATGGGCTTGCTTTGCAAGACGAAAATGTCTTGCGAGTCTTGAGATTTTTTTTTCGCTTCCCCCCCCCTTTATCTAAGCCGCTAAGCCTTTAATAGCCTTTTAGCAGCTAATCCGCTAAGCCGATAAGCCTTTAATAGCCGCTAAACCGCTAATAGCGCTATTCCGTTAAGCCGCTAATAGGGTTGCTTCGCAAGACGAAAAAACCGCTAGACGAAGACACTCGCGGAACGGATTAATTTCGTCTTGCGAGGCACCACTGTACTTGCACTTTGACGTGCTTTTGAACTGCTAGGCTGGCAGGAGCAGGGACTGAACAACGGGAGCTCACCCGTCGCGGGGATTCGAACCGGCGACCTTCTGATCAGCAAGTCCTAGGCTCTGTGGTTTAACGCACAGACCCAGACCACCCCTCAAAAGCATCTCGTTTGGGCTTCAGATGAGCAGAGCCTAGTTGTGCCTGTGGAAATGCCCTCTGCACATGTCCAAGCGCACTGCCTTCTTTCTCTGTTCCCCCACAAGTCCCAGGGATTAGCCCTGCTCCCTCCTAGAAGGTTAGGGCAGATTTTAAAATAGACATACTTCTTCACGCAGCACATGGTTAAAACTAGTGAAAAACCTTCTGACAAGAGGATGTAATGGCCAGTATCGGACAAATTCACGAAGGAAGAGAGGGCTATCGATGGCTATTAGCCACAATGGCTTTGCTCTGCCTTTGCAGCTGACGGCAGCCGTGCTTCTATTTATGATGATGATGATGATGATGATTGACAAAGTAATAATCATAAATAAATAAGAATAAACATGTGCACCCCACCACTGAAGACCATTCCATTGTAACTATCCAACCTCCCAAAATTTCAACACCTTGAGGAGATTTCACCCCTCCCATTCCAAGAATCTGCTGATGTTCTCTGCTGATTCTCCAGACAGGAGGAGGGCGGTTTCTGCTCACTACTTATTCTGCTCCAGCCTCACATCAAAGTCTCAGAGAGAGACTGAGTGTTAGAGAGAGAGAGTGTTATCTCTGTATAGATAAGGTTGCTGCTAAGAGCAGCTGCAGACACTCAGTGCAGTCCAGCGTCTCCATTTAGCTCTGTATATAGTTTGTATAACAGTTGTAGATAGAATAAAAGTAGTTATTCTACAGAGCTGCTCTCCGGGTCGTTTATGCTCTGCTATACTCTGCTGTGCGACGACTATCTTCTTGTGGAAGTGAAACCGGTGCTCACAACTCTAAGCTGTGAGTCCACAGCACTTAGACCTGTTCCTGTGCAGAAAGTGGTCTCTGGAAGTGCTACCCAGCTCGCCTAGCCCAGTCGGGGCTGAAGTGGATGAGTCCAGTTAGTGGCACTGGCTCAAGGGCGATGCTGACACACCTCTTGCGATGGTTTGACCCCTTTCTGTTTTAACAGTACAAATTCTTCCAACACCCTCCATATCTCCTCAAAATCATTTCTCCTGCATATTCCCCGTCTTACCTTAATGTCACGTGTAAATTTATCGTTAATAGCTATATCCCACACCTCTTTACACCATTCTTCCATTTTATATTCTGCTTGCCCCTTCCACTTCCTAGCTATAATAACTCCTGCAGCTGTCAATGAATTTGTGAGTCCTTCACAGCCTGTGAACCTTCCACCCCATTGTAAACTGATAATAGTGATACCTCTGGACTTTCGGTCAGCTTTAACCCAGTGATTTCTGCTATCTCCTTAAACACCCTTTGCCAGAAAAATTGTACATGTGAACATAATTCCGTTTCCTGGCATCCCCTCCAACATAACACTGAATATTCCTTGTTTTTTTAATTTTAATATAATATAATAATAATAATAAAAAATTACAATAATTTTCTTTTATTCTTATAGACAACATTTTCAATGTGCTTCTAAGCATCAGTTGCTGGAAACCGCAACCAGGAGAGAGATGCTCTTCTGCTCGGATCCTGCTCGCAGGTTTCCCATGCTGGTTATCTGGTTGGCCATGGTGAGAGGAGGGCTCTGGTCAGGATCATGGGCCACGGGCCTGATCCAGCAAGCTCTTCTTCTGTTCTCGTGGCCCCCCACAAGCCCACCCCCCCTTCCTCACCTGAATGTCCATGTCCAGGCGGTAATTGAGGTCTCCAAACCAGAAGAGGTGAGTGAAGCGGAGGGAGATGTCAAAGGAGCTGAGCTGCTTGTCGCCCAGGGAGAGGAGGCGCAGGATGTCCAGGTAATTCTGGTTCCTCCTGGACAGTGGAGATGGGAGAAAATGAGGACCGAGGTGCATGTGAGCGCGGCAAAAGAAGGAGCTGGTTCTGCGCAGGGTTTCTGAGCGAAGTTTACTTTTTGCTTTCATTTATGAATCTTTCCATAGGAAACACGTCAATAATAATAATAATAATAATAAATTATTTATACCCCGCCCCTCTGGCTGAGTTTCTCCAGCCACTATGGGCAGCTCCCAACAGAATATTAAAAACACCATAAAACACCAGTCATTAAAAACTTCCCTAAACAGGGCTGCCTTCAGATGTCTTCTAAACGTCAGATAACAGGATTATCCTTGTCAATTTATACTCCGCTTAAACCCAAAACAGGCTTCTAAAGCAGCCTGCAAAGTGTAAAACCAGCTGTGCAGATGTTAATATGTAAATGTTGACAATTAAATTGGACAACCCCGTTGAAATTATTATTATTATTATTATTTATATCCCGCCCATCTGGCTGGATCTCCCCAGCCATTCTGGGCGGCTTCCAACAGGTTATTAAAAACATAATAAAAGATTGAACATTTAAAACTTCCTGAAACTGCCCTCAGATGTCTTCTAAAAGTCAGATAGTTCTTTCTTTCCTTGACATCTGGTGGGAGGGTGTTCCACAGGGCAGGTGCCACCACCGAGAAGGCCCTCTGCCTGGTTCCCTGTAGCCTCACTTCTCGCAGGGAGGGAACTGCCAGAGGGCCCTCAGAGCTGGCCCTCAGTGTCCGGGATGGACGATGGGGATGGAGACGCTCCTTCAGGTATACTGGGCCGAGACTCCTCCAGCCCAGCAGTTCTGTCCCCAACCCCATGCCAAAATGCTCAAGAGCCCTCCAGCCTACCTGGTGTGGCAGGGGAAGGACTCACCTGGCTGTCTTCTCGTTGCCGGAGGTGAGGTGGCAGTTCACAAACCCAAACGACGTGCCGTTGAACATGAAGGAGACACCGACAGCCCCCTTATTGCCTAGGAAGCAAAACACATGGAGAATGGAAAAAATTTAAGAAATATATAAGATTATATTGTAAAAAATGATACCATCTTAGCAGAACTGGAATGATACTTGTGAAGAATAAATAAATGAAACAAATATCTTAGTGGAATGTATGGAAAAGGATATAAAATAAAACTGTGCGATAAAACCATGACAATGCAAAAAGTATAATGAGAATGATTGGCAGTTTTATGCAGAAAAATTTATTTGACGGACATGATGTTGTATAAAATTTTGGTTCTTTTTTTATTTCATTTATTATTTATTTTTTTCTTGCTTTTACATTGTGATGACCTTTTCTTTTTGTATTTAACTTTGCTATACTTACCTTTGTTGTATGCTTGTATTTTAAACCAATAAAGACTTATAAAAAAAAGAAGGAAGCAAAATAAAGAAGTAAAGAAGCTGGTAAAATGCGGTCTTGACTATGCTACCACTCAGTGGATTTGTAACTGGCTGACTGACCGAACCCAAAGGGTGCTCATCAATGGTTCCTCTTCATCCTGGAGAAGAGTGACTAGTGGGGTGCCACAGGGTTCTGTCTTGGGCCCGGTCTTATTCAACATCTTTATCAACGACTTGGATGATGGACTCAAGGGCATCCTGATCAAATTTGCAGATGACACCAAACTGGGAGGGGTGGCTAACACCCCAGAGGACAGGATCACACTTCAACACGACCTTGACAGATTAGAGAACTGGGCCAAAACAAACAAGATGAATTTTAACAGGGAGAAATGTAAAGTATTGCACTTGGGCAAAAAAATGAGAGGCACAAATACAAGATGGGTGACACCTGGCTTGAGAGCAGTACATGTGAAAAGGATCTAGGAGTCTTGGTTGACCACAAACTTGACATGAGCCAACAGTGTGACGCGGCAGCTAAAAAGCCAATGCAATTCTGGGCTGCATCAATAGGAGTATAGCATCTAGATCAAGGGAGTAATAGTGCCACTGTATTCTGCTCTGGTCAGACCTCACCTGGAGTACTGTGTCCAGTTCTGGGCACCACAGTTCAAGAAGGACACTGACAAACTGGAAGGTGTCCAGAGGAGGGCAACCAAAATGGTCAAAGGCCTGGAAACGATGCCTTATGAGGAACGGCTAAGGGGCTGGGCATGTTTAGCCTGGAGAAGAGGAGGTTAAGGGGTGATATGATAGCCATGTTCAAATATATAAAAGGATGTCACATAGAGGAGGGAGAAAGGTTGTTTTCTGCTGCTCCAGAGAAGCGGACACGGAGCAATGGATCCAAACTACAAGAAAGAAGATTCCACCTAAACATTAGGAAGAACTTCCTGACAGTAAGAGCTGTTCGACAGTGGAATTTGCTGCCAAGGAGTGTGGTGGAGTCTCCTTCTTTGGAGGTCTTTAAGCAGAGGCTTGACAGCCATATGTCAGGAGTGCTCTGATGGTGTTTCCTGCTTGGCAGGGGGTTGGACTCGATGGCCCTTGTGGTCTCTTCCAACTCTAGGATTCTATGATTCTATGATTCTATGATTAATTGAGGTGATGCGGGAGGCAGGCATTTAGGCAGGAGAGGGGAATTGCACAAACTCCTCCAGTGCTGCTTCATTGAAACTTTCCCCTTTCCACAAACAAGGGTGACTTTAAAAGAGGATTAGGCAGATGAATGGGGGAGAAAGCTGCCAGTGGCTATATTCTGTCTCCACAGTCAGAACAGGTATGGACCTGAATACCAGTCAATGGGAATCCCAGGTGGGGCGAGGGCTGTTCTTGTGCCCAAGTCCCATTTGTGGGCTTCGCTTTACGGCATCTGGTTGGCAAAACTGTGAGAACAGGATGCTGGACTTTGCCCTGATCCAGCAGCCAGGGCTCTTCTTGCCCTGACTTTTATAATAATAGTATTTTTATTATTTGTACCTTGCCCATCTGACCAGGTTGCCCCAGCCACTCTGGGCAGCTTCCAACAGTTGTAGATTTTTTGGACAGGTGTTATGTGGTCTCGGCAGCTGCTCCCAGTCACCAGTCTGGCTGCCACATTCTGGATTAGTTGTAGTTTCCGAGTTACTTTCAAAGGTAGCCCCACATAGAGCACATGGCAGTAGTCCAGGCGGGAGATAACCAGAGCGTGCACCACTCTGGCAAGACAGTCTGCAGGCAGGGAGAGTAGACAGCTGCCCTAGACTGCAGTTCACATTACAGTGGTACCTTGCAAAAAAAGTTCGCAAACCGGAACACTTACAGTGGTACCTCGGGTTACATACGTTTCAGGTTACATACGCTTCAGGTTACAGACTCTGCTAACCCAGAAATAGTACCTCAGGTTAAGAACTTTGCTTCAGGATGAGAACAGAAATCGTGCTCTGGCGGCACAGCAGCAGCGGGAGGCCCCATTAGCTAAAGTGGTGCTTCAGGTTAAGAACAGTTTCAGGTTAAGTATGGACCTCTGGAATGAATTAAGTACGTAACCCGAGGTACCACTGTACTTCCGGGTTTGCAGTGTTTGGGTTCCAAGTTGTTTGAGTACCAAGGCGTTTGAGAACCAAGGTACCACTGTATGTGTTTCAGCAATTCACCATCTTCTGCTCCTCCCACCTGCTCAAATTCCTCCCCAGGCAATAAATCTTCCCAAATGCATTTGAGTCACAGTTGTTTGGCAAAGACCGCCAACAGAAGCGCAGAGCTTTGTGGGAACGGGGAGGAGGAGAGACGCCTCTTTGGTTCGCTGGTAAAAGCTTCTGCAAGCAGAAGCTCAATCCTCGCAGCATCCGGGAACAGAAAAAGGTCCCTTGCAAAGAAGCCCAAGATCCAACGGCAGCCAGGAATACTGGGCTACTCTGAGAGCACACGGGGCAACTTCCTATGTTGCACACTTGCATGACTCTAAAATGGACTCAGCACGGACACCGCTAAAACGACTTGGCTTATTCCTCCCCAAGACTCTTGCTGGGAGAATCTGGGGCAGCCTAGCCTTCCTCCGGACAGCTCTCCTCTTACCCAGAGTGTTGGCAATCCCGGTTTTCACGCTGGAGGTGCTGACATGGCTGATCCGGTTCTCATGTTCTGGTTTCACCAGGACGGCTATTTTAATGTTCCACAGGGACTGCATGGCGATCTGGAAGAGGCAAGCAAGGAGATGATGTTTCTTATGGGAAGACCTGGCTGGGGGGAGAGAGAAACAGGCTCCCCCCCCCCCGGAGGCCCCTCTGCCTCCTCCTGGGCACCCACCGGCCGGTACTCTATTTCCGTGAACTCCTTGAGGACTCCGCGCACAAAGTCCACCCACTCCTTGTCCCCCATGGAGTTCTCCTGGGTGCCGAAGACGTAGATGTCGTGGGGGATGGTGACGGTCATCTCGTCCAGCGTCTTGCCCAGACCCTTCGAGGCAAACCAGGAGGTGATGTTCTTGGGAGGCGGAACGCTGCCTGCAGAGGAGAAGAGGGAACCGGCCAATCGGAATAATAATAAATATTAAATTTTTATTTACACCCCGCCCTTCCCGGTTCAGAAAACAGGGCTCAGGGCGGCTAACAACAAATTTAAAACACTTAATTGATGCAACAAAAAACAGCTTAAAATACAGTATAAAACGTGAATAACAATAAATTCAGAATTCAAGAACCAATTTAGGGGGGAAATCCATCCAATAAGCATTAGATAATCACCAGGGCTACCTGGCTAAATTACCGTATTTTTCGCTCTATAGGACGCACCAGGTGATAAGATGCACCTAGTTTGGGGGGGAGGAAAACAAGAAAAAAAATATTTTGAATCCCAGAAGCCAGAACAGCAAGAGGGATCTGGCTTCTGGGATACCGTGTGGCTGTTCTGGCTTCTGGGATAACCGCGCCAAGCCTCTTCAGGACAGTGGGATGAAGGCTCCCCCTGCCCGGAAGAGGCTGCGTGCGGCTAAGGCAGAAGACAGGGCAGGCGCGTCGCTGAAGGGGTGCTGCGCAGTTCTCCCTCTCTTCGCAGCACCTCTCCTGCGAAGGAGAGGTGCTGCGAAGAGAGGGAGAACTGTGCAGCGCCCCTTCAAGCAAAGCTGGAGAAGGAACAGAAGGAGACCCTTCTTTTCCTCCTCCGGCTTCCAGGCAGGTGCGTGGCTGAAGCCTTTGGAGCGCAGCGGGACCTCACGCTGCGCTCCAAAGGCTTCGGGTTCCTATGGCTGAAGTCAGGAGAGTCTTGCTCTCCCGGCTTCAGCTAAAGGAACCCAAAGCCTTCGGAGTGCAGCGCGAGGTCCCGCTGCACTCCAAAGGCTTCAGGCGGCTATGCCTGAAGCCTCCGGAGCACGGAGGGAGCGCTCCCTCTGCGCTTCGGAGGCTTCGCGTTGCTATCGCTGAAGCCAAGGAGCCTACATTCGCTCCATAGGACGCACACACATTTCCCCTTAATTTTTGGAGGGGAAAAAGTGCGTCCTATAGAGCAAAAAATACGGTAGTCCTATTTGGGCCAGCGAGGAGACCAGGGGCTGAATTAGCTGTGGGATCCCAGAGTGGGTAATCTTCATAAAAAGGGGAGGGGGAGGGAAGGAAGGGGAATAAAAGATCAGGCTAAGTTCAAATTGAAAGCCAGGCGGAATAGCTCTGTCTTACAGGCCCTGCAGAAGGAAGTGAAATCCTGCAGGGCCCTGGTCTCATGGGACAGAGCATTCCACCAGGTCGGAGCCATCACTGAGAAGGCCCTGGCCCTGGTGGCGGATAATCTGACTTCCTTAGGGCCCGGGACCTGTAGGGTGTTGCTATTTATGGACCTTAAGGTCCCCTGTGCAGCATACAGGGAGATGTGGTACCATAGGTACGAGGGTCCCAGGCTGTGAAGGACTTTAAAGGTCAAAACCAGCACCTTAAATCTGACCCTGTACTCCACCGGGAGCCAGTGCAGTCGGTAGAGCACTGGGGGAATATGCTCCCATGGCAGAGACCCCGTGAGGAGCCTCACTGCAGCAGGGGTCTCCACCTGTGTGGGCTCTCCCAGAGGCGTCCAACCACTGGCCAGTCATTGCAGCGGGGGGGGGGGGAGTTTGGGGGGGGAGTCTGCTGGGACCACCTAGCCGCACCAGCTTTTCCCCTAGCCTTGCTCTACCGCCCAGCCTGGGACCTTATAAGCCAAAGGTTCTGCTTAAATATTTTTGTTTCCGCTTAATGTTTTTGCAGAGAGTGTTCTTTGTCTTTTTGGCAGGAGCACGGATGTTCCTGGTTTTTCAGACTGTGGAAATGTTTTGAATTCGTGTAATTTGCATTACAACCGTACCTTGGAAGTTGAACAGCTCAGTTCCCGAACGTTTTGGCTCCCGGACGCCGCAAACCCAGAAGTGACTGTTCTGGTTTGCAAACTATTTTTGGAAGCCGAACGTCCGACGGGGCTTCCGTGGCTTCTGATTGGCTGCAGGAGCTTCCTTCAGCCAATCAGAAGCTGCGCTTTGGTTTCCAAATGTTTTGGAAGTCTGGAACGAATTCCGTTCGACTTCCAAGGTACGACTGTATTTTGAATTTGCCTTACGGTAAGCAATGTTATGTTCCGAGGATTGCGTTCAAAGCCAAAATTGCATATACTGTCGTACCTTGGAAGTCGAACGGAATCCGTTCCGGAAGTCCATTTGACTTCCAAAACATTCGGAAACCAAAAAATGGCTTCTGATTGGCTGCAGGAAGCTCCTGCAGCCAATTGGAAGCCGTGGAAGCCCTGTCGGGACGTTCAGCTTCCAAAGAACATTCGTAAACCGGAACACTCACTTCCGGGTTTGTGGCGTTCAGGAGCCAAAATGTCCAAATACCAAGGCATTCGGGATCCAAGGTACGACTGTAGTTGAAACATACTGGGTGCAATAGTGGGTGGGATCGCCAGAGTCTATTTTCCCGGACGCCCAGCCACATTGCACTCCCTTTTTAATTTTTGTTATTTTCTTTGCCCAAAGCACAAAAAATAAATGTGCAAAAGTCATGGGCTTTGTACTGACACCGGGCAGGAACATTTGCTGTTCTCTTTTGGGTGCGCGCTAAAAGCATTCTTGTTTACAGGCAAGCCTACCCAGGTATTTAGAAAATTGGTGCTAGTTCTAATGTGTTTTTAGCTTATTTTAACTTTCCTAAAAGGGACACGGGTGGCGCTGTGGTCTAAACCACAGAGCCTAGGACTTGCCGATCGGAAGGTCGGCGGTTCAAATCCCCGCGACGGGGTGAGCTCCCATTACTTGGTCCCAGCTCCTGCCAACCTAGCAGTTCAAAACCACATCAAAGTGCAAGTAAATAAATAGGTACCGCTCTGGCGGGAAGGTAAACGGTGTTTCCGTGCGCTGCTCTGGTTTGCCAGAAGCGGCTTAGTCATGCTGGCCACATGACCCGGAAGCTGTACGCCGGCTCCCTCGGCCAATAAAGCGAGATGAGGGCCGCAACCCCAGAGTCAGTCACGACTGGACCTAATGGTCAGGGGTCCCTTTACCTTTACCTTTCCAAAAGACTTACATTATTGCAATTTATTCTTCTTATTGATAATTGTGTTTTGCCTTTTCCGTAAACTGCTTTGAAGTTTTTTTTGTTTTGTTTTTGCCATCAAGGGGTCTATACATTTTATGGAATAAATATAACAGCAGACTGCTCCCCGCGGCTTCTCTCTCGACCCCGACACCTGTGACAGCCCAGGAAAGGTTCACACATCCCGATGGCAAGACTGACCCATATTCCACGTGCCAATGAAGATGGAAATCATGTCCGGCTCGTCCTGGTTCGAATGTCTGTTCTTCATCAGCTGCAGGAGTTGGCAGAAGGCCTCGCGTTTCTGCAGTGAGGGGGGTGGGAACAGACAGGAGGGCAGCGAGACAAAGAGAACAGCCTCAGAGAAACACAAGCAGGCAAAATCACCGAGGGCTTCCCAACTTTCTAGGCAATTCCTCCGTTTCCATATTTATTCTTAAAGCAGCACGTTTCTAGCCCTCTTGATGCCAGAGCCCTCCAGCTTTGAACACACCAGCAATTCCACCTGTACTTCTCAGAAACGTTGATGCTTTTAAGAACACCGGCAGGGCTACTGTAATAACCTGCAGCTTTATAAGAGTATACATTTAAAGTAGATGAATAAATGAGTAAATAAAGTTAATTTATTTTCTGGTCTTGAAAGACCTACATTGGCTCCCAGTACATTTCTGAGCACAATTCAAAGTGTTGGTGCTGACCCTGAAAGCCCTAAACGGCCTCAAAGGCCCAGTAGACCTGAAGGAGCGTCTCCACCCCCATCATTCTACCCGGACACTGAGGTCAAGTGCTGAGGGCCTTCTAATGGTTCCCTCATTGCGAGAAGCAAAGCTACAGGAAACCAGGCAGAGGGCCTTCTTGGTAGTGGCCCCTGCCCTGTGGAACGCCCTCCCATCAGATGTCAAAGAGATAAACAATTACCTGACATTCAGAAGACATCTTAAGGCAGCCCTGTTCAGGGAAGTTTTTAATGTGTGACATTTTAGTGTATTTTTGGTCTCTGTGGAAGCCGCCCAGAGTGGCTGGGGAAACCCAGCCAGATGGGCGGGGTACAAATAAATTATTATTATTATTATTATTATTAATTTGGAATTTGCAGAAACCAGAAGCTTTCTTATTGGGTATAGTGGGTAAAGAGATACCGAGACAAGATAAAAAGTTGTTCTTGTATGCAACTACTGCAGCAAGAATTCTGTTAGCCCAAAGATGGAAACATCAGGAGTTAGCAACAAAAGAAGAATGGCAAATGAAATTGAAGGACTTTGCAGAACTGACGAAACTGGTGGGAAGAATCCGCAACCAGCGAGACCAAGCATTCCAAAAGGACTGGAACAAATTTATACTATATTTGAAAGACAACTGTAAGCAATTAACATCACTAGCAGGGTTATCTGAAGTTTTGTAAAATGAAATTGCTACCTATTCAGGTATGGTAATGTAACTTTTTAGGTAATAACAAGAATAGGAAAGGACATGATACGGAAAGAAGCAAAACGTAAGTTTGTAAACCATTAGGCGGGAGGGAGGGAAGTCATTAGGCTCAGCTGAGGCAAAAAGGTTAAATAAGAAGATACGATGTTGCGTAATGTGATTATATGTAAAACTAATAAAAATTATTATTAGAAAATAATAATTGGAATTTGCAGAAAATACAAAAAACAAATTTAAGGCACTGCAAATTTATATTTGCAGAAAATATAAAAAACAAATTTAAGGGGGAAGGAAGTCAAGTTTCGAAATGTTAAAATGACTGTCAAATTATTAAAATGTATAAAACTGAAAATCATAAATATAATAATAATAAATGTTGGATGTTTGGTGAATTTTTGCCAGTTTTTTCCTCCTTTTTCCTCCCCTCCAGTCGCATCCACAGGCCTCCCTCCCTCCAGGAGCAGTAGGACACTGCCCCACACCTGACCCTCTTCAGCCCCAATTCATGCCACTCATGCTAATTCACGCTACAAATTCATGGAGAAGGAAAGGGCTATCGAGAGCCGCTGTCCACAATGGCTGCCTCTGCAGTCAGAGGCAGGGATGCTTCTGAATCCCAGTTACTGGAAACCACGGCAACGGATGGGGCACCAACTTGCTGTGCACATGGATGTCAACATTCTCATGCGCTTGAGTCCCTGAGTGGCAGCCACAAGAAACAGCAACATGACAACAACAACGCTTCCTTGTGGCAGAAATCGCAGTGAGGCAGGACCGAATTTAGGTTTGATGAGGCCCTAAGCTACTGAAGGTAATGGGGCCCTTTATATGTTGTTGTCAACAACAAATTGTTGCTGTTTTTTGTGTTGAATACAGTGGTAGCTCTGGTTGTGAATGGAATCCGTTCCGGAGGCCCTTCCGCAACATGAAAGGAGCACAACCTGAAGCACCGTATCTGCGCAGGTGCATGGCGCGATTTGATGCTTCTGCGCATGCGCGAAGTGTGATTTAGCGCTTCTGCGCATGCGTGAGCGGTGAAACCCAGAAGTAACCCTTTCCGGTACTTCCAGGTCACCGCGGGACGTAACCTGAAAGAACGTAAAATGAGGCAAACGTAACATGAGGTATGACTGTATATGCTAGATGGTAATTTATGGACCAAGGGACACGGGTGGCGCTGTGGGTAAAATCTCAGTGCCTAGGACTTGTCGATCGCATGGTCGGCGGTTCGAATCCCCGCGGTGGGGTGAGTTCCTGTCCTTCGGTCCCAGCTCCTGCCCACCTAGCAGTTCGAAAGCACCCCCAAGTGCAAGTAGATAAATAGGTACCGCTTTATTGCGGGAAGGTAACGGCGTTTCCGTGTACTGCGCTGGTGCTGGCTCGCCAGAGCAGCTTCGTCAGGCTGGCCACGTGACCTGGAAGTGTCTTAGGACAGCGCTAGCTCCCGGCCTCTTAAGCGAGATGAGCACGCAACCCCAGAGTCGGTCACGACTGGCCCGTACGGGCAGGGGTACCTTTACCTTTACCTTAATTTATGGACCTAATAGGTATCTCAAGCCATTTGCATGTGTTGCCATGCAACCAGTCCATGCAGAATGGAAGCACCCTATATATAGAAAGGAGCAAACCAGTGATATTTTAGGGAGCAGGCTAGGCCCATGACTTACATCACAGGAGCCTACACAACACAAAACACTGTTGCTGTATGTAGGTTTTATTTTATTTGTTTTTTATCTTAGATTTTGGAAATGTACATCCAGAGTGGGGCCCTAAGCTATAGCTTGTTTAGCTTATACGTAAACCAGCACTGCAGTGACGGGACCAGCAGAGACACAGAGAGAGAGCTACATAGCCAGGGACTCCAGAGCACCGCAGGTGGCAGAAGGACAACCTGTTCAACTTATTTACAAAACCTCTAAGATTTATAAGTAAACCTTGAGAGCCCATGGTGCTGCAATGGCTAGAACGTGGGGGAGACCAGGGTTCAAATCGCCCACTTGGCCAAGAAGCTCACGGGGGGGACCTGGGACCGGTCGCTGCCCCTCCGCCTGACCTTTCCACGCTCCTCTAGCCAAGGGGATCTTGACCGCTGGCGCTCCAAACACTCACCCTGGCACTAACAAAGATGAAGTCCTTCCTCTGAGTCTTCTCTTTCTCCTTCTCGAAGACGATTCCCAGCTTATTCTGCACCCGCTGGGATTTTATCAGCTGGCGGACTGGGGAGAAAGAGGGAGAGGGGGGTCAGTATCTGTAAGAACTCGGCTCTTTTAGTGTGTCAGCACCTGCACTTTGGAACTCCCTGCCACTTGACCTCAAGAAAGCACCTTCACTGTACTCTTTTCAGCGCCTGCTAAAAACATTTTGGATTAGACAAGCCTGCCCAGGTGTTTAGAAAGCTGGTGTGAGCTTTAACATTTTCAGTCTGTTGCTATTTTAACTTTTCGAAAGTCGTAAATTATTGTTGCAACCTTTTCGTTTTATTGCTTTATCTTTTTTCGTGTGAACCGCTTGGGAGGGTTTTCTCTCTTTTTGCAGTGAAGGGGTGTATAATTGTTATTAAATAAATACAAAAGCGATGCGTAGGAATGATGGTTTCCCCCTTTCCAGTTCCCCTTCCCTTAGGAATTCGCTTTCGGGCTGCTTCACCCGCTGGGCATTTCTAGATAGACAGGTAGGAGTTGAATGCAGCCTTCGCTGACCTGGCGCCTCCCCAACTCCCAACAGCCCCAGCCTGCATAGCCGTAAGATGCTGAGGCTCATGGGAGTTGTAGTCCAACACATCACCGGGCAGGGGACTAGGTTGAGACAGCGCGTTCCCTGTGGGCAGGTTCTCAAATGGACGAAAAGATGTTTCAGGGCGCAGCTCAAGCCATCAGGTCAAGGCAGGAGAATCACCAAAACATGACGAGGAAACCCTCACCCCTCCCCAAATAAGTTAGTTCTTTGGAAAGGGCTTGTTCCTTAAGGTGGATTCCTCAAAAGGCCACAACCTGATCGTCCGGAGGGTTAGGGCAAAGGAGACTCGGTCCCCAAGAGGGCACTGCTGGCGGTGGGTCTCCAGCGAAAGACACACTTGGGGCTCCTCCTTACTCTTGTCGTGAGCAAAGGTGTTCCAGTCCTCCTGAGAGTCCCTCTGCTTCTTCAGAACAACAAGCTTCCCACCTTCCACATCCACGCTCAAGGTGTACTTCTGAGATTTCCCGATCTTCGTGAGGTCGCCCAAGGTTAGGTCCAGCTTCACCTGGGAGGGAGGGAGGGAGGGAGGGAGGGAGGGAGGGAGGGAGGGAGGATGTCCAATCATCATCTTTTATTTATATCCCGCTCTCCCTGGCCAAAGTCGGGCTCAGGGCGGCTAACATCAAATATATAACATTAGTATAAAAACACAAGATCTACCCACTTTGGAAGAATGGCAGATGAAGGTGATGGACTATATGGAATTGGCAGAAATGACTGGCAGAATCCGAGGCCAGGAGGAAGAGTCGGTGGAAGAAGATTGGAAGAAATTTAAAGACTATTTACAGAAATATTGTAAAATTAATGAATGATAGAATGATGTTGGATAGTAATTAAGCGGTTTCTAGCTGTAATGCTTTAAGAGAATATGAAAAAAGGGTTATAAATGGGTTAAAATCTAATGGTAAGGATTTGCTGAACCAATAAATTGAACTGGAATACAAAACAGGGAGGTACGAGGAGGTCCGGGAAACAAGCTAAAGGAAAATAAGTAACTGAAAATATGTGTGTTTTTAACTGTTTTTATTTTGTATTTTTCTCTTTTCTTTTTCATTTTTACTGTAATATTTCAAAAAACCTTAATAAATATCTTATATATAAAAAAAGCAAACAGTAATTAAACTGCTTCCTAAAAACAGGTCTAAATCAAATTAGATGGCTTCTGCAGGGTTAGGGTTGGGAACAGTAAGTGCTCACTGGCCCAACTGTTTAGAGAATGCTGGGAAGCCTCTTTCATACTAGTTCTTATGCAAAAATAAAAGGGGAGTCAGGCTGAGCCCTGGCCAAACGCCTGGCAGAACAACTCCGTCTTGCAGGCCCTGCAGAAAGATGTCAAATCCCGCAGGGCGCTGATCTCTTGTGGCAGAGCGTTCCACCAGGCTGGGGCCATTGCCGAAAAGGCCCTGGCCCTGGTCGAGGCCAACCTACTGTAATCTCTCTGAGGCCCTGGATCTCCAAGGTGTTATTATTTGTAGACCACAAGGTCCTCCGTGGGGCGTACTATGAGATGTTTCTCAGCACACAAGATAATTATTCGTGCATCTATTTATGTTTCTTGCATTTATAGGCTACCTTTCCTCCAGGGAGCTCGAAGCAGGGAACTTTCCACCTCCCCGCGGATCCTCACCACAACCCTGTGAGGTAGGCTGAGCCGAGAGTCAGCGGCTGGCCCAAGGTCACCTGGCAAGAGAGCTTTGTGGCCAAGTAAGGATCTGAGCCCTGGTCTCCCAGGCCTTGGTTTGATGCTCTAACCACTACACTGCCGCTGCCTCCTCAATTAATTGGGGAAGGGGCCGTAGCGGTCTTCGCGTACAGAATGTCCCAGGGGCATCTCCAGGGAGGATCGGGCCCCTGCCTGAAAGCCTGGAAAGCCTCTGCCAGTCAGTGCTGGCAATGCTAAGCTACATGGGCCAACGGTGACTCCAAGCAGCTTCACAGGAATGGAGGGAATGCGGAAAGTTAATACACATTCTCCTTTTTGCCACCGTGTAGAAGGAGTTGCAAAGGCGACTGAATCTTGGCCCCCTGGCGACCGGAAGGGTGAATTTGGACGGCCTCTTTGGCTTCTCGGACATTCAGCCCAAAGTGTTCCCTTTGGCACCATAGAGGGCTAAAAACTTGGAGCTCCTTCTGCGCCTTCTCTGCCCGCAGACAACTGCAACTCAGCCTTGGGCTTGAGCCTAAGGAGTGATTGAAAAGACTTGGCTTTTACCTCGAATGCCTGGACAGGAATGCTCTTTGCTTTTCGCGAAGAAGGCAGGGCCAGCCCAGGCTGGGATGTGGAACTCATGTCCTGGAGAGCTTTCAAAGCCTGCAAGGGGGATAGATGAGAGTATGACCATAATAATAACTTGGGATTATCCTCTTCGTCAATTTATACTCTGCTTAAACCCAAAACGGGCTTCTAAAGCAGCCTGCAAAGTGTAAAACCAGCTGTGCGGATGTTAATACGTAAAAGTCGACAATTAAATTAGACAGTTAAGACAACCCTGTTGAAATAAATAATAATAATAATAATAATAATAATAATAATAATAATATATTTATACCCTGCCCATCTGGCACTCAGATCCCCTCACGCTTTCTCCCCCCTTGTGGGAGAAGCCAGGGACTGGCGGGCCTTGGGAGAATTCCATCTCCATCTTGGATTCGATCTTGCCATTGGAGGCTCAGGCGGTTTTGGTGGCTAGGAGGGCCTTTTCCCAGATACAGCGCGTTCGCCAGCTATGTCTGCTTTTGGACAGAGATTATCTGAACTCCACGCTCCGGCAACTTCCAGATTGGATGGCTGCAATGCGCTCTGCGTGGGGCTGCCCTTGAAGACGACTCGGAAACTTCAACTGGCCCGAAACACATCAGTCGGGTCGCTGGCTGGGGTCCTGTTCAGATCACACTATGTTTTCCCCGTTTTAAATTAACTGTGCTGGTTGCCAGGCCATTTCAATTCAAGATGTGTCTGTTGGCGTTTGAAACCCTAAACGACTCAGTCCCCAAACAACTGAAAGGGGGCTTCCAGGGGCCAGAATCGACACAGGGGGCCGTCTTGACAGTTCCACTGCCCTCAGAAGCTCGGGCAGGGTGTCCGCTTGGAAGAGGGTCTCCTCTGTGGTGGCCCCTACGTCGTGGGACTCCCTCGCCAAAGAGCTGCGCCTGGCACCTTCAGAGGATGCTGAGGACACCCCTTCTTTACCTTCTGGCTTTTGACACTTGCATTATCAGGGCACGCCTAATTTCCACAAGTTGCTTTAAATATAACAACAACAACAACAATCATCTGGCTGGGTCTCCTCAGCCACTCTGGGCTGCTTCCAACAACAGATTAAAAATATCAATTGAAACATCAGTCATTAAAACTCCACTAAACTGGGCTGCCTTCAGATAGTTGTTTATTTCCTTGACATCTGGTGGGAGGGCATTCCACAGGGCAGGCACCACCTCTGCCTGGTTCCCTGTAACTTCACTTCCCGCTTCTTAAATTGTTTTTAATATTGTGTTTTAATGCTCTATCCCACTCTGGGAGCTTAAGGCACAGGACAGATAATAAAGTGTTGGTGCTGACCTTTAACACCCGAAATGGCCTCATTCCAGTATACCTGAAGGAGTGTCTCCACCCCCATCATCCAGCCCGGACACTGAGGTCCAGCTCCGAGGGCCTTCTGGCGGTTCCCTCACTGTGAGAAGTGAAGTTACAGGGAACCAGGCAGAGGGCCTTCTCGGTGGTGGCACCCGCCCTGTGGAACGCCCTCCCAACAGATGTCAAGGCAATAAACAACTACCGGTATTTTTCTTTTAAAAGACAACTGAAGGCGGCCCTGTTTAGGGAGGTTTTTAATGTCTGATGCTGTATTTTTTTTAATATTTAGTTGGAAGCCACCCAGGGTGGCTGGGGAAACCCAGCCAGATGGGTGGCATATAAATAATAAATTTATTATTATTATTATTATTATTATTATTATTATTATTATTATTATTAACAAGCAGCACCAGCATGGGGCTCCATCCCATTCTCCTTCCAGAGAAGATGGGGAAGGCCAGAGGGCGCCCCCCCTCGCCAGGTTTCATGGCTGGCACTCACCTTCTTCTCAATACTGGACAGGAAGTCCTTCAAGACGGACAGCTTCAGGACGAGGCTCTCCAGTTCCTGCTCTCCGGTTTGGCTGGCCGTCTGGGGACCATAAGAAGGAGGGTTGGAAAACAAAGACCCGGGAGAAGTTTTCTGGCACAGGAGGGGCAGGAGACGCTCGGGGGCCCGGGAACTGATTCTGGGGGTGCCAGAGTCAAGTCCTGTTCCAGGACTTTGTGGAATTTGGCCTCTACAGCTTTTTAAAGCTGCAAACCAGAAAGAACACGGAGGATAGGCTGGTAATGAATACAGTGGTACCTTGGGTTAAGTACTTAATTCGTTCCGGAGGTCCGTTCTTAACCTGAAACTGTTCTTAACCTGAAGCACCACTTTAGTTAATAGGGCCACCTGCTGCTGCCGTGCCGCCGGAGCACGATTCCTGTTCTCATCCTGAAACAAAACTCTTAACCTGAGATACTATTCCTGGGTTAGCGGAGTCTGTAACCTGAAGCGTATGTTACCCGAGGTACCACTGTACACAGGTTTTTCGGTGAAGCTGATCATCATCGGCACTTGTGAAAACCCTGTGCTCTGCAAGCCCCAAGGATCAGCTAATTGGGAACAGAAATTAGCAGGTGGGAACAGAAATGAGCTCATAGGATTCGGGATTCAGATTCCGTTCCGTTGAATTAGAGGGACGCGGGTGGTGCTGTGGGTTAAACCACAGAGCCTAGGACTTGCCGATCAGATGGTCGGCGGTTCGAATCCCCACGACGGGGTGAGCTCGCGTTGCTCGGTCCCTGCTCCTGCCAACCTAGCAGTTCGAAAGCACGTCAAAGTGCAAGTAGATAAATAGGTACCACTCTGGCGGGAAGGTAAACGGTGTTCCGTGCGCTGCTCTGGTTCACCAGAAGCGGCTTAGTCATGCTGGCCACATGACCCGGAAGCTGTATGCCGGCTCCCTCGGCCAATACAGCGAGATGAGCGCCGCAACCCCAGAGTCGTCCGCGACTGGACCTAATGGTCAGGGGTCCCTTTACCTTTACCTCTGAACCAGTAAAATACATAAATTTATTTTAAAATTTATTTAATAGCCATCATGACTAGTAAATAAATACATAAAATCAGAGAAATGAATAGGGAGCGGGGAAGGATAAGGGACTGACAGCCTTACCCTCATTTGTCTAGTTTTATTTATTTATTTGGTTCCATTTACGCCCCACCTTTTCCCCCCAGGAGCTGACGGTGTCCTGCATGCTTCTCCCCGACTTCAGTTAATTCTCACAAGAACCCTGGTAGGTAGGTTGGGCCGAGAGAAGGTCACACACAGTGAACGCCATGGCTGAGTGGGGATGCAAACTCTGCTCTCCCGGGAAATAGTCCAACGCTCTAACAATTAGACTACACTGGTTCTCAAAAGCAGCCCACCTTCAGTTGGGGTTCAGTCGGGGCCACTTTCGGAGGCCTTTGGGCTCAGGGGGCTTCCTGGGGAGCAAAACATGTACCTCTCTAAATGACTTGGCTGAAGGAATTGAGGGGTTGCTCATCCAGTTTGCAGGTTGGACGCCAAACTGGGGGAGGGGACAGCTAATGTCGTAGAATCGGAATTCAAAATGACCTTAACAGATTGAAGCCCAAACTAACCGAGTGGATTTCATTCCTGAACTTAGGCAGGAAGAACCAGATGCACAAATATAAAATTGGGGGGGGCACCTGGCAAGGATCTAGGGGTCATGTGGACCACAAGTCATGAATCAACAGTGTGATGCAGCAGCAAAAAAGGCTAACGCTATTCTAGGCTGCATCCACAGAAGTCTAGCGTCCAGATCATGGGAAGTCATATTCCTGCTCTATCCTGCCTTGATCGGACCCCCAACCTGGAGTCCTGTCTCCAGTTCTGGGCACCACAATTTAAGAAGGATGTTGACAAGCTGAAATGTGGGCAGAGGAGGGTGACCAAGATGATCCAGGGTCTGGAAACCAAGCCTGATGAGGAACGGTTGAAGGAGTTGGGTATGTTTAGCCTGGAAAAGAGGAGACTGAGAGGAGACAGGAGTGCCATCTTCAGATATCTCAAGGGTTGTCCTATGCTCATTTCAGTTTCCCTTTTCTAGACCTTTTCCAGCTCTGTCAAATCCACTACCCTAACCCCCAAAAAGCCGCTTTTCATCTTTCCTTGAAGAAAAAGGTGCTCCAGCCCCTCAGTTATTTGGGGGGGGGGGCTTCTCTGCTGCCAATCGCCACACCCACCTGCTGCAAGATCCGGGAGGTCATGGGGGAGCTCTGCTGGTCAAACACCTTAGACAGGATCTCCAAGCCAGACAAAACCTTGTCCACCTCGCTGGAAGAACAAGAACCAGGTTTTATATTTCTGCGGCAGAGCAGTCCTTCCTGCCACCCCCCACTTCCTGGTTCTCCTTATTCTCGCTCTAGCTCTTCAACCCAGACATTTGTCAGACTGTGAGGCTTTTTTTATTATTATTATTTTCTTTAATTGTCTGAACTAACTGCATGCAATGCCAAGAACCGCTTCTGCTTATTTTGAGGTTTCCAGCTGCTCTGAGCCCTGATTTGCAACCCTCTTTCCACCTCTGTTTACCCAAAGCACCGTTCGTCAGCCGCATATTATGTCAACAGGCAGGCGGACGTTGCTCTGCTCCCCTTTCCCATCTCACCTGTGCAGGCGTTTGCAGGAAGTGACAAGGGTTTTGTTCAGGTGGGGCAGGCTGCTGGCCCCAGCCTTCACAGCCTCCAGGTCCAGGGAGTAGCTGCCTTTCAGGTACTCGTGGGAAACGGTGCTGAGCCCGTTGGTGGTGCTGGAAGAGGAATAATAATAATAATAATAATAATAATAATAATGTATTACTTATACCTCGCCCATCTGGTCAGGCCTCCCCAGCTTCCAACAGGATATTAAAAACACAATAAAAGATCGAACATTAAAAACTTCCCTAAATTGCCCTCAGATGTCTTCTAAAAATCAGATACCGTATTTTTCGCTCTATAACACGCACCCGACCATAACACACACGTAGTTTTTAGAGGAGGAAAATCCGTAGGCATGCCACCCATAGGCATTCCCTCCATAACACACACAGACATTTCCCCTTACTTTCTAGGAGGAAAAAAGTGAGTGTTATGGTGCAAAAAATACGGTAGTTGTTTATTTCCTTGACATTTGATGGCAGGGTGTTCCACAGGGTGGGTGCCACCACCGAGAAGGCCCTCTGCTGGTTCCCTGTAACTAGGTTTCTCGCAGTGAGGGAACCGCCAGAAGGCCCTCAGAGCTGGACCTCAGTGTCCGGGCAGAACGATAGGGGTGGAGTATACTGGGCCAAGGCCATTTAGGGCTTTAAAGGTCAACACCAACACTTTGAATTGTGCTCGGAAAAGCCCCGGGAGCCAATGTAGGTCTTTCAGGACCGGTGTTATGTGGTCTTGGTGGCCGCTCCCAGTCACCAGGCCACCTGACGCATTCTGGATTAGTTGTAATAATAACAATAACAACAACAAACAACAACAACAACAAGAAGTTATTATTTATACCCTGCCCATCTGGCTGAGTTTCCCCAGCCACTCTGGGCAGCTCCCAATCGAGTGTTAACAACAATACAGCATTAAATATTAAAAACTTCCCTAAACAGGGCTGCCTTCAGATGTCTTTTAAAAATAAGAGAGCTGCTTATTTCCTTGACATCTGCTGGGAGGGAGTTCCACAGGGCGGGTGCCACTACCGAGAAGGCCCTCTGTCTGGTTCCCTATAACATTACTTCTCAGAATGAGAGAACTGCCAGAAGGCCCTCAGTGCTGGATCTCAGTGAAGTTTCCAGATCACCTTCAAAGGTAGCCCCACATAGAGTGCATTGCAGTAGTCCAAGCGAGAAATAACTAGAGCATGGACCACTCTGGCAAGCCAATCTACAGGCAGGTAGGGTCTCATCCTGCGTACCAGATGGAGCTGGTAGACACCTGCCCTGGACACAGAATTGACCTGCGCCTCCATGGACAGCTGAGAGTCCAGAATGACTCCCAGGCTGTGCACCTGGTCCTTCAGGGGCACAGTTGCCCCATTCAGGACCAGGGAGTCCTGAAGGCGTGCTGGAATGTAAACAGGCATGTGACATGCAACAATCCACATATCTGCAGCAAAAGGTGGAATAGAATCCCAACACATGGTGGGTGGGGAGAACACCCTGAAACTGAGCAGTCAAGTGGCAAGAAAAAGAGATTCTGACTAAACGTTAGGAAGAACTTTCTGACAGTATAAGACGCTGGACTCTCCTTCCTTGGCAGTTTTGAAGCAGAGGTTGGGTGGCTATCTGTCAGGGACGCTTTAGTTGAGATCCCTGTCTTGCAGGGCGGGTTGGACTAGATGACCCTTAGGGGTCCCTTCCAACTCTACATTTCTATGATTCTGTGACTAGATGGGTCCCTGTGGACCTGATCCAGCAGGTCTCCCCTCAGGTTCTTACGATATAACAGAGGTGCAGAGGGGAAGGCGACTTTCCCATTATCATACATTCATTCATTTTTGTTTTGAGTGCTTTGTTTGGGGGGAAAAAAAAGGTCTCAAAGCAATTTAAAAACAAAGCAAAATTCAAAAAGATAAAATCATTTTGAATAAAGGTGTTCTGGATATTCTTGCCCCAAAAGGGCTGCTCGTGGCTAGTAGCTATTGATAATCCTCCTCCATGAATTTGTCTAAACCTCTTTCAAAGCCATCCAAATTGGTGGCCATCACTGTCTCTTGTGGGAAGGAGTTCCACAGTTTAACTCTGTGCTGCATATTGAATCTCTCAACATTCTTACTTGGTGCTGAGAGCGATGGGGGCTCGGTGCATGTTAAATTGCACCAGGCCGTTTTATGGGAAGCAGTTCACAAACGAAACAAATAGATAAGTACGTTTTCAGTGGTACATTTCGCAATTAGATAATCTTGCATCACATCTAAAGGGGGAGATAAAAGGGACCTGGTCAAATTTGGGAAGGGGGCAGTCGGTACTGGAGGATGAAGAACACCAACATCTGCAAGGGGGGTGGGCAGCAAAAAAAACCCCCCAGCATACCCCACTGGCAGAGACTCACATTCTCACATGGGGTATATACAACAGTGCACACCCCTTATATATTTGTGTGTGTGTGTGTGTGTGTGTGTGTGTGTATACATATATATATATATATATATACACACACACATATATATATATATATATACACACACACACACACACACACATATATATATATACATATATACACACACACATATATATATATATGCACACACACACACACACACACACACACCCCACTTGATTGTTTAAAAAAAACCCCTCAAAGCTGTTTAATAAAATAAAAAACAAATTAATATTAAGAGCAATTTAAAAATTTAAAAGCAGCAATAAATTAAAAACATATCAGGATTTGTGGATAGGCTAAACAAAAATGTTTTTAGCCGAAAGGAGTAAAGCAAAAGGGGCTGGCTGATGTCAAGTGGCAGGGAGTTCCGGAGATGCAGAAGGGATATTATTTACCTTTCGAGTGCCCCGTCCTGCACAGCAGGGGCGTTGCTAGCCAGGCCGGCGGCAGTGCTGCCAACAGGAAGGCTGGTGGATCCCGATCGGGGAGGCAGTGGGGGCTTCTCATCCTCCCCATCTGTGGAAGGCAGAAGGCAAACGGTCAGCAGAAACAGGATCACCAAGCTGCAGTGTGTGGGCTGGCAGGGTTGTTGTTGTTTTGTTTAATACAAAAAAACCCCAAAACAATAAAGCTATCAGGAAGGAATAAGTTAACACATCTGGAAAGTTGGAATACCAATAAACTAAAAGTAGATTAAAACTCACACGAGCTTCCTAAACACGTGGGCAGGCTTGTCTGAACAAAAGTGCTTTTTAGCAGGTGCCGAAAACAGTGCAAGTAGATCAATAGGTACCGCTCCTGTGGGAAGGTAAACGGCGTTTCCGTGCGCTGCTCTGGTTCGCCAGAAGCGGCTTAGTCATGCTGGCCACATGACCCGGAAGCTGTACGCCGGCTCCCTCGGCCAGTAAACCGAGATGAGCGCCGCAACCCCAGAGTCGGCCACGACTGGACCTAATGGTCAGGGGTCCCTTTACCTTTAAGGCAGTGTTGGCCAAACTTGGGTCTCCAGCTGTTTTTGGACTACAACTCCCATCATCCCTAGCTAACAGGACCAGTGGTCAGGGATGATGGGAGCTGTAGTCCCCAAACAGCTGGAGACCCAAGTTTGGCCAACACTGCCCTAAGGTAAGGGCCTTCCTGTCCCTGTTGGTGCAAAGGGCTTTCAGGAGGGGAGCAGACAAGATCGACCACCTGTGGGTTGGGGTTCAAAGGTGTGTTTGTACCTGAGTAGTCCCTGTCCTCCACATTCTCCTTGTCCTTCTCCCGTTCCACAGGGAAGAGCAGCGTGCAGACGAGGCCTTGGTTCGGCTGCAGGTAGAGGGTGATGAGGTCGCTCAGGGTCTTGAACCGCCTCACCTGGACGCCTTGAGATGTCTGCAGGGAAAGGAGGGAGCAGGACCCGTCAAGGCAAAGAGAAAGACGTTCTGGTTGCCTCACCTCAAAAAGGATGTTGGGAAAGGGTTCAGAAAACGGCAGCCGAAAGGAGGATTGAGGGCGGGTGTGGAGCGATTTCCCCTTGAGGAAAGGTCGCAGCGTTTAGGATTTTAAGGTTTGGAGAAAATGCAAGAAAGAGGCAGCATGATAGAGGCTTGGCACAGAGGAAGCGGATAAAGAAATGTTGTTCTCCCTCCCTTTTCGGTTAATTTGTTTTTGTGACTGTGTGGAACCCAGTTCAGCTACTGATTGATTGCGTGACTGCGGAAATGGATAAAAGCCCCCCCTCCAAACAATGACTATCATCAGTACAGGTAAGAAAATAATAATAATTTAAATTTTTATCATCTACAGTACAGTGGTACCTTGGGTTAAATACGCTTCAGGTTACATACGCTTCAGGTTACAGACTCCACTAACCCAGAAATATTACCTCGGGTTAAAAACTTTGCTTCAGGATGAGAACAGAAATCGTGCTCTGGCGGTGCAGCGGCAGCAGGAGGCCCCATTAGCTAAAGTGGTGCTTCAGGTTAAGAACAGTTTCAGGTTAAGAATGGACCTCCAGAACGAATTAAGTACGTAACCCGAGGTACCACTGTACTGTCTTTTTTATTTTATAGTACAGAACATTGATAATTGCTTTCATTTTATGGATCAGTGATCTCATTAGATAGTAAAATTCATGTTAAATGGCTGTTTTAGGGGTTGTTTTTAAAGTCTGTAATGGTTTAATCCATTTTGCATTATTTTCTATGGGAAAGCGCACCTTGGTTTTGGAACGCTTTGATTTTGGAACGGACTTCCGGAACTGATTAAGCTTGAGAACCAGGGTACCACTGTAATGCAAAATTTGTCCATCATAATCCACCAGTCATTTTGAACGCAGGGCAGACAGAGAAGTATCATCAATGAGGAAGTTTGGGCATGGACCTCCAAGTATCAGAGCCATTTATCTGTCCCTTAATTCTACCCTTTCACCGCTAGCAGAATTCCTTGAACCTCATGCGGAAAACACAACACTCTTCCCCACCCTGGATGTTTGGCACGACACCTCCCACCAGGTCCCTTTGTCCCCGAGGCCGTGCTCTGAGCCAAAGAGATTCCCACGGCACAAAGGTCACAGGCAGACTTCCTCGAGCGCCGCTGCCAGCCCACAAGCGTCACCGCTGGGGGGAGATCAGGAGGACAGAAGCTACTGCTCAGGAACCAGGAAGTGACAGAGGTCAGTCGCCGCAAGATCAGTCTGTGCCTTGTGACTGCAAAAGGGCTCCTAGCTCCATCACAAAACACCTCTGGCAGGTCGCCCAAGGCGGGAGAAGACCTGAATTCAGCGCAACCTGTGCCTATGAAGACAGGATTGAACTGGGAGGGCTTCACAGCAGTTTCAACCCCACTAAAGTGAAAACACTTGATAAAGGTTGTTTTTACTCAACCCATGAACATGGGAAGAGTTCAGTGGTGGGGGCCATGCAAGAGAGACGCCCCTTGCTCTAATCCTGGGCATCTCTAGATGGGGGTGGTCTGCATTTAGGAAGGGGGGTCTAAACCTCAGACTGCCTAATAATAATAATAATAATAATAATAAATTATTTCTACCCCGCTCAACTGGCTGGGTTTCCCCAGCCACTCTGGGCAGCTTCCAACAAAATATTAAAAATACATTAAAACATCAGCAACCCCTCTTCGTGACACACACCCCTCCCCCCAAAAAATCACCTCTAGATAAATTAATTTATTCCCTTGCAAATTTAAGACCCTAACAATCCTTCCCCCCCAAATCCTCTTAAGGTTGTTTTGAAAAGCTTTCTCCCACAACCAGGCTCTGAAACCAATTGGTGGTGAGGGTCACTTGCTGGGGGGGGGGAGAGAAAGGCTGAGCACCCTCCCTACTCAATACCCTCAGCAGTTTTCTCATTACCTTGGCAAACAGGGACCAGCTCGGCTCTGAGAATCTGCACTTCCCGTTTTGTTTTTTTAATACAGAAAGCGAATTCTGAGCCCTTCTGAGCTTGCAAACGGAAGCAGTGAGGCCAAGCAGTGCCCGGATAACTCCAAAAGCCAAGTGTAAAGAGCAGAGGGGGGTGGAATCAGTGCCTCTTTGAAGAAGATTTTCCTTCCCACAAGCCAAGGACCAGAGGCTGCTGCTTATTCAAGCCACAGAGCTGGCTTTTCTGTGCAACGAACTGAGATTATTTCAGCGTTGCAGGGATGGGCGCCATATAGAATCACAGAACTGGGAGGGGGGTACCCCAAGAGTCCAAACCCCTGCCGATGCATGTGTGCTTCTCCGCACCGCCCACCCACCCACCCACCGAAGGCGGTCTGGACACAGACAGGCTTACAGAACTGATTTCCAACCATTTAAAAGCCTCGCCAACCTCTGGAGCACAAAACAGGAAATGCCTGCTGAGAATTCCCTGTTTGGCCAGGGAGAAGCCACTCCGATCAGTTGGCAGCTGGGGGCCATCCCAGGCAAGGGAATAAGCTTTCCTTCCCCCCACCAGCACCCACTGCAAACCCCCCCGCCCCCTTTCCCCCAGCCGTGGCGCAGGCAGAGAGGGCAGGCTCCTGGGCTCGCTTAGGATTCTGCAACACAAGCTGGGCAGCAGGGGGGGGGTTGGACCTGGGGAATGTCCTCCTTTCAGCAGCCCCCCCCTCCAGGGCTCACTTTTTCCTGCCGGCTTGGACGGCACAATGAGGTTACTGTAGTGCTATAAATGAACCATCGCCTGAGCCAGGCAGACTTCCTGCCAAGATCAGCAGTGTGTGGGCATCTGCAGGGCTCCTGCCAACCCCTGCTCTGCCCTGGAGACAGTGCTGGGCTAAAGGGACACCCGTTCCGCGGTCAGGAGGGAGAAGCGTCGCTCACGTCCCAGGGGACCTCCCGGCCTGCGCTCACAGGCGCACAGCGTGGAACCCAGCCCCCAACCTTCTGTCTTCGCCAGCCAAGGGGGCTGGGCATAAACCCCTGGGCAAGAGCCTCCTTCTTTTCCACTCCGCACGTCGCCAAACATTGCCCTGAATGTTAAAACGGTTATATAGCTCAGTCGGCAGAGCATGAGGCTCTTTAGTTTCAGGGTTGTGGGTTCGAAACCCACACTGGGCACAAAGATCCCCGCATTGCAGGGGTTGGGCTAGGTGACCCTCGGGGGGGGCGTCCCCTTTCCAATTCTACAGCTTCTATGATTCTATAACAGGGAGTCCCATTGAACTGCATTGTTAATGAACAGCAGCCTTACGCCATTTTGGACTTCATAGAATCACAGAATCGTAGAACTGCAGGTTTGGAAGGGGACCCCCCCCCCATCATCTAGTCCAAGCATAGGCAAACTCAGCCCTCCAGATGTTTTGAGACTACACTTCCCATCATCCCTGACCACTGGTCCTGTTAGCTAGGGATGATGGAGTTGTAGCCCCAAAACATCTGGAGGGCCAAGTTTGCCTGATCTAGTCCAACCCCCTGCAATGAAGGAATTTCAGCCAAAGCATCCGTGGCAGATGAGTTCCAGATTACAACCCCCATAATTCCTGGGTACCACTTGCCATGTGACACTGGGAAGCTGATGGGAGCAGGCGCTGCTGGGTGAGGCGGATGGGAAGGGTAGTTCGAAACATCTTGGGAGTGCGCCTCTAAGGCTGGTGTACCGTGAGGAGTCATTCGTCTTTTAGAACTGATTTCAGGATTCTCCCCTGCTACTGGAACTGCTTATGCCCTCCCTGAACCCATTTCCTTCAAAAGCGTGCAGTGAAATCTATCCAGGAACAAACAACAGCGTTTTGGGTACATATAGCCACAGATCTTTGTGCGCAACCGTCACCGGAAGCAACGGAATCTACACAAACTCTGCAAAAGGAGGCGGCAAGAGGTACGGAGCTCACCTGCACGGCCAGGAAATCCTCTTCGTCCGGCAAGATCCGGTAGGTGTGGACATGCTTCTGGAATCTATGGCAACAACAAAAGGATTGGGGGGGGGGAGAGAAAGAGAGATTTAAAACAGGGGGATGACTATTGCGGTGAAGCTATAGAAGAACTCAACTCCCTAAAATGGGAAGTTTTGGGGCTTCGTTCTCCCTTACATGAACCCACCACACACCCTGATCTGGACAACCCTGATCTCCGGACATTTGCGATGGGTTGCGCTTAAATCAGGGGCAAATTAAAAGCACCACCCCAGGAAGAAAAAACACACACTCAGAGGCACTGCCTAGATCTTACAAACTCACAAATGTTCCTCTTCCACCAGGCCTTGGGCAGATTAATATTCTACAGCCTTTTAAATGGGTCTGTGGGAAGGGGGCGGTTGCTGTTTCTTTGGGCTTTGTTATAATTATTAACTTGCATTTTTATCTTGTACTTTATTCTGCGAACCACCCTGAGATTTATTTATTTTTTAAGTGGGTGTACATTATTATTATTATTATTATTATTAAATTGCTTTCTGCGAGGCATCTCAAAGCGATTTACAGTGCAAAAACACGTAAGAAGCAATTGCACAAATGAAAACAATAAAAAAAACCTGCAGGTCAAAGACTCTTGCCACATGTGTGCCTGGGTTTAGTCTTTGCTGCTTGACATAAAAACAGCACATCAGGGAAGAAAGCAATACGCCTTTGCCAACCTGGCCACCCCCTCCCACGTTTTGGACTACAACTCCCATCAGCCCCAGCATCCTACGGTTGTTCTGGTTGGGGCTGATGGGAGCTGGAGTCCAGCATTGCCAAGCGGCCGAAAGGCTGCCCACACCCCGACCGCAGGGCTCTATATATTATTTTATAAACTACCCACTGAAAGAGCACAGTCTCCAGAGACCAGTTAAAAAGGGGAGGGGCAGATGAACTTCTCTGTGTCGCAACTCAGGAGCCACAACCGAAAAGACCCTGCCTCTCGCTCCCGATGTGCTATACCCTGGCTGCTGGAGGGAGGAGGAGAAAGCAAGGCAAGACCTCCAGCAGATCAAGAACATAATAAGAGTACTGCTGCATTGGGCCAGTGACACCCCAAGTCCAGCAACCGGTTCTCACAGGGGCCAACTAGATGCCCATTATGGGAAACCCAAAAGCAGGATTCGAACACAACACCCAATTCTCCCCTCCTGTGGTTTCCAGCAGCTGGGATTCAGAAGCATCGCTGCATCCAGCCATGGAGGAAGAACACAGCCCTCCTAGTTGAATCCATCCCTCTTTTAAAGCCATCGCTGTCTCCTGGGGCAGGGAGTTCCAAAGATTAACTACATGCAAGTCAGCTTCACCCTGGGCAGCTGCTGTTGCAAGACTCTCTGGCCCTTTGGAGCACCATGCGTGAATTATGCAAAACAGAATATGCAAAACACATCGCTCGGGGACCCGACACGTCCTTGCAAATGAGAGTCAAACCACAAGCGCTGTGCATAGCTAAACGTTAAAATTATCGGGGCTGGGAAGCTTGGGCTGGGCTGCAGACAGGGCTGGCCTCTGATGCAGACACCGCAAAGGGGGAAATTCACCCCTGTCACAGAGCTGAACGGAAACAAAAGGCCGCTTTTAGAATCATGGAATTGTAGAATTGGAAGTTCTGATGGTTCCTACCATCAGAAAGTTATTCCTAATGCATACGATTACCAGTTGCTGGAAACTGCAGGAAAGGAGCGTTCTCTCGCACCCGGCTCCCTCTTGCAGGCACCAGCTTGGCAAATAATAATTTCACTATTTATACCACCCCCCAACCATCTGACCAGATTCTCCCAGCGGGTGGCGCTGTGGGTAAAACCTCAGTGCCTAGGACTTGCCGATCGTATGGTCAGCGGTTCGAATCCCCGCGGCGGGGTGAGCTTCCGTCGTTCGGTCCCAGCTCCTGCCCACCTAGCAGTTCGAAAGCACTCTTATGTGCAAGTAGATAAATAGGTACCGCTTTATAGCGGGAAGGTAAACGGCGTTTCCGTGTGCTGCGCTGGTGCTGGCTCGCCAGTGCAGCTTCGTCACGCTGGCCACGTGACCCGGAAGTGTCTTCGGACGGTGCCGGCTCACGGCCTCTAGAGCGAGATGGGCGCGCAACCCTAGAGTCGGTCACAACTGGCCCGTACGGGCAGGGGTACCTTTACCTTTTTATTTATACCACCCCCCAACCATCTGACGAGATTCTCCCAGCCACTCAAGGCGGCAAAAGTTTCCTGGCAGGAATGGGGTCACTAGTTGCATCAGGAAACGGAGCAAAAAAACAAATAAACTGAGACGATTATCTTCTTCAACGAGCCAAATTAAAGATCGCAGGTATAATGAATTTTCCGTGTCACACAAGGCACTTCCGCCGCTGATTGCTCGAAGCCAAATGAAAACCACGATGTTGCAAGGCAACGGCAGACAAGGTGACATTCACAGCTCTGATCTCTGCAAAAGTTCAGAGAAAGAGAGACGGGGAGTCGGTTCCCGAACGCTGAAAATTACGCCCTTCTCCTTTCTCCTCTCCTGACCAGGGAAAGGCCAGCCTGCCCCCACTTAATGCACAGGTGAATGTATTATTCAGCAGGCAAAGGAGATGAATAATTGGCACCAGCTTGCAGCCTCGGGAGGAGAAATGCAGAGAGAGGGCAATCAGGCGCAAGGGCGTTGGCGGCTGTGTAGTGTACACAAAACCCTCGTGGCAAAGGGAAGGATGTGTCCCTGTGCCGCATCCACCCTGCGGCCCAATTTTCTTCTCCAAAACAGCTTTAGAGAGAGGGAAGCCTCCTAGCTCAGCAGCAAATCAGCTGCTCTGCATGCGGAAGCTCCAAGGTGCAGCCTCCAGCCTCCCCCATTCGGAAAGAAAAAGGGATTTCAAGCAGCAAGGCTGGGACTGAGACCTCTGGCCCTCACAGAATCATAGAACTGTACGACACCAAAGGTCATCTTGCCCACCCCCGGCAAACTTTGAAGGCGGAATACACTGAGCCAGGGGACCCAGCAGCAAGTCCGTCTCTTCGACAGAGGCCCAGCCTTATGGCTAAGCAACACCCCATTCTACGTTAGCACTTCCGCCTCCTTAAGTTTCCACAAACGAAACAATACGATACGATACTCTTTATTGTCACCGTCCCACACAGAACAACGAAATTGAAAATCTACATAAGACATTCAAAAACCAACAAGCTGCTATCCCACCTATCCCAACCTGTTTAGCCCCCTAAAAACTCTGATACCCCATTTAAAAAAACAATATACAATTATACATCGGGGTGAATATGCTTCAGATTGAGCGTTTTTACTCTCTGCGGCGACCCGGAAGTAATGGAGCGCGTTATTTCCGGGTTTCGCCACTCACGCAAACGCTCAAAATGATGTCACGCACATACGCAGAAGCGGGTTGCATTCTACTCAGGATGCAAATGGAGCTCCGGAACGGATCCCGTTTGCATCCAGAGGTACCACTGTACTCCCATACAGACGCCTTACACTGCATTTAAAACCAGCATTGCATTTGGATAGAAACTGTTTCTCAGGCGGCTAGTCCTAGTCTTTATAACCCTGTCCCTTCTTCCAGAAGGCAGAAGCTGAAAGAGATCATTTCCAGGGTGCGCACTATCCTGCACTATCTCTGCCACTTCCTTATGGCACCTGGAAGCGTAGATTTAATCCAAGGTGGTTATTGTCAAACGAGCCCCACAACGAGAGATGCTTGTGCGGATGATCTCAGTGATCAAGCTGGGATGTCAGGGTTCAGGAGATCTCTGAGGTACTATTATTATTATTATTATTATTAATTATTTATACCCTGCCCATCTGGCTGGGTTTCCCCAGCCACTCTGGGAGGCTTCTAACAAAACACTAAAATACAATGTTTCAACAATGGGGCCACATGTTCTTGACTAGAAGCTCCCATCAGCAATCTGGCAGCGGCATTCTTCACCAGGGGGAGCTTCCGAACAGCCCCCAAGGGCAGCCCCACAAAGAGCACCTTACAGTAGTCCAGCCTTGAGGTAGCCAGTGTGTGGTCAGGGTCTCCCAGGAACGGCTGCAGTTGGCAAAGCAGACCGAGCTGGTAAAAGCACCCCCCTCTGGCCTGCTGCAGAGCATCACACGACTCTTTTCAGAGAAAAGAACCGCTGTCGTCCCCACCTGACCCCAGGAAATGCAGGGCTGCTGCTTTTGCAGTCGGCCCGCCCCCCCCCTACAATTCAGAAGCAGAAGGAGAAGTGTCTTCTGAGAAAAGGACACCCACTCAAGACAGGAAGCAGAGATGGTGATTCAGCAGCAAGCTCTGAGTCAGCACCCCAGCACAAGCTCAAATTTGGCTCCTGCGAAACGTCTCCGAGTTAAAACATCCAACCCGAAATTCCTCCCATCTCCGAAGCTGCCGATTCCTCCTTCCTCCCCCCCCCACCCCCCCCACCCCCCGTCAACAGGGAAGCCTGCCAAAAAACGCCTGGGTCTCGCTGACCCTTCAGGGGACAAAAGCCTCGTAACTATCTTCTTTGCAAAGGCTCTCCATTGCGCCTCTCGAATTCTTATTAGGAGCCTTCAGAGTTTAGGCAGGCGGCAAAAGAGGCTCTTTTTGCGGCCTCCATTTTGCAACACCGCTTTTGTTCCGGCTGGTTATTGAGGGCCTTCGGGAGCAAAGCTGCCGGCGAGTGGCTGGGGCCGCAATCTAGCGGGAATCTGCCCCGCAGAAAGGAAAGAGCAGGAACAAAAGAGCAGCCGGTTGCTGGATCAGGCCAAAGGGATCAAGTCCAGCTTCCTGTTCTTTCTCACAGTGGCCGACCAGTTGACCGTTGTGCGGAACCAGCAAGGAGGACTTGACACGGACAGCAGCTTTATCTTGCTCTTGCGGTTTCCAGAGGCTGGTATTCAGAAACACAGCACAGGACTTTTTTGCATGTGAGAACTTTCGGCTTTGCCAAACCGCTTTGCCCTCTAGATCTGTCGTTCCCAAAGGGGTGGCAGATTAACTGGAGGGTGCTAGGAGGTAAGGGGTACAGCCCCCTTCTTCCTCCACTCCTCTAAATGAACGGTTGCCATTCTGCCTGCAGAGGCGGGGAGTCTAACACAGAATTGCCACCATCGCTGGTGGAGACAGGTGTCTCTCAAGCATCTCTGACCTGCTATCTTTGACTGGCAGTGCCAAGGTTATGACATTCTGCACATACCTGAAGGAGGGTCTCCATCCCCATCATTCTGCACAGACACTGAGGTCCACCTCCGAGGGCCTTCTGGCGGTTCCCTCGCTGCGAGAAGCCAAGTTACAGGGAAGCAGGCAGAGGGCCTTCTCGGTGGTGGCACCCGCCCTGTGGAACACCTTCCCACCAGATGTCAAAGAGAACAACAACTACCAGACTTTTAGAAGACATCTGAAGGCAGTCCTGTTTAGGGAAGCTTTTAATGTTTAATAGACTATTGTATTTTAATATTCTGTTGAAAGCTGCACAGAGTGGCTGGGGAATAAATAATGAATTATTATTATTATTATGAGTGCCTGTATCTCTTCCCTCTTCCCTGAGCTGCAGCACTTGGGGGCGCTGCGTGAGCAACGATAAACCATGCACACTCCCAAGGGGCCTCGCAACGAACAGGCAAACTAGCCCCACTCTACAGCAGGAACGGGGAACCTTCGACCCTGGAAATCTTGTTGAGCTACAACTCCCATTATCCCTGCCCATTAGCCATGCTTGCTGTGATGGACACAAGGCCTAGCAGTTCCTCAAATACCTGCTCTGCCCTGGCCTGTCCCCCCCCCCCCGAGTCTATTAAACATTAAAAGCTTCCCTAAACAGGTAAAATTGACTTCCATAAACACGGTTTTAAAAGTGAGTCCGTAAGTGACTGTGGAGGCCAATTCTGGATCCACATGTCCTTCCACAGTGGGGACATTGGTTTCTGGGCGGGAGTTGATCATGGTGAGGGTTTGCCAAGCGTGCCTTCCTCTTGGCACGTTTCTCCCTTGTGTCCCGAGTTCGAGTGTCTTCAAAGCCCATGACACCTTTGGTCAAGGCTATTCTCCAACTGGAGCACCCGTAAGCCAGTGTTTCCCAATTGTCAGTGGTCTTACTACATTTTTTTAGATTTGCCTTGAGACAGTCTTTAAATCTCTTTTGTTGACCACCAGAATTACGCTTTCCATTTTTAAGTTCGGAATAGAGTAGTTGCTTTGGAAGACGATCATCAGGTATCCGCACAACATGACCAGTGCAACAAAGTTGATGTTGAAGAATCATTGCTCCGACACTGGGGATCTTTGCTTCTTCCAGTACGCTGGCATTAGTTTGCCTGTCTTCCCAAGTGATGTGTAAAGTTTTTCGGAGACACCATTGATGGACTCTTTCGAGGAGTTGGAGATGGCATTTATAAGTGGTCCACGTTTCACAAGCATACAAGAAGGTTGGTAGTACAATAGCTTTGTAAACAAGCATTTTGGTTTCCCTGCAAATGTCCCGGTCCTCAAACACTCTGCACTTCAATCGGGAGAAAGCCACACTCGCAGAGCTCAGGCGACGCTGGATTTCGGCATCAACGTTTTGGGCCCCCAGCTCCTATCAGCTAGCACAGCCATGGTGCTGAGGCTCATAGGAGCACGACTGCCATGGCAAGGGCTGATGGGAGTTGTAGTCCAACAACACCCAGAGAGTCCCAGGTTGGGAGAAAGGTTGCTCTGGCCTCATCCCACCTGCAAGAATTCATTTTTCCGGCTCCAGGCCTCAAATGTTGTCACGCCTGCTCTGCCACCAACTGTGACACCCCTGGCAGCCTTACGGACGTGTGTCTCCAGCCCGGCAAGGCCTCGTTTGCGGGGGGTGGGGGCCACCGGCCAGGAACAGTCCTGCACAGCAAATGCATTCCACAGGCTCCGGTTTCTCTGAGCCTTTGGGCTGAGCGCCGGACGCCGCCAGCACCAGACGCCAACGCTTTGAGGTTCGGGTTACGGCTGGTCCAGTGACTAATCCTGAGCAGACAGAGAAGCCCCGTTCCAGAAGTCAGCCCAGCAGAGCAGCTGAGGAGAGGGACAAAGGTCCCCTGTGCACGAAGGCTGTTTCCCAAGGATGACCCAGACCATCATCAAGAGAGCCTGCCGGATCGCGGGACTGTTTACTCTAACACACACACCAATCTCTTTGGAGTTCACATGTAGGGCTGGGAGACTCGGGGCAGGATTACCAGCCTGCGCCATGCAGGCTGGGGCTATTTTGGACGCTGCCTCGCAGCCTCCTGCGCATTTGCAGAGCACGCCTCTCGCAAGGAGCTGCTGCGCCAAGAGCGTCCCTGTTTCCACCATCAGTAAAGAGGAGGCACGATAAGGAGTTTGTGGAATGATGCCTGGCACAGAGATGGCGGGCAGAGACCTCTCTCGTAACACTTAAGTGGGTGGGCATCTAAGGAAGCGAAATGCCGGAAGAGTCAGGACAGAGAAAAGGAAACCCTTCTCCACACAGCGCCTAGCTTAAACTGCGGAACTCCCTGCCACAGGACGCAGGGATGGCCACCCCAACTGGATTGCTTGAAAAGAAGATTAGAGCAATTCGTGGAGGAAGAGTGGGCTGCGGGCTGCTGTGCTCTGCCTCCATGGCTGAATCCCAGTTGCTGGAAACTGCAGAAAAGGAGAGTTGCTCTTGTGCTCGGATCCTGGTAGCTGGTTTCGCACAGGCATCTCGTTAGCCACTGTGAGAAGAGGATGCTGGACGAGACGGGCCCCTATTGGCCTGATCCAGCAGGCTCCTCCCATGTTCTTATAATCTCAGGAGTGATCTGCATGCTTAGTTTCCCAAACTTGAGTCTCCAGCTGTTGTTGTTTTTTGGACTACAACTCCCATCATCCCTACTAGCAGGACCAGTGGTCATGGATGATGGGAACTGTAGTCCCAAAACAGCTGCAAACCCAGGTCTGGGAAGCCCTACTTCGAGTGACCTTGCTCAGCAGTGCCTACACTTACCGGCAGCTGTCCTCCAGGGGTCTCTGGCAGGGGGCATCTCTCAGCCCCCCCTGCAGAAGCCACTGGGTATTAATCATAACCACTGATATAATGATATCATATGCTTTTGATCCTGTACGGCAGGGGCCAGCAAACTTTTTCAGCAGGGGGCCGGTCCACTGTCCCTCAGACCTTGTGGGGGGCCGGACTATATTTTGGAAAAAAATATGAATGAATTCCGATGCCCCACAAATAACCCAGAGATGCATTTTAAATAAAAGCACACATTCTACTCACGTAAAAACATGCTGATTCCCGGACCGTCCACGGGCCGGATTTAGAAGGCGAATGGGCCGGATCTGGCCCCCAGGCCTTAGTTTGCCTACCCATGATGTACGGGGTTATTGTATTTAGACTGGAGTGTGTTTGTTTTTTAAGGTCAGCTGCTTTGAGCACAGATATATTTCTTGAAAGTGTGATATAGATATAAAGAGACTGGGGCAGCCTGCCACACTCTGCTAGGCGGGCAGGAGATGCGCTTGCGTGACTCGCTCCTTCCTCCATCCCTCTGCCCACATGACTGCATCTGGTTCCCCCAAGGGAGGCCTTCACTCTGCATGTGGTGCATTTTCTTGGTCCCAGCATCACCCTTCCCAGAAATCAAGGCAGGGCTCGTCTCGAAGGGGAAGCCACAGCATGTCTTCAACCCCACACGCCTATGACCCTGGTCCCCACACTGCCTTCGCGGCGCAAGGAAAAGCCAGGTGGGCAGAAGAGGCCCAAAGCTGGGCAGAGAGGGGGCCATTGAGGGCTTCTAACCGGGATGCCAATGTTCTTCCCTGGAGGCAGCGATGCTTCCGAATGCCAGTTACGATACAATAATCTTTATTGTCATTGTCATACAGAACAACAAAATTGAAAAATCTACATAAGACATTCAAAAACCAACAAGCCTGCTATCCCAGCTATCCCAATCTGGTTGGTCCCCTAAAAACTTTTGATACCCCATTTTTAAATACAATATACTCCCATGGAGACTCCTTACACTGCATTCAAAACCAAAATCGCATTTTGGTGGAAACTGTTTCTGAGGTGGCTAGTCCTAAGTCTTTATAACCCTGCACCTTCTTCCAGAAGACAGAAGCTGAAAAGAGATCATTTCCGGGGTGCGCACTATCCTGCGCTATCTCTGCAGCTTTCTTATGACACCTGGAAGCGTAGATTTGATCCAAGGTGGGAAGAGTGCACCCAATTATTCTCTCCGCAGTCTTTGCAACCCTGGACAGCATTATTTTTTCCCTGGCCGTGCAGCTCCCAAACCACACACACAGAGACCATAAGTTAATACACTCTCCACAGTCCAATGGTAAAATGCCATCAACAGGTCCTTTGAGAGATTGTTTTTCCGGAGGATTCTGAGTTTCTGGAAACCACAGGAGGGGAGAGTGATGCTCTTGTGCCGGAATCCTGCCTGTAGGTTTCGCTTGGAGGCACCTGGGCAGGGATGGCCACCAACCTAGATGAGGCAAATCCATGGAGGAGAAGAGGGCTATTGAAGGCTCCCAGCCACGTTCTGCCTTCATGGTTGGAGCCGGTGATGCTTCTGAGTGGAAACCAAGGGTGATCTCGCACTCGGGTCCCGCTGGCGTTCTTCCCACAGGCGTCTGATTGGCCACTTGAAGAACAGGATGCTGGACTAGATGGGCCACTGGCCTGATCCTGCAGGCTCTTTGTAGGTTCTTGTTATCTAACCTCAGGACCTCGTGGTGAAAAGCAGTGAAGGAATCTTACAAGTAAACAAATCATTTAACAAATAGTCATACCTCATGTTACGTTTGCTTCATGTTACGTCTTTTCAGGTTGCGTCCCACGGTGACCCGGAAGTACCAGAAAGGGTTACTTCCGGGTTTCACTGCTCACGCATGCGCAGAAGCGCCAAATCACGCCACGCACCTGCGCAGATACGATGCTTCAGGTTGCGGGCTTTTCAGGTTGCAACTGGGCCTCCAGAATGGATCCCGTTCACAACCAGAGGTACCACTGTAAAATGGTCTCAAGCAAGTCATTTTCTTCCAGCCTCAGTTTCTCATCTGTAAAACGGGCATCTTTGCCATCTACCTCAAAATGTTTTTTACCAGCAAATGGCAAAGCATTTCATTTCATTTTATTTATTTTTCCTTTTGCAAAAGGAGAATTCCTGCTAGGAGCCCTAACCCAGCAGTATAATAGCAGCAACTGTAGTCAAAAGGTTTAAACGAGAGGATGCAACATTCAACCACAGACACTCAGGTGTGAAGTCTGGCTTTCTGCTTCCGTTCCCTGCCAGGCACGAAAAATGAAAGCGCAACGGCATCCGTCCCTTTCCAACAGCAGCAAGATGGAGGCAACCAGCCTTATGAAGCAAAACAGGGTCCTCCTCAAGTTCTAAAATTGGAGGTTCTGGGAATCCCAAGCTCCTCACAGTCACCCAAGCACCCCTGGGCAGAAGCTGGAGGTGTGAAGCTGCTGTGGCTCCAGCACTGCAAAGGGGTTGGACTAGATGACCGCCAGGGAGCCCTTCCAACTCTACGGAGCAGCTGTTTCGGCCAGAAGGTCCCAGGCTCCATCTCTGGCACCTGCCTGAACCCTGGTAAGCAGCTGCCAGCCAGCGCTGACGACACTGAGCGAGATGGACCTCTTCTGAATACTGAAATTGATTATAGTGGGGGTTTTTTGTGAATTTGTACCAATGTTTATATGCAGAACACCTGAGCATGGACTGAGTTTGTTTCACCTCTGTGGCCAAGTGGATTATTTTGAGTACTAAATTGTGCATTTGTGGATTGCTATTACTCTAGATCCAAAAACTATTTACATTAATGTATGAGTTAGTATTAATGTTTATATGTATAACATCTGAACGTGGATTAAGTTTGTTTTACTTTTGCTATGCCATAGGGGTCACTTTAAGAAAGATCTACTGTATCTGTGGATTGCCAACACCTGTAACTCCATCAATATTGCACTTGTCCAAAAAACCCTACTTTGTAACGGTTGCTGCTTACCGCAGCTACTACTATGCCATAAGATCCACTGTCCTGTAATATCACATATGGTATGTACAGGTATTTATGGTTTTATATTATTTTTGCTGTAAAATGCCTGAGATCACAATATTGTATTTATTTGTATTACTTAGAGCTTTAACTACTGATGAAGCCCAGGATGGCAAAACAAGGCCAATATTCTGGAAATCCTTGTCTTTAGACTCTGCGAAAGGATTCTGTGGAACTGTAACAACCTTTCTGTGGATTGTTTGGACCTTATGAACAGAAAGGTGGAATAGATACCTGTATACATGTATGGACCTTATGCCTGAACTGACTAGAGAATGATCTGATCCACTGTGTCTTCTGCTTTGTTTGTTTGTGAGTTACTTTATGAGTTACTTCTGTAGAAATTTATGATTTGATACAATGAATTTGTTGTTGTTTAGCTGTTTAGTCCGACTCTTTGTGACCCCATGGACCAGAGCATGCCAGGCACTCCTGTCTTCCACTGCCTCCTGCAGTTTGGTCAAACTCATGCTGGTAGCTTCGAGAACACCATCCAACCATCTCATCCTCTGTCGTCCCCTTCTCCTTGTGCCCTCCATCTTTCCCAGCATCAGGGTCTTTTCCAGGGAGTCTTCTCTTCTCATGAGGTGGCCAAAGTATTGCAGCCTCAGCTTCAGGATCTGTCCTTCCAGTGAGCACTCAGGGCTGATTTCCTTCAGAATGGATACGTTTGATCTTCTTGCAGTCCATGGGACTCTCAAGAGTCTCCTCCAGCACCAGAATTCAAAAGCATCCATTCTTTGGCGATCAGCCTTCTTGATGGTTCAGCTCTCACTTCCATACATCACTACTGGGAAAACCATAGCTTTTACTATACGGACCTTTGTTGGCAAGGTGATGTCTCTGCTTTTTAAGATGCTGTTTAGGTTTGCCATCACCTTTCTCCCAAGGAGCAGGCGTCTTTTAATTTCGTGACTGCTGTCACCATCTGCAGTGATCATGGAGCCCAAGAAAGTAAAATCTCTCACTGCCTCCATTTCCCCTTCTATTTGCCAGGAGGTGATGGGCCCAGTGGCCATGATCTTCGTTTTTTTGATGTTGAGCCTCAGACCATATTTTGCGCTCTCCTCTTTCACCCTCATTAAGAGGTTCTTTAATTCCTCCTCACTTTCTGCCATCAAGGTTGTGTCATCTGCATATCTGAGGTTGTTGATATTTCTTCCAGCAATCACTACTGGGAAAACCAGAGCTTTAACAATGAATAGTATACCTTATTTATCTAAGAACACAGCCGGATTGTTTACTGATGGTACAGGAGGCAGTTTCTTGTGCCAGCCCTGTGAATGATAAGGCATTTGCCGAGAGCCTCTCTGGAAAGAAACCCACACCTCGGCCTCTGCACCAAAGAGTTAAAGCCCCGAAGCGCGTCTGCAGACACAGCAATGAAGTTCATCTTTCTTCCTCCTGGCGAGAGCTATTTATAGTGCATAGTGGCGGTTTGTTTTCCCATCTGTGCTGGAGGAACACAGATATATACACATATTCTCCCTCTCTGCCCCCTCTCTCTCTGCAGCGTCAACCGCGCAGCCTGTGACTCAGTGAAAAGCACACAGGCTCCCAAGCCAGGATGCCGGCAGAGGAGGAGGAGGAGGAGGGAAGGAGGAGGTGGGGGAGGCTATCTTTAGCCAGCAGCGGGGGAAACCCGGCTTAGGCGGCAGCCTCTGCAGAGAACAGGGAGTTTCTGTCTCCGCAGACGGGTGGCGGGTCAGTTCTGGCTACAAAGGAACCAAAGCGGAGAGACACAGATTATGGAAGGAGGCTGGGGGTCAGAGGGAGGGGCTGGGGTGCCCACATATAGAATCAGAGAATGGTGGCATTGGAAGGGACCCCCCAAGAGTCATCTAGTCCAACCCCTGCTCTGCAGGAATCACAGCCACAGCATCTCTGGCAGGTGGCCGTCCACTATCTGCTGCAAAACCTCCAACGAAGGAAAGAGCCCATCAGCTTTCACCATTCCTAACGTTTAGTCAGAACCTCCCACCTTGCCATTTGAACCCCTTGCTTCGGGTCCTGCCCTCTAGAGCAGCAGAAAACAAGCTGGTTGGTCTGCTCTTCCATGGCCCCGAAGATATCGGAAGTTGGCTACACTCTCAGTCTCCTCTTTTCCAGGCTGAACACACCCAGCTCCTTCAACCGTTCCTCATCAGGCTTGGTTTCCAGACCCCTGATCATCTTGGTCGCCCTCCTCTGCCCACCACCTTCCAGTTTGTCAACATCCTTCTTAAATTCTGGTGCCCGGAATTGGACACAGGACTCCAGGTGTGGTCCGACCAAGGCAGAATAGAGCAGGAATATGACTTCCCTTGATCTGGACACTAGACTTCTGTGGATGCAGCCTAGAATCGCATTAGCTTTTTTTGCTGCTGCATCACACTGTGCAGGCCTCTCCTCCTCTAAGGCATGTACCCTTACAGCAGCCTTACCCAACCTGGTGCCCTCCAGTTGTTGCTTTTTGGGGGGTTGCATCAGGAACCATAGCCTGAAGCATCCGGAGGGCACAACATTGGAGACACTTGTCCCACTGCCACTAAGCAAAAGCACATATAAGGGAAACAGAGACTGCATGTGCTTCCCCTCTTTGCCCCTACCTCCATCTCTCTTGTGTTCAATTTTAAGTTGTATGCAGCTAGGGGCGGGGACCCACCTTTTGGCACTCTGTAAAGCACCGGGCACAATGATTGCGCGATATAAATGAGCCCGTGACACTCACACCCAATGGGCCTAGACCCCCAATTCCCTTCCCAGAGCTACATTTCCCAGGATGGCTCGACAATCAATCCCTCTTCACCAGTAACTCTGGGAAGTGTAGCTCTGGGACGGCATCTCCTAACAATTCCCATCGCCCTTAACAAACTGCAGCAATCTCAGCCCGTTCCCTGTCTCATGCAGTGACCCAAAGGTAACCAACCTATTTCGCAAATCCTTTGCTTGCCTGTGGAACTCACTGCCTCAAGACATGGTACTCCACTCTTCATAGTATGCACTACACATCCATGCCCTAGAAGGACTAAGTTTCTGGGATTCGATTCCCATCCCTGGATATGATGGCAAGGAGACAATCAGATCCCAAAAAAAAACACCCTTCCCCAAGATGTGTGTTTTCCCAAGAACACAGGGTGGGGGGGGTGTATTCTCTGCAACCCCCTAGCTGGGAGCCACCAGCTGTCCAAAGAGACCTGTAGCATCCTGAACTTGCAGCCATTCCTAAAATAACTGCTGCCGCTATTCTAGAGAGTCAAAAAGCTCTTTGCGGAGAAAGTGTTCTGGAACAGGACTTGGGTTGGTGCCTCCGAAGGGGCTTTTAAGCGCTAATTTGGTGCTGGAACTAAAAACACGAGACCACCCTCCTAGAAGGGGGCGGCTACAACTGTGGCGATGGTATCTGCCTGGGAGCAGACTGGATTCACAGCACACAAAGGCACAGCCCCTGTTACTGCAGCTTAATGAAAGAGGGAATCTCTCCATTGCATTTCCTTATTTCCTCATTCGTCGTCACCCATGCAGATTGCAAAAGCTGGGCCCCTAAGCATGCATTAAAGCATGAACGCAAGGGAACACATTCAAGGTAAAGAGAACCGCTCCCTCGTTCTCTAGTGACAGGCCAATGTCTGAAAGGATCAAAGATCTTCATCCGTACCAGAAGGTGGGAACGGGGGAAACTTCTTGTTTTGTTCATACATGGTTGAAAACTTATATATACAGTGGTGCCTTGGTTCTCAAACGCCTTGGTACTCAAACACCAAAAAATCAGAAGTAAGTTTGTTTCTGTTTTCAGATGTTTTTCGGAAGCCGAACGTCCGACGCAGCTGTCGGCTATTGTTTCCGGGGTGCCTGCACCAATCAGAAGCTGCGCCTTGGTTTTTGAACATTTCGAAGTCAAATCGACTTCTGGAAAAGATTAAGTTTGGCGCTTTTGTTTTTGCTATTTATTTTGCGTTTTTGTTTTTGAGGCTTTTTCGGTTAATTTGTTTCTGTGTCTGTGTTCAGCTACTGTGTTCAGCTACTGTTCAGCTGTGTTCAGCTACTGGTCAATTGATTGTGTAACTGCGGAAATGGATAAAAGCCCTCCATCCAAACAGTGACTATCATCAGTGCAGGGAAGGGGGGAAAATTATTTTAATCTTTATCATCTACAATACTGTCTTATTTATTTTATAGTACAGTACATTGATTACTGCTTTCATTTTATGGATCAATGCTCTCGTTAGATAGCAAAATACATGTTAAATCGCTGTTTTAGGAGTCGTTTTTAAAAGTCTGGGATGGATTAATCCGTTCTGCGTTACTTTCTATGGGAAAGCGCGCCTTGATTTTGGAACACTTTGGTTTTGGAACCGACTTTCGGAAGGGATTAAGCTTGAGAACCAAGGTCCCACTGTACAGTCATACCTCGGGTTAAATATGATTCAGGTTGAGCACTTTCGGGTTGCGCTCCACAGCAACCCAGAAGTAACAGAACACGTAACTTCCGGGTTTTGCTGTTCGCGCAGTCAAAATGACGTCACACGCATGCACGGAAGCGGCGCGTCGCGACCCCCGCAGACGCGGGTTGCGTTCGCTTCAGGATGCAAACAGGGATCCAGAACGGATCCCGTTCTTATCCAGAGGTACCACTGTATATATAAACAAACACATGCGCGCGCGCACAAAACTAGCAAGCGCTGAGCTTTCTGCATCATTGCTTTAAGGAGCACACAATTTTCTCAAGTCAACAGCAACCTGAGCGGATAACTGCGCTCTAAGCTGGTATAGCTGCCTCCCTCCCTCTGCTGCTGTCATAAAGCCCAAACAGCTGCCAAGGAGAAGGCTGTGGTTCGGGTGGGGGAGGAGCAGATGAAATTCCTGCAAGGGGAAAAAAGGGAAAAAGACTTAGACTGTTCCTCCTTGCTGGGCAAAACCTCCTGGGGACTGCGGAGCAGCCTTCAGAAGCAGGCACATTCCGCACCACTTGGGTGCAGTTAGCAAAACAAGAGGAAAATCGGTTTTCCAGCCACAGACACTGGGATGTCCCTGCAAAAAAAAAACACCCAAAGGCCAGTGAGAAGGAGGAGGAGGAGGAAGAAGAGGAGGGAGACCAGTGCCAAGAAAGGAGAGCATGTGCTTCTCTCCTTGCAAGGAAGCAAGACAGAAGCACCTCTTGTTGGGACTTCTGAACTTAAAAAAGGGTTTTGTTTAAACCACAGGAAAGTGCCCAAATGTTCAGGCTGTGGCTCAACAGGCTAACCCGGGGGTGGGCAGACCCAGTTCAGGGACCTAACTTGCTCCCCCCCCCCAGCACCCTCAGCAGGGTGGTAGGGAGGGGGCTGTGTAAGGCCAAGGCTGCAGCTTCACGGCAGAGCACTCGCTTGGCCTTCAGAAGGCGACAGGTTCAGTTCCTGGGCAGGGCTGGGGAAAGACTCTCCTGCCTGGAGAGAAGCTGCCAGTCAGTGAAAGCAATGCTGGGCTCGGTGGACTACAGGCCTGACTTGAGCTAAGGCAGTTTCCTATGTGCCAGGGCGGAAGGGGTGAGGATGCTGTGGGATCCGCGCCTGTGTTAGAAACTCAGATATACAAACCAGGGTTACAGATATATAAACCAGGGTTACAGTCGCCAAAATGCAATGCCTAGTGCCATTTAGGGGCCAGACAGCTCAGAAGTCATATTTCTCAATACGCCTTTTTGGTTCCTGAAACTCATTCTGATTGCGCGGATAAAATGTCACAGATAGAATTCTACAAGACGTGTTGTTAATGTGTGAAAACAGTCCCGATCCGAGGATCCCTCCAGATGGTGGAGCCGCCAGGCACCATCCTAGTGCCCGGGCACCTTCACTCGGTCGCAAGAGGCTGAAAGCCAGGTGCAAAATGCGCTTGGTGAATTTCGAACACTGTTCTGAGCACAAGAGCAACACTCTCCCCGCCTGTGGTTTCCAGCAACTGGTATTCAGAAGTGTTGCTGCTTCTGACTGCGGAGGCAAAGCTGCGCCATCCTGGCCGGAAGCCATCGATAGCCTCCTCCATGAATTTTTCCAATCCTCTTTTAAAGCCATCCAAGTTGGTGTCCATCCCTGCCTCTTGTGGCAGGGAGTTCCACAATCTGACTGTGCAGTGCATGAAAAACTTTCTTTCCTCTATCCTGAATCTTCCAGCATTCAGCTTGTCCACAGGTTCTGGTGTTGGGAAAGGAGAAAAACCTTTCTCTGCTCACTTTCTGCATGCCAGGCATAATCTTTCAAACCTCCATCACGCCCCTTCTTAGCTGGTCTTTCCTCTAAACAGAAGAGACCCACGCATCCTGCATCTGAAGGAACACGCAGAACAACCCCAGGACCTTTATTACAGCCAACCAAACGGCCGCAGAAACGTCAGCGGCTCAGAACAGCGGCTCACAAAGGAAGCCTCAGCGGCAAGACACTTCGTGCCCTTTCACATTCTATATGAGCCATTTCTTTGTTCTCGAAGGCAAGAGTGGAAAAAGAGTGAGCCTCAGAAATCAGATGTATTTGGCGAACACACAGAGGCAATGCGTTTCGTGGTACTTGCTCCCCGTAAAATGCACGGCCTCATTATTATCGCTGTCTGTTTGAAACAACTGCAAAAGCGTCCCCACCCGCTCTGAACCAGGCGCTCTCACTTCACCCAGAGTAGCTGGGATGCCTGGCGGTTTCAATGAGGTTTGCAACAGGAGAAATTTATAGTTGGAGGGGCCCCAAGAGCTCTTTAGCCTGGGGGCCTTTCAGGCTCAGAACTGGTAAACATATCTTTAAAAGCACAATTTTCTCAAAGGCAACTGAAAACCCGTCACATGCAAAACAGCTGTATCTATATATAAATTCCCCACTGAAACAAACCAACATTTATCTGTTACCACTAAATAGGTGCCTTAAATAAAAACTGTCTTATGTCGGTTTGGTTGCAAGGAGATGTCCTGGACTGGACTTTGGCAGAACTTCCAGAGCTGGGAGAGTCACAAACCACAGAGGGACATTATCTTCAGAAGACACACACACAAATAATGCCTTTTCAGAAAGAGGGTTCAATGGCTCATGAAATCACACCCTCTGACTTGGGACCCCGGCCTCTAGCCCTGGCCTCTAAACCCTAGAAGGTTTATTCAGTAATGCATTAATTTGTTTTTTAAAAAGGTAAAGGTAAAGGACCCCTGGACGGTTCAGTCAAAGGCGACTATGGGATTGCAGCGCCCATCTCGCTTTCCAGGTCATGTGGCCAGCAGGACTAAACCGCTTCTGCTGTACAGAGGACTGTGACAAGTGCCAGAGCGCATGGAAACACCGTTCACCTTCCCGCCGGAGCAGTACCTATTTATCTACTTGCACTGGTGTGCTTTCGAACTGCTAGGTTGGCAGGAGATGGGACCGAGCAACGGGAGCTCACCCTGTTGCGGGGATTCGAACACGGTGGTTTAGACCACTGCGCCACCCACGTCCTTGCATTAATTTATAGCTTTTTTAAAAAAAACCCTCTCTGCACATGCACAGAGATGCATATTCTGTTGCAACCTTGACCAAAAGCAATGTCCCTGAAATAAGTTTTGGGGCACACTTACACTCTGGCGAACACCCCTTCCCTGGGACACAACAAACAAAATAACAGGCTTGGAACAGGGGATTTATTTTTAAAGAGTCCAAGTGTGATCATAGGTGGCAACCAACACAGATGTCCAGCTGCGGCTGCCCAAAGGGAGCCTCAAATTACCAGCTTCTCTTAATCACAACTCCAGATCTCCCTCCCTCTTAATCCCAGGAAATGAAATGTTCACAAGGAAACTGGGGTGAGGGGGAAGGGAGAGAAACCTTTCCTTCCCCTGTGAGATTCGGCCAGAACCCTGGAGGAAATTCCCCTGCCCAAGATCCAGCCAGAGTTGGATCTCAGGAACAAGAAATCTCCTCCTGTTTTAATCCCATTCAAAAATGTTTCTTGCCTTGGCAGAAAGCATGGAAAGTGTGGGCAGAGGGCTGGCCGAAGGACGTGAGCCACAAATTGATTCATCTGCGATGGATCTTGCAAAGTAGGAGCAAAGAGAACATGAACATGTACATGATTCCCTTTCCCTTGTGGCTAAGCACCCTCGCCAAAATAATAGTGACATAAATTATTATTATTATTATTGCTGTTCATGGAGTCTCATTTAAATAAATCTTCCTCATGAAGAATGGGTCTATTGGTGGTCTTCAACCACAACATGTATACAGAACCTCCATTTACAGGAGCCGAGTACCTTGGGAAAACAGTCTGCTTTGCTTTTGGACTCTCTGGAGAAATTTGCTTGGACAACATTAGAAACAAGGGGTTGTAGCCAGCTACTCAGAGTAGGCCCACTGTCATTAATGCACCTAAGTTAACCATGTCCTTTAATTTTGACAGGGATACTCGGAGTAGGCCTAAGAACCAGGAAGGGGTCTCAATTTAGTGGCGGGGGAGGGGGGTGCACGCCTTTCCTAGGAAAGCTTAAGGCACATGTATTAAAACACGAAAACATGCTGTGTGTGTATTAAGAACAAAAAAACCCACAAATCATCAGTCTGCTATAACCAGCAGGCTCTTGAGGGGAGGCCGAAATAGGAATAATCCAGCGGGAATGAAGGCTTTTGCTTCTGTGGGAAGAACAGGCCACAATTTGCTATTTAAAACAAAACCAGAAAGCCAAAGAACTGGGAGTCCTTCTAAGATTACTAATAGCCATAAGACAATATGCACAACAGTTTTGCGCTCTGTGTTCAGAGGATAGAATGCACAGAGCAGGAAGGATGCCTCAAATGTGATCTAGTGCAAACTCCCGGGTGGGATGCTGTTGTGCTGTTGTGTTTGTTGCTATATCGGGGGATTTCGCGGTGTGACAGCAAGCCTGTGGGTCCCTCTGTCTCTGCATGAGCTAAGGACAGAGGGAACTGGGGAGGCCCAAACCCCACTGCTGCTGGGGACCAGCTTTCCCCAGAAGAATTCGGTTCAGCCCAAACCTCTGACGGGAGACACGTCACATCGCAGTCCTCTGCTTCCTTGGCTCCATGTAGACAAGTTTCAAAGCTTTTCTCTACCATAAGCAATGAGTCCATATAAGCAAACAATGTTTACTAAAGGCGCAATTTAAATAAATAACTGGCCATTAAAAATCTGGCCAGTCAGAAAGGAGCAGGAAATCTACATCTTTTGGAGGAACACCAGGACCAAGCGGAATTTGCAGCTCTGAATATTCAGAGGCACATCAAACAATCCACATTAGATTAAAAATAAAGCTGATTTCATTTTCACAACGTTTCCCTAACTTTGCATCTCCACATTTATATTTGAGCTTTCACGCAGGGTAAAGTTCACTTCTGGAATGACAGCATATGTTCAGAACTCGTTTCCACGTTTTTTGCAAACGGATTTTTTTCCTGGAAGCAAACAGCACAGATACGAGCACCAATCTTGCACTATATTTCACTGTGGCTCCAGTTACCTGGTGTGAAAGCGCCTTAACAGTAGGGGGAATGTCATGAAATGGAATAAATGGCCACGGAGACGCAGCCTAGGTTAAAACACCTGCTGCACAGCTGCCTATGTAACTTCGATATTATAATTACTGATTTCTTTTCACGCGTGCAGATGTGCAGCCGACACTCAACACGACATGCCTCCTGGTATCCATTGCCCAACCCAAGTCCCACCCTTGGACTTTGGGGGTAATTCAGTTGGGGAGGTTGTACTCCTACTAATATCAGGTCCCCCCAAAGCTACTAAAGGGCCTTCTTGGTAGTGGCGCCCGCCCTGTGGAACGCCCTCCCATCAGATGTCAAGAAGATAAACAACTACCTGACATTTAGAAGACATCTGAAGGCAGCCCTGTTCAGGGAAGTTTTAATGTGTGACATTTTAATGTACAGTGGTGCCTCGCAAGACGAAATTAATTCGTTCCGCGAGTTTTGCCGTCTTGCGATTTTTTTCGTCTTGCGAAGCACGGTGTCGGGAAAGTTTTGGAAAAGCTTCAAAATACACCAAAGTCTTTAAAAACCTCAAAAAAGGCTACCACACCGCATTCTATGAGTTGCTCCTCGAAGTCAAGTCGCAACTGTATTAACGGTGTTAAGAAAAAGGAAACAAACTTGCAAGACGTTTCTGTCTTGCGAAGCAAGCCCATAGGGAAAATCGTCTTGCGAAGCAGCTCAAAAAACGAAAAACCCTTTCGTCTAGCGAGTTTTTCGTCTTGCGAGGCATTCGTCTTGCGGGGCACCACTGTATTTTTAATCTTTGTTGGAAGCTGCCCAGAGTGGCTGGGGAAACCCAGACAGATGGGTGGGGTACAAATAATAATAATAATAATAATAATAATAATAGTAATAATAATACCACCATTTCATTCGTCAGCTGCCCTGCTTTGGCACTCGGAAACCCTAGTTCAATCCAGAAGGAACGAGATACAAATGTACTGTGTATACAAACATTTTATTAACAACCTGCTCTCCATTTTTCTTAGGCTCTGGATAGCTTGCATTGAAACCCCACAAGGCTCTACCTATTGCTTTAACTCCAGGAAGGCTCCACCATCTGAATTCCCCATCTGCACCTTGCAGCTATAGGTTTCAGTGGACCAGAGAATCACAAAGTTGGAAGGGACCCTGAGGGTTCTCTAGTCCCCTAGATTGAGGGTGAATCCTGACAAGACAGAAGTACTGTTTTTGGGGGGCAGGGGGCGGGCTGGTGTGGTGGACTCCCTGGTCCTGAATGGGGTAACTGTACCCCCGAAGGACCAGGTGCGCAGCCTGGGAGTCATTCTGGACTCACAGCTGTCCACGGTGGCGCAGGTCAATTCTGTGTCCAGGGCGGCTGTTTATCACCTCCATCTGGTACGCAGGATGAGACCCTACCTGCCTGTAGACTGTCTCACCAGAGTGGTGCATGCTCTAGTTATCTCCTGCTTGGACTACTACAATGTGCTCTATGTGGGGCTACCTTTGAAGGTGACCCGGAAACTACAATTAATCCAGAATGCGGCAGCTAGACCGGTGATGGGGGGCGGCCACGGAGACCACATAACACCGGTCTTGAAAGACTTACACTGGCTCCCAGTATGTTTCCGAGCACAATTCAAAGTGTTGGTGCTGACCTTGAAAGCCCTAAACGGCCTCGGTCCTTTATCCCTGAAGGAGCGTCTCCACCCCCATTGTTCAGCCTGGACACTGAGGTCCAGCGCCAAGGGCCTTCTGGTGGTTCCCTCGCTGCAAGAAGCCAAGTTACAGGGAACCAGGCAGAGGGCCTTCTCAGTAGTGGCACCTGCCCTGTGGAACGCCCTCCCACCAGGTGTCAAAGAGAAAAATAACTACCAAACTTTTAGTCTGTAACCTGAAGCGTATGTAACCTGAGGTACCACTGTATATAAAAACAACAATACTCAGCTTGAGAAAGCACTCCGTGTAACTTTGCATCCTGCATATTAAAGGCTCTTTTGTCTCACTTAATCCACGTTTCTCCTATCATGAGACTAAAGGGCTCCAGTGAAGTTCTGCCTGGGACTCGAACACAGCACTTTGCTTTTGAGTCCGGGACCAGGCTCCCCACCCCCCACCCCGTCTTTTGCTGAGGAGAAATAACAAATGCTGCGAGTGAAGAAGGCAAAATAATAGAGACCTGTCGGTGCGCGCTCTGTTTTGAAAACTTAACGAGGGCAGCGGGAGGCATGGAAAGGGAGGTTCTGTAGGTGTCGTGACCCAATTACCCCAATTACTGCCAAGGGTGGTGATTAAACCTCGCTTCCCAGAAGCAACAGAAACCACATTCCAAGGGGAGGAAGGAGGACTCCTACGGAAGAGAGCAGAACAAGACGCAGAGCTTGGCGGATAACTCTGTATCCGAGGAATGCGCCCTTTTCATTTATGACGGACGCGCCCCCCACCCCACCCCCCACATCCATATTATTGCACACACACGACGGGTGGAGCAAAACCAACTAGAGAAGGGTCTCCTCTTAAACACACAAGATCACACGCTCATGCACAGATATTATCCCAGTAACATCCCTCTTCATTTCAGGGCTTGGTGCAACAGAAATGGGGCAGAAGTCCTGATCCCTGTGGATGGATGGATGGATGGATGGATGGATGGATAGACAGACAGACAGACAGACAGACAGACAGACAGACAGACAAGATAGATAGATACAGTGGTGCCCCGCAAGAAGAATGCCTCGCAAGACGAAAAACTCGCTAGACGAAAGGGTTTTGTGTTTTTTGAGCTGCTTCGCAAGACGAATTTCCCTATGGGCTTGCTTCGCAAGACGAAAAACGAAAACGTCTTGCAAGTTTGTTTCCTTTTTCTTAACACCGTTAATACAGTTGCGACTTGACTTTGAGGAGCAACTCATAGAATGCGGTCTGGTAGCCTTTTTTGAGGTTTTTAAAGACTTTGGTGATTTTTGAAGCTTTTCCAAAACTTCTTTTGCAGCCATTTGGTAAGTTAAACTTTTAAAACTTTTTTGGGGGGTTTTGGATTTTGGGTTGGGGTGTTTGGAATTCAAGGAATTGGTGTTGGGGAGGGGTTTGCAAGAATCTGGAAGCTTGTGTGGTTTTTTCTGCATTTTTATGATTTTCTGTGACCATTGGGCCACTCTGCTGTTTTTTAAAAAAAATTCTGGATTTGAATTTCTGTGTGGTGGGTGGCTGGGGGAACAGTTGAGGAGGGGTTTGCAAGAATCTGGAAGCTTGTGTGGTTTTTTTCTGCATTTTTATGATTTTCTGTGACCATTGGGCCACTCTGCTGTTTTTTAAAAAAATTCTGGATTTGAATTTCTGTGTGGTGGGTGGCTGGGGGAACAGTTGAGGAGGGGGTTCTTCAGCAAGAAGCAAAGAGTGGAAGAGGAACCTTCTTCGAGTTGTCCCCCGAGTCTTAGAAAATGTACCTGTACACTTTGTTGATTTTTAAATGTTTTTCTGTCATGTTTAGAAACTTAATTTATTGTTCCTTCAATTTTTGAAATGCTCTTTACAGTATGTGTGACTTTAAAGAGCACTTAATAAACTCTTGTTGTACCAAATTTGGCTTTGTTTGGACTTTTTTGACCATAGGAACGCATTAATTGAATTTCAATGCATTCCTATGGGATTTCGTGCTTCGCAAGACGAAAAATTCGCTAGACGAAAAAAATCGCGGAACGAATTAATTTCGTCTTGCGAGGCACCACTGTAGATAGATAGATAGATAGATAGATAGATAGATAGATAGATAGATTTTACCACTCGGATGTGAACATGACAGGGAATTTATAGGATGCTGCAGGCGAGGTTATTACCAATAAAGGTCATCTTCTGGCACAGAACTGGCATAAAACAGCCAAGAGCCCAAAGCCTTGGGCATCCGATGGTCTTAGGCATGGGTAGGCAAACTAAGGCCTGGGGGCCAGATCCAGCCCAATTGCCTTCTAAATCCGGCCCGCGGACAGTCCAGGAATCAGCGTGTTTTTACATGAGTAGAATGCATCTCTGGGTTATTTGTGGGGCCTGCCTGGTGTTTTCACCTGAGTAGAATGTGTGCTTTTATTTAAAATCCATCTCTGGGTTAGTTGTGGGACATAGGAATTCATTTTTATTTTTATTTTCAAAATATAGTCCAGCCCCCCACAAGGTCTGAGGGACAACGGACCAGCCCCACTGAAAAAAGTTTTCTGACCCCTGGTCTTAGGCGATGTTTTCTCTCTTTCAGCCCATGCACCAATCTGCAATGTGGATCTGGCCCTTTAAGCCTGCCTTGCAAGGTGGTTGGGAAGACGCAGCAAGACAAATTTCTACTACTTAGCCCGTTTGCACAGGAGTAGGAACGTCCGATGGTTCCTTGATACCATAGCCTCAAGGTCAGGGCTGCCCAAGCAATGAGCAGTGTGGGAGGGGAGCGTTTTGGAGGTTTTGCGATGCGGCTGTTTTCAGACGCAGTAGCCCAAACAAGATGCAATTGTTTCAGTGTGCACAATCCATTCCAATTGTATAACGGCAGGGACGGTGAGAAGCAGGCACGTGAGCTTTTCTCGTGCCGACCACCAGAAGCCAATCCAGGTCTCCAGTGGAAGGGAGTTCCACAGGAACGGGCTCCTAAATACAATCTCACCAACGGATACGGCCTGGCATAAACAGTAATTCATTTCTGCCTGGAAGCTCCTCCTTCTGGAACAGAAGACTTGCCTCCAAATTTCAGCTGTGGGAAGGTGACCTTCTTCACGGGCAAAGGAAATGCACTCTGCACATGTCCAAAGGACCTCTCCCTTATTACTGCTTCCCAGGACCCTTGTTGTTACAGATAGGTTCTAGGGATAAGCCCTCACTGGACAGGGGTGTCGTGCCTAATTCTTAATTAAGAATTAGGCACCTTAATTCTTCACTTATCCTAGATTGTTGTTATCACTTAATGTCTCCAAAGAGCTCGAGGCTTTGCAGCCTTGCTCTCTTTTCCGTGGGCTTCCTGTACATTATGTACATTCCTGTACATTCCTGTACAACAACACTATGAGGTAGGTGCTGCTGGATAATGGTTTTTATCCCAAAGGACACTGCAGAGCCGCTTTGAAGCCGGAGGCGGAAAAGCCAAATAATATCCACACCCGTTCGCCAGCCTCTGAAAGCTACCACGTACCGCATGTTGTGGGGCTGGGTTTCCTGCCCTGACAAGGGGTTGGGCTGGATGACCTTTAGGTGCCCCTCCCCATCTCCAGGGCTCTTTCCATCCATATAATTTATAATTTCCTAAGTTCTTAACGTGGTTTCCCAGACAAGATGGGTGACGCGCCGCTGATTGGTCACAGTGGGGCTCCTGGCACAAAGGGGCTTTAGCAGAGATTAGCAGAGAAGAGATACCTGGGGTTTCTCTTTCCCAGCCCCACTGGGAGACGCTGCCAGGGACCTTCTGGATGCAAAGCACCTGCTCTGCTCTGAGCCACGGCACATCACAAGAACTCCACCAAGCAACTGTGCTCGCATTCATTCCCCCCCTTCTCCCTCCCAATCCCTTTTCCTTTTGTGCTGCGCCTCTTACACTGCAAGTCCGAGGGCGAGGACTGTCTCTCCACTGACAAGCGCAGAACCAGCGCCAGGATCCCTGTTCCTCCAGGGAGCCTGTCAAATATTTCGTAGAGCCAGTGTGTGGAACATGGCCTGTCTAAGTGAAGATGTCTAGGAGTGAGGATGGCACCTGATGTCTCCACCATCTGGAGGCGCATGGCTGGGGATCCTTGGATCGGGACTGTTTTCACACACTAATACCACATCCTGTAGAATCCTATCCGTTATATTTTATCCGCACAATCAGAATGGATTTCAGGAACCAAAATGCTTTTCCTGCGCAGCCTGAGCAGGAGCAGGGAGCAACGTTAAAGTTATTTGCTGTAGCTTGTCTTCACTTACCAATATAAAGGTAAAGGTGAAGGACCCCTGGACGGTTAAGTCCAGTCAAAGGCAACTATGGGGTTGCGGTGCTCATCTCACTTTTCAGGCCAAGGGAGCCGGCGTTTCTCCACAGACAGCTTTCTGGGTCATGTGGCCAGCAGGACTAAACCGCTAATGGAGCAGCGGGACACCGTGATGGAAGCCAGAGCACACAGAAACACCGTGTACCTTCCCACTGCAGTGATACCTATTTATCTACTTGCACTGGTGTGCTTTCAAACTGCTAGGTTGGCAGGAGCCGGGACAAAGCAACGGGAGCTCCCCCCGCCGTGGGGATTCGAACGGCCAACCTTCTGATCAGCAAGCCCAAGAGGCTCAGTGGTTTAGACCACTGCGCCACCTGTGTCCCTATACTTACCAATATATATGTGGACTGTCCCTGGATCAAGTGACTTTTCTTTTTTAAGTTCTCAAAACTCTTAACCTAGCTCAAGGTTGCCATCCGAACCTGCCAGATGTTTAATTGAGAATCAATCATGTTAGTCCATCATTTGAAAAATAAAGACTTTAGAGCCGTCTTGCCCCAAAATGGCAACTAGATATTCTGTTTGGGTGACTGTAGCATTAGTTTAGGGATGCGGGTGGTGCTGTGGTCTAAACCACAGAGCCTAGGGCTTGCCAATCAGAAGGTCGGTGGTTTGAATCCCCATGACAGAGTTGCTCGGTCCCTGCTCCTGCCAACCTAGCAGTTCAAAAGCACGTCAAAGTGCAGGTAGATAAATACCGTATTTTTCGCCCCATAGGACGCACTTTTTCCCCTCCAAAAATGAAGGGGAAATGTGTGTGCGTCCTATGGGGCGAATGCAGGCTTTCGCTGAAGCCTGGAGAGCGAGAGGCATCGGTGCGCACCGACCCCTCTCGCTCTCCAGGCTTCAGGAAGCTATCCGCAAGCCTTGCAAGCCCGGCAGGAGTTCCCGCGGGCTCACAAGGCTTGCGGGCAGCAGCCTGCAGCCCCGGCGAGTGTCCGCAAGCCTTGCGCGCCCGGCAGGAGGTCCCGCCGAGCGCGCGAGGCTTGGGGCGGCAGCCTGTCGCCCGAAGCACGGGGAGCCCTCCGGAGGGTGCCCCATGCTTCGGGCAGGTGTGCGCAAGGCTTGGGGCGGCAGCCGTGGCGGGGGGGAATAATTTTTTTTTATTCATTCCCCCCCCCCAAAAAAACGAGGTGCATCCTATGGGCCATTGCGCCCTATAGGACGACAAATACTGTAGGTACTGCTCCGGCGGGAAGGTAAACAGCGTTTCCGTGCGCTGCTCTGGTTCGCCAGAAGCGGCTTAGTCATGCTTGCTACATGACCCAGAAAAACTGTCTGCGGACAAACGCCACCTCCCTCGGCCAGTAAAGAGATGAGCGCCGCAATCCCAGAGTCCTCTGCGACGACTTAACTGTCAGGGGTCCCTTTACCTTTTTAACCTTGGTTTAATGAGCCATTGGGTGCCTAGCTGACATATCTGAGTTTCTAACACTGCATCCAGGAACTCACAAAAGCGCAGCTGTAGGCCTTGATCTCAGGGCAAGGCAGCAGCTGGTGCTGTCATGTCTGCTAGCAGCAGGAGAAGCAGGTGCAGGGACAGGTGACCTCTCCAACAGTGACAGGTGCTCTCCTGGGAGTGGGGGGGGGTTGCAGCTGGACAGCTTCAGACAGTTCTGCAGAGACCTCCTTACTGATCAGGATCAGCCCCCTTCAAAGGGTTTTGCTTTTTAATATTCACAGGCAAAAAAGGAGGCACTATGGTGTCCATGAACACCCACCCAAAAATGATGCACAAACTGCTTTATGAGCTTCATCTAATTTATCTCAACAACAAGGCTGTGGTTTAACTTGGGGTCGCCCAAAAGACGCTCTCTGCAAACCCCTAGCACTCGGTCCACGGCCCCACTCTGAATCCACACCGTGTCTTTACAGTACAGTGGTACCTCTGGTTAAGTAGTTAATTCGTTCTGGAGGTCCATTCTTAACCTGAAACTGTTCTTACCCTGAAGCACCACTTTAGCTAATGGGGCCTCCCGCTGCCGCCGCTGCACGATTTCTGTTCTCATCCTGAAGCAAAGTCCTTAACCCGAGGTACTATTTCTGGGTTAGCGGAGTCTGTAACCTGAAGCGTCTGTAACCCGAGGTACCACTGTACCAGTTAACTGCTCTGACCTTACCTCCCTTAGGGATCTCCCAGGGAAAAATGCCAGGGCAGTTATAGATTAAGCTTGCCATACAGATGCGGCTGCTGCTAGAGGCAGAAGGAGGTGCGGGGGTGAGTTCCAGCTGTTACCCTCCAGGCAACCCACACAAGCACCTCCACCCCACCCCACCCCACGCCCCAGGAAGATTAACAGGCTCTGGCGCAGCCAAGGAAAGGAGGTCACTACTGATTGTTCTCCGACAGCCGCCTCCGCTAACCTGCTGGTTCCCTCCAGATGGTTTGTGGACTACAAATCCCATCACCCCCCCACCCCAGCCTCCAGTGGCTGCTTTGGCACCCTCAGGATCACACAGACGGCACACAGGCACTCACCTCCTGACATGCCTTGACCACTCATTTGCTTAAGGCACAATCAGGAGTTGGGAGAATCCAAGTGAATGGTCAGTCCCCGAAAGCCCAAAGTCCCTCTCTGGCCCTTGCATTAACCAGCTTCCAGGCTTTATAATATTTACATGAACGAGCAAGCACTTTTAAATCACTATACCTCTTTTACTCAGCAGTAAATCCTCCTTGGCTGGACGGTTGCCTGGCTGCCTGTCCTGCCCTCCTGAACTTTCCTCCTCGCAACTTCACTTCCAGTGTTGTTTTAACAGCATCACTTCCTGGCTGTTCACAAAAATGCCTATATTGTACTGATGTGGAGAACCCTGCCTCTTTTTGAAGACTGTACCTCACTTTGCACTTAATTCTGCCTCCCATCCACCACTCAACAGAACCAAATCAAAGGCTCGAGGTTTTTTTTAAGGAGCAATATCCCACATTAACAGGGCTCAAAGCAGGCAGTTTGATCAAAATAACTGGGTCTGTTTATTTCTGTGGGTCTGCTCTGAGCATGAGAACATTGGATATTGCCACAGGACACAGGAACTCCCTAAAAGCACCAGCCAAAAAGAAAAGTGTAGCCCCAGTCCTTCAAAGCATCACAGGCCTCTTCCCAAACCCTGAATTGTTCAGTCCAGTTGAAACCTTGTTTGCTTACAAAACGTTTGCTTATTATTATATTATTATATTACAAAACTGTGCACAAATTTCTTCTGTGGGTAAAATATATACATTCTCTCTTTTTTCAATCTCAGAATTTAAGTCCCAAGCACATTTTGAGTCCAGCTTTTCACTTATCTTCAACGTTTGGCAGTAGTTAACTGACAATATCTTCAAAAACTGGCATGCAATGGCGTTGTGATATTTGACTGCGTCCAACAGATGACATGCAACGGCTTCAGTACCTTGTCTGCCAACAGTTAGGAGATCTGACAAGCAAGAGATGCTAACTAGTCTAACAGCACGCTCCCAGACAAGTCTTCCTCATGAGTAAGCCCCGCTGAACTCACTCCTAGGAAAGTACGCACAGGAGTCGGGGAAACCCGACTCAGACCCGGCAGGAAAGCCTTACAAGACGCAGAGAGAGGATCGGCACCGCCAAACCCTCAAGCCCAAAACTCCACCTCATACTTCAGAAGTGAAATCCCAGGTTTGGAATTTGGTGAGAGCGCTTCTTCTTCCAAACCCTTAAAAAGTCGCGCGTTTGGAGAATCTTGATACTTTTTAGCTCTGGACTGAAAAGTGCTTCTGGGGGATCCCGGCACAGAACCGCACAAGCCGCCAGAATGGGCGAGACCCGTCCGGCCCCCGGCACGACTCGAGGGCCGCCTGCAGCACGGAAGCAACGGCTGGAGGGGGGGATGTCTCCAACTCCTCGGCTTGCCCCCAATAAAATATTTGAGGGGTCCAAGTTGATGGGCACCGCCATTCAAAGGGCGGGCGTGCGCCATGCCTGGTGATCGATTCCTCGGGGCGAGGCTTCCCTGCGCCCCCTCCCCCCCAAAAAACCAAATATTTTGCTCAAGTTGGCGCCTCTGCTCCGAGCTACCCGGGGGTTTTGGGGAGCCGGGCCCCTTCCTCCCGCGCCCCCTTCCCTTCGCCCCGCCACTCACAGCACGCACAGGGCGTAGGCTCCGGCCACGCTCTCGCTGTCGCGCACCAAGAAGCTGCCGTCGCGCCCCGCGCGGGCCAGGAGCTCTTCGGCCGCCGCGCGGCTCAGGTCCTTGTGGTACCACGACGGCGGGGCCGCGGGAGCAGGAGGAGGCGGCGGCTGCAGCGCGGCGGCCCCTGCGCCCGCCATGCCCGGAGCGGAGCGGCGGAAGCGAGGCGGGCGCTTAGCAGAGCCCGGCGAGGAGGAGGCGGCGCCCCCGACGGGCGGGCCGCGAGGGGCGCATGGCGGCTGCGGGAGACTCTTGGCCCGGGGCGCCCACGGGGGATCGTGGACGGGCGGCGGCGGCGGGGGCGGCGGAGAGGCAGCAAGCCGTGCTGGCTGGCTCTCTCGCTCGCTCGCTCGCTTCCTTCCTCCCTCCTTCTTCCCGAGCCTGTGGCGCGTCTCGTCCGGCGAGGCGCAGTGGCGAGGGGAGCCGCTTGGCGCGCTGCTCGGCGGCCCCTTCGAGGCGGGGAAAAGGCGCCTCCGCCTCCTTCTCCGCCTCCTCCTCCTCCTCCTCCGGGCAGCGGAGAAGAAAGAAGGGCTCCGACCAAGCAGGGACCGGGGCCCCGTCGAACCCCGCCGCGGCAAAGGGCGCACCGAGACGGGAAGGGCGCGCGCTCCGCAGGCGCCCTTTGGCTCCCAGCTGGTTCCCACTTCCCACTGTTGGGAAGGAGGCGGCAGCCCCGACTCGGCTCCTCCGACGAGCCCTGGGCCCCGCCGGCTCCCGTCACCCTCCTTCTCCCCCGGGAGGACGGCGAGCGCTTCCTGCTCGGCGACGGAGGGAGACGCGGGAGGAGCCTCGGGTCCGGGAGAGACTTCGCAGGCAGCCCCGGCCCGACGGGGCTCCGGGGTGGACTCCGAGGAAAGCCCTTCGGACGCAGCGCGCAGTCGAACGGGGGAAACTCCTTCCCGGGGGAGAGGGGGGGCGGGTGGAGTGGAATGGTGCGGGGGGGGGAAGGGCAGCCCCGTCCTGCAGAATCGATCCCATGGCGCAGGGCACGCACGCTCTTGAATGGCAATGCCCAGCGGAATATTTGATCGGGAGGGCCAAAGGGCTCCCTATTGCGCAGGAGGCAGCAAATGTATTTTGAGGTTTTATATTCTGATTTTATTCTGTGAACCATCCTGAGACCTGCAGGTATAAGTAGGTATATAAATTCTAAATCATAATATTCATAAGAAGTCACCAGCTTGGATGGCTTGAAAAGTAGGTTGGACATACATAAATAAATTCTTTCTTTTCCTTGGCAGGTCTTTTCCTACAATCCCTAACAAAAATGCTTCTGCTTTTTTTACAAATGGTAATTTAAACATTTTCTTCAACTCATTATATATCATTTCCACAAAAACAAAAAAAATTCTCTAGATTCCCACCACATATGATAAAAAATCCCTTCTTTTTCTTTACACTTTGTTATGTTGAAATTGTTAATAAAATTTTTTTCAAAAAAAGAAGAAAACAAACACTTAGAATTAAAGCATTCAGAGGCAGGGTAGACATTTACTGCAACCTCCAATGAGTCAGGTTCCATTGTGGAGGACATACCTTAATAGCCTAAATTCTGCTTAAGAACTTTTGCTTATATTGAACATTTGTATCCCAAATTGTATTCTAACTCACTGCACACTTCCTCAGACATTCTGCAATATGAACTATTGTAATACCACTCAAAATGCTGTTGTAGACATTATTCTAATGAACTTTGTATATATTGTTCTGCTTTTATTATGTGTTTTCTAAAACTCAGTAAAAACAATTTACTATTAAATGTGTTTAATAGTGCAAGAAAAAAGAAAAGAAGAAGAGGAGTTTGGATTTGATATCCCGCTTTATCACTACACAAAGGAGTCTCAAAGTGGCTCACAATCTCCTTTCCCTTCCTCCCCCACGAAAAACATTCTGTGAGGTGAGTGAGGCTGAGATACTTCAGAGAAGTGTGACTAGCCCAAGGTCACCCAGCAGCTGCAAGTGGAGGAGCAGAGACGCGAACCCGGTTCCCCAGATTACGAGTCTACCGCTTTTAACCACTACACTACACTGGCTCCTAAGAAAATTAGGTTGGACAAATTCATAGAATCGTAGAGTTGGAAGGGACCCCAGGGTCATCTAGTCCAACCCCCTGCAATGCAGGAATCTCAGCTATAGCATCCATAACAGGTGGCCACCCAACCTCTGCTTGAAAACCTCCAAGGAAGGAGAGTCCACCACCTCCCAAGGGAGTCCATTGCAATGTTGGATGGCTCTTCCTGTCAGAAAGTTTTCCTGATCTTGAGTCAGAATCTCCTTTCATGGAGGAGGGGAGGAGAGGGCTATGGTTGGCTACTTCCTCAGGAGGGCTTTGCTCTGCCTTGGCAGTCAGAGGCAGCCATACTTCTGGATCCCAGCTGCTGGGAAATGCAGGAGGGGAGAGGGCTGTAGGGCTCAGGTCTGGTTGGCCCCTGTGAGAACAGGATGCTGGGCTAGATGGGCCATTGGCCTTATCCTGCAGACTCTTCTTATGCTCTTGAAGAGAAGTTCTAGTGTTAAGAGAAAGAAGGGAAACCTTTTCTCCATCTCTTGCACTATATTATAAACCTAGTGTGGTGTAATGGTTAAAAGAGCGGTGGACTCGTAATCTGGTGAACCGGGTTTGCTTCCCCGCTCCTCCACATGCAGCTGCTGGGTGACCTTGGGCCAGTCTCACTTCTCTGAAGTCTCTCAGCCCCACTCACCTCACAGAGTGTTTGTTGTGGGGGAGGAAGGGAAAGGAGTGTGTGAGCCGCTTTGAGACTCCTTAGGGTAGTGATAAAGCGGGATATCAAATCCAAACTCCTCCTCTTCATCATCTTCTTCTTCTTCTGTCGCCTCTTCCTTGCTATTTATCTAAACTAAAAGGTCGCAAACGCTGCCACCTTTCCCCATAGGGGAGTCGCTCTATCCCCTCAACCCTGTCGTTTGCCTTTTTCCAGTCATCGCCTCAAGCAGTTGTTAGCCCACACTTCCCCTAACATTTCCTCATCACTTTGCCTATCACAGAAAATCAGATTTGGGGATGGTGGGTGGGCAGGCAGAGGCAGGATTGTTGCACAAGAATGGAAAATCAGCATCAATTCCGCAGACTGAATTTGCTGGTATGCGATCACATTCCACCTCCAAATTGCAACAGTCTGGAAGTCCGTTATACTTCGCAGAAAGGTACAGAGGCTCAGATTGTTAGATTACAAAACAATTGTTGGCCTAAAATAATTCAGCTCTTACGGTTTTAAGAGAGGATGAGATACATTCACAGAGAATAAGGCTGTCAATGGCTGTGTTCTGCTGCCGCCCAGTCAGAGGCATTGATGCTTCAAAAAATCATTTGCTGAGAACTGGAAGTTTGTTTGGTGGGGAGTGTTGTTCTGCTCATGCCGTGCTTGTGACTTCCAATAATAATAATAATAATAAATATTATTTTACCCTGCCCATCTGACTGGGTTGCCCCACTCTGGGCAACTTCCAACAAATACAAGAGCATAATAGAACATCAAACACCAAAAATTTCCCTGTACAGGGCTGCCTGCAGATGTCTTCTAAAAGTTGGATATTTGTTTATCTCATTGATATCTGATGGGAGGGCATTCCACAGGGCAGGTGCCACTACCGAGAAGGCCATGAAGGGTGTCTGGTTGGCCACTGCAGAAAAAACAGCCTTCAAAGGTAACCCCTCATAGAACACATGACCCCAAACCAACCTATAGGCCAAAAATGCATCGAGGACCCTTTCATAATTGTTTGCCATGCATTGACATGGGGCTGCTTTGGGACCCACTGTAGGTCAGGCTGCAAATGGGAATGTAGACAGAGGGACATTTCTGGCCCTCCAGATATTGCTGGACTATAACTCCCAACTACAGGCTGTGCTTGCCAGGACAGATGGGAGTCCCAACAACATCTGGAGGGCTGCATTTAGCTCAGCGGCCAGACTCCTGCTTTGCACATAGAATCTCCCAGGTTCAGTTCCTGGCAGCATCTGCAGGTACATTTCTGCGGTGTGCCATCCTGGGATCTTCAGACAAAGGGCAGTATACAAATTTAATTAATAATAATAATAAGTGTGGTGCCCTGGTTGTTCTCAGACCATAGTTTACTGTGAGCATAAGAGTGCTGAACTGATCCCTGTATTTCATAAATATAAGTCTGTAGGGAGGTAAAAAGAAACTATATAAGAAATATGTAACTTTGCGGTATACACTAATGGAAAGATAAAGTACAGTGAGATTAATTGGAAGTCATTTTTAATTTTTATAATTGTTTTCAGTATTAGGGGTATATATGATTATAGTTACCGTATATTAATCTTGTTGTATCTTCTAATGTGGTGGTTTGATTCTTCTGTTATTTAGTGTATTTTTGGTTTCTGTGGAAGCCGCCCAGAGTGGCTGGGGAAACCCAGCCAGATGGGCAGGGTACTAATAATAAATTATTATTATGATTATTTGTTTGTTTGATTGTATGTTTGTTTAATTGTTTGTCCATCTGTTTTTTCATAAATGTATTTATTTTAAATTAATAAAGATATATTCCAAAAAAAGAGAAGAAGAGTCTGCTGAATCAGGCCAATGGCCCATCTAGTCCAGCATCCTGTTCTCACAGGGGCTGACCATATGCACCAGTAGGGAAACCAGCAAGCAGGATCTGAGAGCAAAAGCAACTGGTTTTCAGAAGCATTGGTGCCTCCGACTGAAGCAGAGCACAGCCATCCTGGCTAGTAACCAACAATAGCATTCCCTCCATGAATCTGCCCAATCCTTTTTTTAAAGCCATCTACACCCTTGTGCAAATTAATTGAAACAAACAGTAGTTTATTGTACAAAACACACATAAAAGGTAAAGGTACCCCTGACCGTTAGGTCCAGTTGGTGGTTAACTTTTCCTTAGGACATCCCTATTTTCATCAGAGAAATGTTGGCCGGTGTAAAGGTAAAGGACCCCCGACAGTTAAGTCCAGTCGCAAACGACTCTGGGGTTGTGGCGCTCATCTCGCTTTACTGGCCGAGGGAGCCGGCGTTTGTCCGCAGGCAGTTTTTCTGGGTCATGTGGCCAGCAGGACTAAACTGCTTCTGGAGCAACGGGACACCGTGACAGAAGCCAGAGCACACAGAAACACTGTGTACCTTCCCGCCGGAGTGGTACCTATTTATCTACTTGCACTGGTGTGCTTTCAAACTGCTATGTTGGCAGGAGCTGGGACAGAGCAAAGGGAGCTCACCCCATTGCGGAGATTCAAATCGCTGACCTTTTTTGATCAGCAAGTCCAAGATCACTGGTTTAGACCACAGCAACACCCGCATCCCTCAAAACTCACATAATGTACAAAACTCACATATACGTACATTTGTAACGGATATGACCTCCACTGTTTTTATTTTTTATATAATTTTTATTGGTTTTTCCTCTGCCCCACTCCTTAAGCAGCCAATCCAGAGCAGGGGGCCTTCCCTCCAGGTCACTGCCAGCACATGAAGGCACTGGTGCTGTGTGGGTGTGCGACTCCGCCAGCACGCATGCGGAACACCCCACTCCTCCAGCTCCAAAAGTATGCGCGCAGCCCACAAGAATGTACACCCGCCCACAGTTAAATTAATACTCTCCTGTTTTGTTTTGCAGCCAGGCCTGGAGAGAGAGAGTGCGTGCTGATCTAGCACCCTCTGTTGGCCTTCCAGGGAGAATCTGAGATAAAAGCAAAAGATCCAGAACAGAAGGTCTGTAGCCAATCCTCTCTTTTTACAGGGGTAACTTGGAGAAGTGCTTGGAATGCAGAAGGGTAAACAAACAAACAAAACCCTGTGTTGCAAAATGTGACTAGGCAATATCGAAAGCAACACCATGACCAGAAACAATTGCAGTATAGAAAACTGTATGGAATAATGTAGATCATCAAAACTATCAAACTGAAGTCTCTGAAAGTCCTTGAATAAGTCATGGTGCGAGACCTTACCTGTCAGAAATCAAGGTTGTAACGCTTTGTATAATCGACAAATGTCCAATTCTGGTGTCCAACTCTGAGCTCTGCTGAACAGTGTTTCCAGATAGCAACTAAGAAATACTGTTTATTCACCTATTTACACCTTCTGTCTGCACGGAGGGAGTCCTGATCTTACAGTGTGGTCCTTCCGAGAGGGGCTTGTCCCCCCACAGCAGTGAAGCCCTAGACTCCAAGACATCTCTCCCAGCCAGTCTGCCCAAAGATGGCTCCCAGCCCTTCTTACTAGAACCCCTTGCTACCAGTCTCCCATTTTCCTGTCACATCAAACACCCAGTTCCTCTGGCATCCTTCCAAACCCCCAGTCTCTGTTCACACCTCAAGGCCAGTGGCTCTCAATGGCCCTCTTGCTCCTAAATGGCCCTACCTTGGCCAGGTCCTTTTGTGTAGGCTAACACAGGAATTCCTCTGCAGCTTGTATTTCTCCCTTCACATCCCAAATCATCAAAATCCTACCATTTATTAATTTCTAGGGTTTAGGGGGTCCCCCAAATTTTTTTATAACAGGGCCTTGTCAGTGGTGGCTGCTCCCAGACAACTTTGGAAGTCACTCCCTGGAAAAGCTAAATTGGCTCCTTCCTTGTCCTTTCACGGGCAGGTGAAGACTTTTATTCCAACAGGCTTTGGGAGACTGACTTTAAAGAAAAGGGCATTTAAATAGCAATGTGCTGTTTTTACCATCTATTGCTATATTGGTTTAAATCTACTAGAGTTTAATTATTCTTTAATTATTATCTTCTATAAGTTTGTAGCTTTCTGCATTTTACCTGTGTTTTAATTTGAGTAAGCTGCCTTCAGTCTCAGCCCAGGAAAAAGGCAGGATAATATTAATAAGCGATAAGAAAATTCTCCACCACCCACTCCCCTTCAGTGGGAAGCAAGTATTTAGGGCCAGGCATTGATAATCAGGCATCGACCCTCTTCCTTGCATTGATGAAAGCAAAGGGCACAACAGCAAATCAAATTGAAGAACCAGGCTTTTATTCCTTCTTCCAGTTGTGTGTTCCCAGGGGTTGCAAACGGCCCTATTACTAGAGGCCACCTCCCTTTCCAAGTCCCTGTAAGCAGACCAAGTTTGCTGAGGTGATAGAAATGAACATAAGCTGAAACAATGTTCGGAGGAAGTCCCGGAAGATAAATTCTTCTTACAGGTAAGCTGGAGTGTTATTTCCTGGGAACCCGGAACGAGAGCACTCTCATCGCGATAAAGGAAGTGGGAAATCCCAGCGCAATCTTGCAGGGTCAAAACTCTTCAGGATCAGATAAGTCCCTTGCAAAGTTCACAACAGGGTTGCTGGGAGGGCAGGGAAAAGCAAAACCAGGAGCGTCCAGGGCGAGAGACCCGCTCCAGCATTGGCATAGTACTTTGCCACCTCCACATTGGGGTTGCCCTGCGTTTCGTTAAACCACATCTGGATACAGCGCTTGCTGCCCCTCGTGAAGGTGGTATATTTGTAGGACTTGCTCCAGATCTTCTCACACAGGTCTTGTGGACTAGGAAAGACCAATTCCCACAGCTGACACTTCGACGCCTGGGGGCACCGGTTATACCCTGGAATTGAAGAGAAGAGATGCCAGGCTGAGCAAGGCTTGGCATTCCAAGATGCTCAGCTGGCTGGGTACCCATCCCAGAGAAAGGAGGAGAGTCACCAGGCAAAGTTGGCATCGTAACAAAACTTAATCTGTCCCCGGCAGCCAGGACAGCAACCTTAAGAAAAAGCCCTTTCCCCAAATTAGCTAAAACGTATAAGACAAATAATAAATGTTGGAAATGTAAAGAAAAAGAAGGAGCATTTTATCATATATGGTGGGAATGTAAGAAAGTAAAGAACTTCTGGGAAATGATATAGAATGAGATGAAAAAGATGTTGAAATATACATTCTTAAAAAAACCAGAAGCATTTTTACTTGGTATTATAGGCCAGGATATTAATAGGCAAGATGTCAAACTGTTTTTATATGCAATAACAGCAGCAAGAGTACTGTTAGTCCAGAAATGGAAGCAAGAAGAAATTCCAACGAAAGAAGAATGGCAGACGAAATTAATGGACTATGCAGAATTGGACAAAATGACAGGAAGGATTCAAAACCTGCAGGACCAGAGATTTACAGAAGATTGGAAGAAGTATATGAACTATTTGAAGAGCGATTGTAACCAACAAATTACGCTAGTAGGACTACAAGAAGCTTTGTAAGGAGAAATATATGAAGTGTTACAAAGTAGATAAAGATAGAGATATTGGTTATGAGTTTTAAATGTCATAGGGAAGATAAGAAATGCATACTAAGAGATTATATCGGAAAATTTTCAGACAGGACTGATGGAAGTCAAAAAATTGAATAAGATGTAAAAGTATGTTTAATTACTGTTGAAAATGGCATGTTACAAAACTAATAAATATATATATATAAAGTATATATATATATATATATATATATATATATATATGGAATAAACCTGTCCCCTGAATTGACACTTCTCTTTCATTCGTTGCCTGTCTGGATACCACCCACAATTTTAGAATAGAATAGAATAGAAGAATAGAATAGAATAGAATAGAATCCTAGAGTTGGAAGAGACCACCAGGGCCATCGAGTCCAACCCCCTGCCAAGCAGGAAACACCATCAGAGCACTCCTGACATATGGTTGTCAAGCCTCTGCTTAAAGACCTCCAAAGAAGGAGACTCCACCACACTCCTTGGCAGCAAATTCCACTGTCGAACAGCTCTTACTGTCAGGAAGTTCTTCCTAATGTTTAGGTGGAATCTTCTTTCTTGTAGTTTGGATCCATTGCTCCGTGTCCGCTTCTCTGGAGCAGCAGAAAACAACCTTTCTCCCTCCTCTATGTGACATCCTTTTATATCTTTGAACATGGCTATCATATCACCCCTTAACCTCCTCTTCTCCAGGCTAAACATGCCCAGCTCTCTTAGCCGTTCCTCATAAGGCATCGTTTCCAGGCCTTTGACCATTTTGGTTGCCCTCCTCTGGACACGTTCCAGTTTGTCAGTGTTCCTTCTTGAACTGTGGTGCCCAGAACTGGACACAGTACTCCAGGTGAGGTCTGACCAGAGCAGAATACAGTGGCACTATTACTTCCCTTGATCTAGATGCTATACTCCTATTGATGAGGCCCAGAATTGCATTGGCTTTTTTAGCTGCCACGTCACACTGTTGGCTCATGTCAAGTTTGTGGTCAACCAAGACTCCTAGATCCTTTTCACATGTACTGATTTTGATTTTGGCCAAATGATTTGGACAATTCATTTTTTAAAAAGAGTTTGCATTAGTGCACAGCCGGACAAATAAACACTCACCTGGACTGTCAGGTCTGTAAGAACATTAACAAGGGCTTGCTGGATCAGGCCAAGGGGGGCCCATCTAGGCCAGCATCCTGCTCTCACAGTGGCCAACAGGATGCCGCAAAGTGAAACCCGCAAGCAGGATTCAAGCGCAAGGACAGTGCTGCCCTCCCGGCAGTTCCCAGCAAACCAGGATTCAGAAGCATTGCAGCCTCTGGGGAGTCAGAGCACAGCCATCCTGGCTAGGAGCCATCACTAGCCCTCTCCTGCTCCATCAATTTGTCTGATTCTCTTTTAAAGCTGGAGGCCACCGCTGCCTCCTGTGGCAGAGAGTTCCACAGTTTAACCATGCACAGTGTAAAGTCCTTTTGTGTCCTGAATCTTCCAACATTGAGCTTTATAAGCCACCCAACGCCCCACTCACCTCTCAGACCTGGCCCTGCGATTGGGTGGAGGAGATAAGGAACTGACCCTCTGACCTGGTCTAGTTCCACACCCTTGGTTTTGAAATAATCTAGGGGCTTAATATTATGTGTGAACTGGCTTTATTTTGGCCAGAAGTCCCACCTCTGCAACCTAAACAGCCTCGGTCCAGTTTACCTGAAGGAGCGTCTCCACCCCCATCGTTCTGCCCGGACACTGAGGTCCATCTCCGAGGGCCTTCTGGCAGTTCCCTCGCTACAAGAAGCCAAGTTACAGGGAACCAGGCAGAGGGCCTTCTCGGTAGTGGCTCCCGCCCTGTGGAAAGCCCTCCCATCAGATGTCAAAAAGAACAACAACTACCAGACTTTTAGAAGACATCTGAAGGCAGCCCTCTTTAGGGAAGCTTTTAATGTTTGATGCATTACTGTATTTTAATATTTTGTTGGAAGCCACCCAGAGTGGCTGGGGAAGCCCAGCCAGATGGGCGGGATATAAATAATAAATTTATATTTATATTTATATTTATATATTTATATTTATATATTTATATTTATATTTATATTTATATTTATATTTATATTTATATTTATATTTATATTTATATTTATATTTATATTTATATTATTTCCCCTCCTTCAAACTCCCATGGGAGGCCAAAGCACCAGGAAGCTCTTGCTCTCTGCAGCGCCAACTGACCTTGGGACCAGTCCCAGCCCACGTGCCAGTTCTTCTTGCACGTCATGTCCTTCCGACAGTCGTTCCACCACTGCTCACAATCTTCTTTGCACAGCGGGACATCCAGGATTCTTTCTTTGCGCCAGGTCTGATCCACCTGCACGGGGAGGAATGAGTTAGATTTATGCAGGGGGTGGGGGAAGGTTAGGGAGAAGTGGAAGGGCGCCCCGCACCCAAAGATTAATGACACAGCTTGCAGCTCAATTTCGTCAGCTCTGAAAGCCCAAGAAATGTTGTTCTACGCCACCCCAATCTCTGAGCAGTGAGACTCCAGGAGACTGCCCAGGTTTCCTTGGAATGAAAGTCAGCAGAGACCGATGTCTTTAGGATATCTGGTTTTATTTGCACAGGTACACAGCCTGGGCACAAGATGGAGGGGCTTCACAGCACTAGATCAACTGATTTTGCTTCTCTATTCATCACAGCTTTGGATCCAGCACAGAGCAAGCAAGTCTCTATCTCCAGCTTTCATAATGATGAACTGTTTAAGGAGGCATGGGGACCATTGATGGATCACTGGGGAACAGTTTTGGGGTTTTTTCCCATTTTCTGTTGCATGAGATTTTTCAACTGTCCTTATATGTTCTTTCAATGCTGATTTCAAATCTGAAATCGATTTTTGTGTCCATGCTATAGTTATCTTTCAATTTCCGACTTTTGCCTATATGTCATGTTTACACTGGGGATAAGTGGACACTGACACGTTGATCTACCCTAACCACATGGTGGTTATTATTTTGCAAACTTAATTTTTCTTTATTTTTATAGTGCTGTAACCTAAATATTTGTATTTTTCAGATCGGACCATGGCTTCTTCAAGTCACGTACATTTATACTCATATTGTACTACTTTGTCTATGTGTTTAATAAAATATTGAATTCTTGCATTGTGAAAAAGATTATGGTAAAAAGTGAAAAACGAACTGCAAAAAAACTAGAGCTTACAGAAGAAAACCAACTTCAGATATGTAATCAGTACATCAAAATTAAGTTAGAACAACTGCAGATGTCAATGCAACAAAAATTTTGTTCCCCAATGTTACGTATCAAACTATCACTTGTATATGGACTTCCGGGTTAGCGCCATCAGCAATGGCGGAGTTCCTCTGACCGAGAGGAACCCGCTCCGTGAAAATCAGGTCTTGCCGCCGCGGCGAAGGCGGAGACCCTCTAAAAATCCCAGGCGGAGGAGGCCTGGGAATGTGGGATTTGGCTGACACCAGGAGCGCCTCCCCTACTCGCAGGGAAACCCTTTCTCGGGGATCCGAAGCGACGTGGGGTGAGTGGCGCGGTGTTTTGAATCAACCACTACTTTTACGGAGTGAAGCCGCACAGCCGTTGCCGGAGAGCGCTGACTTTTTCCTGTGGACAATTGGACTCTAAACAAGTACCCGTGAGTAGAACGGAAAATTGGATTAAGAAACATTTTAATTTGGCACTGAAGCGGGAAGGCTCTAAACAGGAAGTCCGCCTCCCGTTTTTGTAAATAGATTGAAGCAAAAACTTTGTAAGCTAAAGTCTGGAAAGTCGTATATAAAGGTCTAAATTTCCTTCAGTTATTATATTATCACCAAAACCCCTCTTGGAAGCAGGAGAAAAGGGGGGAATTTTTGACTGTTTAAGCCTGCAGGAGAGAGAGTAAAGAAATATAAATTTCCACCGTCTCAAACCTGGGGTGTCAGAGACAGAAATTTATGGGGAAGTTCATCGACTGTGAATGGAACGTCTTTTGACAGATAGTAAAAAAAGAGAAACAAATTGACTCCAATGTTGCTTCTTGTATTCAAAAGAAACAAAGTATTTGAAAAATGGAAGTAATTTTCTTTTGTTGGTCCTGCTTTCAAAAGATGGATACAAATAGAAATTGTCTCCTCTAGAGGGAGCTTGTTAATTTGTTGCCGGAGTCGATCTGGGGATTTCACAGCTGTAAGATTAGGATCGTGAGACCAGACTCTGACCTTGAATAAAAATGTGTTTAGAAGAAGTTTTGGTGCTTGCTTTTTGCAAGACAAGCGCTTTGCTGGAGCAGATGCATGAGAAGATGGATTTGATGACTGTTGCAGTTAAAAACTTTGGACAAACGGTGAATACCCATATAGAAACCATTCAGGAACCAGCCCAGGAACTTGTTTTGACAGGGCAAGCGCAAGTGCAGAAGATAATGGAGGAGGCTGCTGTTGAACCTCAAGTAACACAAATGGAGAGATCCGAGGCCTTGCAGGAGCATAAGCCGCTGTTCTTGAAGTTTGAATCTGGAGTGGACCAGGGGGGGTCTGGAGTTGTGAGGGCTCTTAATTTTGGAAGGACTTTGAAACATGCTTTTAAATACTTTCTGGATTACAGTGTTGACTGTGGGGAATGGGACTGTGGGGAATGGGCTGATCTGCTGAGGAGAGATGGAGATATTTTTGGATTGGAGTCCTCCCGAGACCTACCCCCAATGAGAAAGGAAAGAAATTAAGAAAAAGATCAACAAAAGACAAAGTAAAGTGCAGGTATAAACAAGAAGAAGATCTGCAGAAGGGACATGGAAAAGACTTAAGAGCCTCGGACATAAGATCACCAGGTTGATGGACTAGATGGAATGGACAAGAAGGACTGACAAAACCCGAGACCAGGAAGAAGAGACGTTGGATGAAGATTGGAAGAAAGTTTTTAAAAATTTATTTTGAGAATTAGTGTAAAATTAACGAGTATTAGGAAAAATGTTGGAATGAAACTATTTGGCTTTAGTAGAAATGATATAAGGAGTTATGTACATTAAGTTTTAAGGTTTTTTTATGGTAAGATAAGGTTAAATAAATTAAGGTAAATTGAATGACAGAATATAGTGAAAGATGGAAAGGATTTGTTGAGTTAATTAAAAGGTTAGATTGTTAAGATAAATTATATAACAAAAATTGAGAAAGATGGAAAGAATTTGCTGAAACAATTAATTAAATTAGAATACAAAAAGGGAGGTGTGAGGAGGTGGATGAAACAAGTAAATGAAAGATAAAGATATGGAACATTGGATGTGTGTTTTAATGTTACTGTGTGTTTTTTTTGCTGTAATGTTGTATTGTTTATGCTTTTCTTTTTATGTATTGTAATGTATGCTTTGTCAAATTTTTTGTTGTTTTCTTTTTCTCTTTTTTCTGTAATTCTTAAACTTTTAATAAATATCATTTAAAAAAAACAAAAAAAACTATCACTTGTATATGAAGTCAGGATTTGAAGTATAAGCAGGGGATTATTGAAATAACCAATGATATTGGGGTTTAGACAATAAAAGCATGTGTTATAAGACAGCTAATAAAATAGTAAAAAAAATAATCAGGAAAGGCAGGGTAGGAAGTCAAGAAGAAGCTATGTATGTTAAAGAAAAACTGCATGATCAATGCTTTGAAATATCTTTAGAGAATTAATAAAAATATATTTAAAACAAATTGAATTAAACTAAATAATTTTAACTGGATTTTGAATAAATGGGCAATTAGTTGTTATGGTTTTGCATTTTTTCATGTTACTGCCTTCCTGAGTGGGTCATACAAACCATTATTCTGAATAACACATTCCATAGAGTTGGGGGATGAATTTATGGAACCAGGGTGGGGTGGTCCCCCAGAAGGTTTGAGAACAACTGCTGCAATTCCTTTCTCTAGACATGAAAAAATGTGGGGGACCCAAAGTCCAGCAAATTCGGCCTGGTTCTCTTTCAGGGGTGCGTGGGGGTAGATGTACACAGGTGAAATGCTAATATTAAATGTTATTTAGACCCTGCCCTCCCCGGCCAGAGCCGGGCTCAGGGCATCTAACACCAGTAAAATTACAGTAAAAACATAATGGGCGGGGGGAGAGAAAACCCAATTTAAAATACAATTTAAAATGCAGCCTCGTGTTAATAGTAGCCCATAGATCAAGACCATAAGGGGAGGGAAACATAAGGGACTGATTCCAAACCAAAGGCCAGGCAGAACAGCTCCATCTTGCAGGCCCTGCGGAAAGATGTCAAGTCCCGCTGGGGCCCTAGTCTCTTGTGACAGAGCGTTCCACCAAGTCGGGGCCAGTGCCGAAAAGGCCCTGGCCCTAGTGGAGACCAATCTAACCACCTTGCGACCTGGGACCTCTAAAATGTTGTCATTTGTGGACCTTAAGGTCCTCCGCGGGGCATACCAGGAGAGGCGGTCCCGTAGGTTTGTGGGTCCTAGGCCGCATAGGGCTTTAAAGGTCAAACCCCCAAGCCCACCTTGTTAATCCAGGGGCCCAGGTTGGGCGAACATTCGTAGAGGCAGGTGTCCTGGATGAAGTGTCGTTTACAGGCATCTGACATGATCCCGCAGTGGTTCCAGTTAAAGTTGTACAGGTAGGACTGGTCATCATGTGCGGCGTGACTCGTGCTATTTGTACAGCAAGCATTTTCTTTCCATGGGGAGCACTATGGGAGGAGAGGGAAAGAGGGATGGGGGAGGAAAGGCCAACTCATCTAGCACCTCGACCGCCCTCCCAAGTCACAAGACGACTAGGATGTTCCACGCTGCCTTCACTCGCTCACACCCCAAGCCCTGCTTCCCAGCCAGTGGCAAATTTATTCTCATTTCGCTTGTCATTAAATCGTACACCTATAGAACTATAGGGTTGGAAGGGATACCCCAGCTCTTAAGGGTTGGTTTCCAGACCCTAAGGAGTAAACCCTACACAAATCCAGAGTGGGGTCCCTAAGGCGGTTGGATGGCACCTTGTCCGCCTCCTTCCAGCAACTTCTGCAGTGTGGTGTAGTGGTTAAGAACGGTGGACTCGTAATCTGGTGAACCGGGTTTGCTTCCCCGCTCCTCCACATGCAGCTGCTGGGTGACCTTGGGCCAGTCACACTTCTTTGAAGTCTCTCAGCCCCACTCACCGCACAGAGTGTTTGTTGTGGGGAAGGAAGGGAAGGGAGAATGTTAGCCACTTTGAGACTCCTTAGGGTAGTGATAAAGCGGGATATCAAATCCAAACTCCTCTTCTTATTCTTCCTGCAGCCAACTGGTGTCAAACATCTTGCTCTGCTTTCCTTCAGACCACATCAATGAGACTTATCTAGACAGTCCAGGAACTCCATACACACTACCCAGGCTTGTGGCCCGGAGATACTCTTGGTTATACTCCTCTGACCCCTTCCAGAAGGATGTCAACATCCTTCTTAAACCGGGGTGCCCCAAACTGGACACTGATGGGGCCTGACCAAGATGGAATAGACTGGGACTATTACTTCACTTGATCTGGACACTAGACCTCTGTTGATGCAGCCTAGAATAGCCTTAGCAAAAATTAAAAATAGTAAGCTGGCTTTCCTTCAGAGCTATCGCCTTGCCCAACCTCTGTTGGCTGAGATTGATGGGAGTTGTAGTCCATCATCATCAGCAGAGCACCAGGTTTGGCAAAGGCTGCCTGTTATGTACTGAGTTGAATAGGATCCAAAATGCAGCAGCCTGATTGGTCCTAGAACAATAGGATTTGGAATGCAGCAGTCTGATTGGCCCTAGAACAATAGGATTCAGAATGCAGCAGTCTGATTGGCCCTAGAACAATAGGATCCAGAATACAGCTGTCTGATTGGTCCACAGGAGCCACCCAATCCAGCTCCAGGTGGAAGTGAATCTGCAACCTGATTGGCCTACAGGAGAATCCTGGAATTAGCCAATCACGTGGGGCCCATCGTGTAAATAATGTCTATAAAGCAGACATTCTGGGGGAACTTCCATTCCTCCTCACCACTATGAGCTGAATAAAGAGCATGAAATCCACTCTCGACTGAGTATATTTTACTGCTGTTGCCCTCCATTCACTCTCTCTGGCACAGCTCAGATCAGGGAATAGAACTGAGTTTCAGAATCCCCTTTGGGGAGAGAGCCTACCTGCCCATGCAGCTCATCCTCTTTACCAGGCTTCGTTTTGTGATGTTTGCCATCCATGCACGTGTTCAGCACCGAGACATCAGCAGCCCCGGCAGCCAAGAGAGCCAGCAGCCCCAGCAACTTCCTGCACGCTGCCATCTCCCTGCAGATGGTGGCGGGAGAGAGAGAGAGAAAGGAATAGATTCAAAGAACCAAATAGCTGCAATATCACAAGGACCCACCTGGCTTGTCAAGGCTGCAGAGGGCAGCTTTGTCGGCTGCTCTCAGTGCCGTGAACTGAGCATGTCTGGAGCTGTGATCAACACTGCCTGCAACCAGGAGAGGAAATTGCAGCAGATGATTCTGCCCCCACCTCAGTCATCTTTCCTTAACTCCCTCCCTCCCCCCCCCAACTGTGTCTACTCACCCAGGTAAGATCAGCAGAGAACTTCCCTTACCCACACTTTTGGAAACCAGTATCCCCATTCAACTTCTCAGGTTTTAAAAAAAACACACTAAACTTATTTTTGCTGGAATACAAAGCCTTGCAAAAGAGAACAAGTGCCCTTTATATGCCCACTTGACTGCTTTGATCTGCGGAACTGGTGCCAAGTGATATCTGTTCTGTATTGTTAAGAACTTGATCTCTCAGTGTGGCAAAATCTGCCCTCTGGAACTCCCTGCTTATTGACATCGGTAAGGCTGTATACCTTTGCTGTATTCTTTGTGCCTCCTGAAAACATTTTTGTGTAGACAAGGCTGCCCAGGTATTTTAAAAGGTGATGCAAGATTGAATATTATTTTAACATTTTAAAAATCATAAATTGCTAATTCTTATTGGCAATTTTATTTTTCCCTTTTTTGTGAATGGATTTGAGTGTGTTTTACATTCAGGTGGTGAATAAATTTTATGAAATAAGTAATACAGTGGTACCTTGGGTTACATGCACTTCAGGTTACATACGCTTCAGGTTACAGACTCCGCTAACCCAGAAATAGTACCTCGGGTTAAGAACTTTTCATCAGGATGAAACAGAAATCGTGCTCCAGCGGCGCGGCAGCAGCAGGAGGCCCCATTAGCTAAAGTGGTGCTTCAGGTTAAGTATGGACCTCCGGAACGAATTAAGTACTTAACCCGAGGTACCACTGTAGAACAAACAGCAACCCAGAGGAAGAGCCCACGACCCAAATCCACAGGAGCCGGGAAAACCATAGCCATTAACTTGGTTTTATTTCTGTCCACTTTTTAAAATAGTTGCCCTCACTTTCTAATACATAAAAAGCAGTAACAACAACAACAACAACAAGGAAGAAAGACATGAAAACAAGAAAGGAAAGATACAAGGGGAGATGAGCAGTGTTCCACAAACAGCATTGTAATTCCAGAAAACTGTCCTTCACAAGCATATTAGGCAAGAGTTTCTAAAGGAGCACCAGTCCATTCCTCCATCACTTACCTGCACATACAGCCAAGGAAGACCCACTTTCAAACACAAGAAACCCTCCCAACAGACTTTTTATACCTGAGCATTCTCACCTGCAGCTGCTTTCTCTCTCTCTCAGGTGGGCTGGCAGCACAGCTGATGAAAGCCAAGAGCTCCTTAAGCCTTAAAGAAGCAGACTTCCCAATATGCCTGGAAATAGGAACTGGTTCCAAAGATCAGCCGAGAAATTGTCAGTCAATGATTGTTCAAAGGAGCACTGAGCTCCCACTTGCCAAGCGTGCCCCACCAAGGAGACAGAGAATATCACCTCGGAAGTGCTCCAAAACATAGAATCGAAGAGTTCAAAGACACCCCAAAGGAAAGCTTTGTCTATTTGCCTATTTATTTCCATTCATGACTTCCATTCATAAAATACTTTGAAGCAATTCCTCATAAAAAGCATCAGCAATAGAAACAGTTGCACAATTTCATACTGTAGCAATTGTGGGATTGGGGGTGGGGGAGAGAAACAGTCTAAAACACTGTAATAAAATACCGTATTTTTCCATCTATAAGACGCCCCCATGTATATATTTTGGGACTCCAAGTTGAGAAAATGGGGGGGGGGAGGATTGCCCAGACATATTGAGCTTTTTATGGGGGGGGTGTTGAAAATCCCTAAGCTGCAGGACCGCCACAGCCAATTGCACACACATCGACAAAGCCACCAATCATCTGCACGCTCACCGAAAGCAAGCGCCAATCGCACGCCCAATTGCCGCAGCAGCCAGTGGATCTTCCCGCACCCACCAATCACATGCAAAAACGCCGCTGGCAACCTCCTGCTCGCGGCAGCCACCAATCGCCCGTCCCACCTCTCCACTATCCATATATAAGACGACCCCCAATTTTTAGCATAATGGTCCCGGCCTCTTGAGTGAGATGAGCGCACAACCCTAGAGTCTGTCAAGACTGGCCCGTACGGGCAGGGGTACCTTTACCTTTACCTTTTATACACAGAAAAATATGGTAAATATACAATGTGAAACGGTTTCAAGTCCAATATAGATGCAGCATGAGTTGGAATAAAGGGCAGTAGTTTTAAACTGGGGTGAGGATGCAATTGCCCCAAGAGAACAGCGGGGTGAATTGCTGTGAGCTGTAAAATGGGGTTACATCTGCTTATCTGCTTGCTTTGAAGCCTTAACTTTTGGTTTAGCGAGTTGGGGGAGGGCAGGCTTCTCCAGCTGCCAGCCTGTTGAGTGGTGGGGAAGAGGCCTCTAGGCCAGGGGTGGTTAATTTTTTGGTGTCTCCCAAAAATTTGACACATCACTTGGGAGGATAGGTGAACTACGGTAATACCTGTGTACTGGAAGAAGCAAAGATGATGATGAAGAAGAAGAGTTTGGATTTGATATCCCGCCTTTCACTCCCTTTAAGGAGTCTCAAAGCGGCTAACATTCTCCTTTCCCTTCCTCCCCCACAACAAACACTCTGTGAGGTGAGTGGGGCTGAGAGACTTCAGAGAAGTGTGACTGGCCCAAGGTCACCCAGCAGCTGCATGTGGAGGAGCGGAGACGCGAACCCGGTTCCCCAGATTACGAAACTACCGCTCTTAACCACTACACCACACTGGCTCTCACCAGTGAGAGATCACCAGTGTTGAAGCAATGTTCTTCAACATCAACTTTGTTGGACTGGTCATGTTGTGCGGATGCCTGACGATCGTCTTCCAAAGCAACTACTCTATTCCAAACTTAAAAATGGAAAGCGTAATGCTGGTGGTCAACAAAAGAGGTTTAAAGACTCTCTCAAGGCAAATCTAAAAAAATGTAGTATAAACACTGACAATTGGGAAACACTTGCCTGCGAGCGCTCCAGTTGGAGAACAGCCTTTACCAAAGGTGTCATGGGCCTTGAAGACACTCAAACTCAGGACGCAAGGGAGAAACGTGCTAAGAGGAAGGCACGCTTGGCAAATCCACACCGTGATCAACTCCTGCGCGGAAACCAATGTCCCCACTGTGGAAGGACATGTGGATCCAGAACTGGCCTCCACAGTCACTTACGGACTCATTGTTAAAACCGTGTTCATGGAAGACAATCTTACTCGGCTACGAGGGATCACCAAAGAAGAAGAAGAAATGGGGCTGTTACTGCCAGCTATCTGAGCTTGCTTTTCCTATAAGTAAGCCTCACTGGCAAAGCCATGCCGCTTCAGTGGCCGTCCTGAAGCGTAGTGGCAAGGAATCCTGCATGTAAATCTCTTGATACACCTTTATAATAAAGCATTCGAATTAGAACAGAATTCAGAGAGAATTGTCGAGTTGGAAGGGACCCAGTGGAACCCCCTGCAATGCAGGAATATGCAGCTGTCTCTTGCAGGGATCGAACCTGCAACCTTGGCGTTATCAGTGCCACCCTCCAACCAACTGAGCTACTCTGGAGTTTTGTGCATCTTGTTTTGGCATCCCTGCAACTGGGTCCTTCGAAGCATTGGTCAAGCCTTTGCCCTGGTCTGCATTTGGACCTGCAGATCAGAACAGGAGAGCGTGGCAGACCCTCAGCATATACTAAGGATGTTACCTTAAGCCCTAAACCATTGCAAAGATGCTTAGAATCGTGGACTTGGAAAAGGACCCCAGGGATCATCTAGTCCAACCCCCCTGCAATGCAGGAATAAGTACTTCTTATGCGACCGTGAGTCTCCTTGACTGAAGTCTTTGAGACTTAGAAGCATGCATGAGATCTGCTTGGCGTACGCCCAGGACCTCACTCAGCCTTCCTGGGACAAACAGTTTTATGGTTGCTAATAAACTGCACAGATCATGATGAGGACTTAGCAGCAGGCGGACTGCCTTGTCAGATCAGGCCAACGCGCACCTGAGCCTGTCCTTGATTTGCTGGCAAAGCAGATTCCTGGGAGACAGAAGACTTTGCTCTGTCAGTTGTGCTCAGAATCAGGTATTCAGAGATAACCTTTATCTGGCTATGGAGAAGGCAGTTAAGAGTGTTATAAGAATTCTAAGGTCTCAAATATAGAATAAATGTTCATAAATGTACAAGGCAAACACATACATAAATGTATAAACCACGTGTCTGAAATAGTACAGGAGAGCAATCCTGAAGCCATTTTGACTCTCCCAAATTGACCTCAATATATTTCTCTGCAAGGAGGAAAGGAAATGGGGAAAGCTTTCCAATTGTCTTTGGACTGTAGGAACTTACAAGTCCCTGCAAATACAGTTCCGAAAGTATCTGTTAAGTTGAGCAAACTTTCAATACAGTATGTGTAAGAGATTCAGAAACTAAAGTACCGTATTTTTCGCACTATAAGACGCACCAGACCACAAGACGCACCTAGTTTTTGGAGGAGGAAAACAAGAAAAAAAATATTCTGAATCTCAGAAGCCAGAACAGCAAGAGGGATCGCTGCGCGGTGAAAGCAGCAATCCCTCTTGCTGTTCTGGCTTCTGGGATAGCTGCGCAGCCTGCATTCGCTCCATAAGACACATTTCCCCTTACTTTTTAGGAGGGAAAATGTGAGTCTCATAGAGCAAAAAATACGGTATTTACCATCTCAAAGGAATGGCCAAGCTACCCAGATAATGCAATCAAGCAAGGCATTATTAGGGACGTGGGTGGTGCTGTGGGCTAAACCACAGAGCCTAGGACTTGCCGATCAGAAGGTCAGTGGTTCGAATCCCCACGACGGGGTGAGCTCCAGTTGCTCGGTCCCTGCTCCTGCCAACCTAGCAGTTCAAAAGCGCGGCAAAGTGCAAGTAGATAAATAGGTACCACTCTGGCGGGAAGGTAAACGGCGTTTCCATGCGCTGCTCTGGGTGGGCAATTTCAAAGGTCTCTATAGGGGCTTGTGCACCATTGTTCTGGATCTCTCCTACCTCCTTGCAAGGAGGGGAGGGAACTTTGTTGCAACAGAAAAATAAAGATTTTGCCTCCATCCATTCATCTCTGACCAATCATGGACTTAGGGGACCCAGTCCCTTGGGGAGCTGGGCAGCAAAAGCCAACCCCCCCCCATTTTTTCCTATAACAAGAACATTACAGAAAGAAGTGGAAGAAATATCCCTCAGAATAAGAGCTGAGTTTGTTGGCAACCTACCCCATGTCCCAAACACATAGAATTGTGTTGTAGAGATGTCCACCCCCCAAAAAAACCCCTGCTTTTCAGACCAGATAAGCAAAGTTTGCATTTGAATTTGAAAGGCCCTTCCGGCTGCTTGTAGTAGGTGACTGATTCTTTACTGTTTAGATCTCAGGATGGGACTTTCTGAGTTCAAAGCATGATCTCTGCTGTTGCTGCTGAGCTCTGGGAAGATTTTACATAACAGAGGTTAGAACTTTGGACTTTGGAGACAAATAGTGAGTTCTAATTCCAGGAAGGAGTGGCTTGCTTGTTGCAGAACCGGATGCTTTCTATTTAGGTCCTAAAAAGCAGGTGGCATCGACAGCAGCTGATTTTATCATTTTGCAATTTTGAATAAATTTGTACTTCTGCAAGTGATTCTTCCAAACCATAGAAATAAGACCTGCCAAGGAAGCTGTTTCATCGGATCGACTCAGGCAGTTTGCTTGCTCGCCAATGAATAGGGCAGAGAGGAGAGGAACTCTGCGCATGCTTTTGGGTTGCTGTTTTTTAAGCTGCTACTTCACACCTCCTATCTGGACCCTAGGAATGACCGGTCCAGAAGGGGCTGAAGAGCTCCTACGTAAATGCATTTATTGAATGATATTACAGCAGGCAGGCAGGCAGGCGAGTTGCAGACGGAGTGAAGCAAGCTTGGCACCCTGAACAGGCAAGGGTTGATTTGTAGGGGGTGCGGAAGTCCAACAGGTGAAGTATGGATCTGGCCCATTCCCTGCTCACTATTATCAATGACAATTATTACTTGCATTTATATTCAACCTTTTTCTGGCTCTCCTCCTCCTTATTTTATGCCCCCAACAACAGAAGGCCGCAAGGTAGGTTAGGCAGTGACTGGCACCTAAGGTCACCCTGTGAGAGCCCGGTGAGGAATTCAAACTCTTCTCTCTTCCAGGTCCCAGTCTGACACTAACCCAGTGGTGGCCAAACTTGGCCCTCCAGCTGTTTTGGGACTACAACTCCCATCATCCACAGCTAACAGGACCAGTGGTCAGGGATGGTGGGAACTGTAGTTCCAAAACAGCTGGAGGGCCAAGTTTGGCCACCACTGCTCTAACCACTGCACCAAACTGCCTCTGCCACTTTCATGCAAACTTTTGTTCTTGTTTTTCCCTTATTAAACATTTTGGTTTTGGGGCTGAAAGTAGCCACATGCAAGCAGCTCTAGCGGGCGAAACAATCAGCTGTCAGTTTCTCCCCAGCTTCCTCTTCCCATCCCAAATGCAGCATTTTCAAACACATTAAATACTCCTCCTTTACTACCGAATCTGGTTTTATTGACAATAAAATTAAACAGGGTTCAGCTTGAAGTAAGAATTGCATTTTTTAAATCAACCAATTAAATTATTTCATTGCTTGGTCGATCAACCAATCAAATAACTTGCCCCTCCTTTCCCCTCCCTCCTTAACAGCTGCATGAATAAGCGCCTGATTAAACACGCCCCTCGCAGACGCTACAGGGCTCCACTGCGCAGGCGCACAGGAATCCTCCTGGGAGGGGCGGGGTCAGGAGCCTTTCCAGCCGCCGGGGACGAAGAGGCTCCACCCACGCGCCTGCGCACTGGGCACGTGGAAAACCTAGAGTTAGGAAAAAGTGAAGAGGGGAAAACACTTCCGGTGAAAGACGTTGAGTGAAACAAACAAGACCGGAAACACCCCCCACCGCCGCAGAGCGCTTCCGGAGCATGGCAGATGCGCTTCCGGGGGCATGGGGGTTTCGAACCGGGGCCGGCTTCTCCCTCAGCAACGAAGTGGGAGGTGAGGGGAGAGGGGAAGGGAAAGGGGGACAGGAGAGAAGGAGATGCACGGAGGGGGGGACCGGGGGCACCTCGGGCTCAATGACCCGGATGCTGTTGGCCGCTGGAGGTCATGACCTTTGGCTTGCAGGGGAGCCCATTTCACACCCCCGGGCAGTGCCTAAAATAGGTGCGGGGGGGTCTCACTCTGTGACCCCCCAAAGGCCCCGCCAAGTATTCCTGGGCCTGAGAGAAAGTGGGGGGGGGGAAGAATCCTGACCCCATAGAGGGAGGGAGAGAAGGCGGTGCCCCCAGCTCCGTCCCTTGCTTAATATGATATTATAATTGTCATGATTATTTTTATTTGTTTCTCATCTTGTAATATAATAATAAGCAGAGACATCACCTTGCCGACAAAGGTCCGTATAGTTCAAGCTCTGGTTTTCCCAGTAGTGATGTATGGAAGTGAGAGCTGGACCATAAAGAAGGCTGATTGCCGAAGAATTGATGCTTTTGAATTCTGGTGCTGGAGGAGACTCTTGAGAGTCCCATGGACTGCAAGAAGATCAAAGCTCTCCATTCTGAAGGAAATCAGCCCTGAGTGCTCACTGGAAGGACAGATCCTGAAACGACTAAACAACTAAACAACAACAGTACTTTATTTATACCCCGCCCATCTGGCTGGGCTTCCCCAGCCACTCTTGTGCTGTGAACCGCCCTGGAAAACTTTCACCATGTGATAAGCTGCTTGCCTTATTAGTCCTATATTTATCATTCAGGATGCAATTAAATGCAGCTCCACTCAGTTCCCTCGTTGCCTTTCTTGTTGTTGTTTAGTCGTGTCCGACTCTTCGTGACCCCATGGATCAGAGTATGCCAGGCACTCCTGTCTTCCACTGCCTCCTGCCGTTTCGTCAAACTCATGCTGGAATCTTCGAGAACACTGTCCAACCATCTTGTCCTCTGTCGTCCCCTTCTCCTTGGGCCCTCCATCTTTCCCAACATCAGGGTCTTTTCCAGGGAGTCTTCTCATGAGGTGGCCAAAGTCTTGGAGCCTCAGCTTCAGGATCTGTCCTTCCAGTGAGCAGTCAGGGCTGATTTCCTTCAGAATGGAGAGGTTTGATCTTCTTGCAGTCCATGGGACTCTCAAGCGTCTCCTCCAGCACCATAATTCAAAAGCATCAACCTAGCAGTTTGAAAGCACACTAGTGCAAGTAGAGAAATAGGTACCGCTGTGGCGGGAAGATAAACGCCATTTCCATGCACTCTGGTTTCTGTCACGGTGTTTCGTTGTGCCGGAAGCGGTTTAGTCATGCTGGCCACATGACCCAGAAAGATGTCTCTGAACAAACGCCTGCTCCCTTGGCCTGAAAATGAGATGAGTGGCCCACCCCATAGTCACCTTTGACTGGACATAACTATCCAGGGGTCCTTTACCTTGGTCCTCTGAGATGCCTGCGATACATCCAGTCCAAAAGAATGCAAAACGAACCAATGCTGCTTCATTTACATGTGTTAGCATCAAGTACTCATTTTTCTAGCACTAGGAGGTTGAAGCGTGTTTGCTGAAGACCATGTGTTGGGTACTGCCTGTGCCTAGAATCCCTTGGTACAGTGTGGCGATGGTTTGGGTTGCATGGGCTGTGTGGCTGATGAGTGAAGGATCGTTCCTTAGGGACACAGGATCAGACCTGCCCCTCTCCTTTATAGTCCCATATCTGACTATACAGTCATACCTTGGGTTGAAGTAGCTTCGGGTTGAGCGTTTTCGGGTTGCGCGCCGTGGTGACCCAGAAGTAACGGAACGCGTTACTTCCAGGCTTCACTGCTCGTGCATGTGCAAACGCTCAAAATGACGTCACACGCATGCGCAGAAGCGGGTTGCGTTCTCTTCAGGATGTGAACGGGGCTCCAGAATGGTACAGAGGTACCACTGTAGTGCTTTTCCAACCATTTTTCTTCTCCCAATCCCTCAGGAAGACATGTCCACGCTCTTTCCTTCCCTCTTCCCACGAGTCACTGAGGCGCTGTGGTTTAACCTGGACCGGCCATGTGTGGATGAGAATGAGCTTCAGCAGCAAGAACAGCAGCATCAGGCCTGGGTGAGCCACGCAAGGAGGAGAGGGGTCTTTGGGAATAAGGAAGAGGAAGGAGCAGGGCTGTCGGATGGAGCCAGCCAAACGTTAGGAAGAACTTTCTGACAGTAAGAGCTGTTCAAAAGTGGTGGCCTCTCCTTCATTGGAGGTTTATAACAGAGGCTGGCCGGCCACCTGCCGGGGATTCTTGAGCTGTGATTGGTTGGACTAGATGACTCTGGTGGTCCTTTAAACTCTATGCTTCTGTGTAGTGAACAGGAAAAAGAGCTTTTTCCTGAGGGCAATCTCATACTTTGTCCGTTGGAAAGCGTGTCCTTTCCCCCGCTTTCCCCTCCAATTCACCTGTCTTCAGAGAGCCAGTGTGGTGTAGTGGTTGAGAGCAGTAGACTCGTAATCTGGGGAACCGGGTTCGTGTCTCCGCTCCTCCACATGCAGCTGCTGGGTGACCTTGGGCCAGTCACACTTCTTTGAAGTCTCTCAGCCCCACGAACCTCACAGAGTGTTTGTTGTGGGGGAGGAAGGGAAAGGAGAATGTTAGCCGCTTTGAGACTCCTTAAAGGGAGTGAAAGGCGGGATATCAAATCCAAACTCTTCTTCTTCTTCATTTTGAACCTTCCTTCTGGATGTTCTTGATAGTTTCTCTGAATTAATTTAACATTTTCTCCCTTTGTCACAGCTGCAGAGCATCGCTGAGAAAGATAACAACTTGGTCCCAATTGGGAAGCCTGCCTCCGAGGTAACAACCTTGTCAGCCCCTGGGATACACTGGAGTGGGGCGGGGGTGTTCTGCACCTAGATTGGGAGGGTTTGTTCAAGGAGCTATGGATCTGGGCAGGTTATGGGCTGCCATTATTATTATTATTATTATTATTACCACCATCGCATACTTAGATAATGATGTCACACCAGAGGAAAGGGCCTTGTTGCCCTGGGATTGCCTCCACCTCCGTCACTTATCTTAGATGTGCCTAATGGCTTCACTCCATCTCTTGGGTCCTTTCCTCTCATGGTTCCTCTCACTTGGACCATTTACATCAGGATCTCACAATTGCCACCCCCATATCATCCCTCCTCTGCAAGCCTAAACCCTCTGGTTCCTATTGAGCCATTCCCTGGTTGCTCTTAAAAGAGGAGTGGTTCCTGCTCCGCTGGTTGCTGTTATAACCGTCTTCTGCAGAGTGCACAGAAAACAGGCACCTATATCTTGCAGGGAGGGGTTACAAAAGCACAAGGCCTTCTAGGCTTAATGAGGATGTGAGAAATTCTAGGCTTACCCTTTAGGAGCTACATAAGAGCGGAGAAATCCTGGACTCCTTTTAAGAAGATTGTGACGTGTGTAAGAAAGGGAAAGGAACTGAGACGCCGGGTGTTTCATATCACTTAGAAGGAGAGCTTGCAGGATTGAGAGGAACTTCCTGCGTTTTAAAGCTGCAATCCGCCTTGAGGATAGCAGGGTCTGTAGATAAATTGTAATATTGTCTTGAGGGCTTACATGGTAAGCCACATGGTTGAATTTATGTGAAATATTGTTATATCACCTTTAACGGTAACAGCCGTATCAAGGCAGTTTGCAAAACATAATAATAATAGTAATAATAATAATAATAATAATAATAATAATTTAAAATAATAATTTAAAATAATAATTTTATTTATACTCCGCCCTTCCAGGTTCAGAAAACCGGGCTCAGGGCGGTTAACAGCAAATTTAAAACACTTAATTGATGCAACAAAAAGCAGCATAAAATACAATATAAAATGTGAATAACAACAAATTCAGAATTCAAAAATCAATTTAGGGGGAAATCCATCCAATAAATATTAGGTGATCACCAGGGCTAGCTGGCTAAATTAGTCCTATTTAGGCCAGTGAGGAGACCAGGGGAGAATTAGCTGTGGGATCCCAGAGTGGGTAATCTTCATAAAAAGGGGAGGGGGAGGGAAGGGAAGGAAGGGGAATAAAAGATCAGGCTAAGCTCAAATGGAAAGCCAGGCAAAATAGCTGTGTCTTACAGGCCCTGCGGAAGGAGGTTAAATCCTGCAGGGCCCTGGTCTCATGGGACAGAGTATTCCACCAGGTCGGAGCCATCACTGAGAAGGCCCTGGCCCTGGTGGAGGATAATCTAATTTCCTTAGGGCCCTGGACCTCTAAACTTTGATTATTCATGGACCTTAAGGTCCTCTGTGGGGCAGACCAGGAGAGGAAGTCCCTTAAATACGAAGGCCCTAAGCCACAAAGGGCCCTAAGTCACAAACATAAAGCAGAGCAGCCAGTTAAGTCAGCTGTTGGCCAGGGGCTGGAACAGGAAAGATCCCACATTGTGGACAAGGGCTCTGTGGCGCACAGGAGCCGGGAGGAGAGGTTGGCAGGAAAGTGACGGCTGCGCCTTTGCTTTGCCTTAGCAGACTTATGACGAGGAGGAAGAAGAGGATGACGAAGATGACGAGGACAGCGAGGAAGACTCTGAAGATGACGAGGACATGCAAGACATGGATGAGATGAACGACTACAACGAGTCTCCGGATGATGGGGAGATCAATGAGGTTGGTAGGGGGCTCCTTGTGGGTCTTGGCTTCCTCGTTCCCACGTCTAGATCTGGGAAGAATTTTTTGGGATTCACTGGGGCGCCCTTGTAGCCAGACAGCGGACCATGAGGGAGGCAGCAGTGCATACAAGGAGGACCTCAGCAGAGGTGCTGCAGTGCTGAAGGAGCTGAGCAGCTCAGGGGGCCTGGGCCCGTAGCTCACATCCGCACAAGAGGCTATCCATTCGCAGTGGGCATCCCTTTCAGCTTGGCCTCTTAGCAATTCATCGTTTTGTGTCTCTCCCCAGGTGGATATGGAAGGGGCTGAGCAAGATCAGGACCAGTGGATGATCTAGATTCCCAAAAGAACTCAATCCAGCCTTTGGATGTGTATCTGTCCTCCGTGGAGCAGGAAAGGAGGGGAATCTCTCCCCGAGCCAGGCCGTTTGCAAAGCAGGCTGGTGTGTGTGTGATCCAGGCCTGCCCTGAATCCTGGCTGGGAAGTGGGACCCATTCCTGCCCCCATCCCTGCCGCAGAAGTCCTGCCCCGCTGGGCTCTTTCGTTGTCGTTCTGCTGAAGTGTTTGAGGCAGCTAAAAACTCCAGAGAGGAAAGGAGTTGAGGTTCAGCGCTTGACTTTGGCAGCAAAGGCAGCCGGTCTTTTGTTTGCGTTTGGGGTGTGTGTGTGTGTGTGTGAGTTTTCTGCTCTCGGCAGAAACAGTTTTGTCAATAAACCTTTTTCTTTTGTTATCTGACCTATGTTTTTTCTTCTCCACCCTGGCATGTGGTTTGAGGCTCCATCACAGTGGTGGTGGTGGGGAATTGCCTGCACACCTCTGAGAAAAGAACATAAGAATCAAAGAGTCTTAGAATCGGAAGGGACCACGAGGATCACCTAGTCCAACTACTGCAATGCAGGAATTTTTTTTGCCCAACATGGGATTCAAACCCATGACCCTGAGATTAAAAGTCTCACGCTCTACTGACTGAGCTATCTGAGAAGAGCCTGCTGGGTCAGGTCAATAGGGGCCCATCTGACCAGCATCTTGTTTTCATGGTGACTCTCCAGATGCCTGTGGCAAACCCCCCCACCCCCCCGCAGGATAAGAGCATCTCTCCCTGTGTTTTTTCAGCAAGTGGTGTTCAGAAGCATTGATGCCTCCAACCACAGAGGGCAGAGCATAGCCAATTCCTTCTCTTTAAACAATGCCTGCAGGCTGTAGCAGAGGCAGAAATTCAGTTTGGAACAGCACTGGTGTGCGAAATAACAGGCAGGCTTGACAGCGCAAACAATGCAGGGAATTTGTTGTGCCGCTAATATTTTTAGAGGCATTAGTGAAAAAGTATTGCCTGAGAAGTGTGATCCAATTTGCTTGGAGGTTAAACAGGGCGGGGTGGCAGGAGGTTACTATAGAGAGGGAAGGTGCCCAAATTGTGAGAATTCCTCCCTGATGATATTTATCTTGGACCTTTCATTGCTTTTTTGGCACCAGGCTAAATCTGGCCTGTTCTCTAACAACTTGAAATAATGTCTGAGCCCCTGTTTAATCATCCTCTGTTGTTTGATGTTTTAATGGCCTGGTTTCACAGATTTCGCCTGCCCTGCTGTTTTTATAGTAGTTTTTAAACAAAATTTTGTTATTGTAAGCTGCTTTGGTGACATTGGTGATTGCAGGGCAGAAATCTGATTAAATTAATTAGTACAAGGAATTTGTTATGGTTTTTTTCTTGGTCTTCAGTCAGTCAGGGTGTTGTAGAATTTGCTGTGGTTCTGAGATGAGCCCATTTGGTTACTGACCTTTGAGCAAAGCCCATCTAAACCCTGGCCATCTAGGAGAGGTGCTATTTGCTAACTCCTTCCTTTAATTGTGAAGCCCCATCCATTTGCCCCTGGTATTTTGTTCAGACTGAAAAAAAGACAGTTGGAGTCAGGGCAGATCATTTTATTCTCTGCAATCATTCAAGTTAGATTTCTAAATATAATTCACAGTGTTTCCCTCTTGCCTTCTTTTTGAACCGCCTTGAACTAGACTGAGGTCTGTTAATCAGTTGCAATCGAGAAATCTTGGGGCTTTTTTTGTCTGCTGGCAGAGAAGATTTCAAACTGCCAGCTGATAATTGCAACATCCAAATAGCTCACTTGCCTCAATTCTAGCATCTGGCAAGGCCTGCCATGGGGAACTCAGATCTGCATTCCCCAGTGACTCAAACTAAATAAAGAAATAAATAGATCAGCTTAAAAACTGGCCGGTCTTGCGCTAGGAGATGAGTGTTAGCAGGTCTTCAGTACCCACCCAAAAATGGGAAATTTGCATGAGAACAGAGTCATTTTGCTTTCGTTATATTGGTGCCATTTCCATGGCTGTTTACAAGGGTGTGCAAACCAGGACAGGATATTCCTTTGCTCTCCCTCCCTGCAAGGAAGGAGACCACCCCATCTCTTTATAGCCACATCTCAGGCTCTTGAGGAAGGAGCTGTCTAGGCCCCCATTGGCGATGTTAGAAGAATTTTAAGGTCTCAAATCTAGAATAAATGTTCATAAATGCACACATATCTAAATATATGAACCATGTGTCTGAAATAGTACAGGAGAGCAATCCTGGGGCCATTTTGACTCTCCCAATGGCCTCAAATATTCCTCTGCAGTAAGGGAGGCAAATGGGGGAAGCCTTCCCTTTGTCTTTTTGCTTGCAAATCCTGTCTTAAAGGCGTATTTGGGTGTGAATAGGGTGAGCCTGTGACCTGGATTCAGGAACTAAAGTAGTAACCATCACAAAAGAATGGCCGGTCTGCTCAGGTAATGCAATCAGTGACCATTGTCAGGTATCCTGGCAGGCAGGATTTCTGCTGTAGACCGCCTCTTTCTGTGATGTATGTATGATTTTTGTTGGGGGGGTGGGTCTTGGGCGACTGGGTGGGCAATTTCAAAACTCTATATAAGGCCTTGCACACCATTGTTCAGGGTTCTCCCTCCTGTGTGTGGTGAGAGGGGACCTGTTGCAACCGTTCCTTGAAGGTCGGGCTTATTAGCCGCTTTGCTTCTGTTAACGGAGAAATCTGAGGGCTCCCTTGGACAAAAAACAAGGACACCAGCCAGGAATAGCAGAGCAAAACAGCAGCCAGTAGGCTTGGTCTTTATTGAAGACTGTTGTGACAGGACTCCCACAAGGTGGAACAAGATGGAAGCCCTGAACAAAAGAAGACCCCAACTTTTATTAGCTACTACTCCCCCATGCTACACCCCTAAGACTACATCTTGACCACATCATGACTACATCATTGACATATCACAAAGAGGAGGGGTTCAGGGAGGAGCTGTGGTGGTAACCTGAGTGTCTTGTCACCTGTCCGGTTCCTCCTTTCCCCCTCCCCATGATTACATTCCTGAGGACAAAGAGGAGTTCACTGTTTCCTGCCCCCAGAGGGAAGGACTGGCCACTGTCCTTTGTTTCAGTCCGTGCTGAATCCACTTCCATATGCAGGTCCTTTGTGAGTGTAATGATCTTCTGTCTAGGACCATCAAGGTTGGCATGCCAACTGGGTAGGGCTTGCTGCTGACGTGTTGGTAAGCTTGGGGGATTATGGCTGCCTTGTGTCAAGTCTCCCCCCTTTGATAGTCCTTCCTTCATGGTGTAAAATAAAAGTGGAACGGTACAGATCCGATGTACGGCTGATTTTCTATGAATTTATAACAGAAACATCACGTATGTCGTGTGTGTCGTGTTTGTACAAACTGAATGATTGGGGGGGGGGTTCCTGCAACACTTCTCAATATTCCCTGGTTGGCCTCTGTTATTTCCTCCTACCGATAGGGGACCCACATAAGGACTCTATACGAGCTCTGGAATACCCCATAAGGGAAACAGAGCAGTTATTCCTATAACAGTGACATCTCCCATCACTGCAGACCCGTCCAGGTGAGCTGGGCCACGCCGTCAGGAATGGCCCGGAAGTACTGCAGACTGGTCCTGTGAATCCTCCACTTATACTTGCCGCAGGCCTTGACGTACTGCATGAAATGAGGCGCGCCGGGGAAGATGATGTTGTCGGCCACGATGGTGGCCCCTTCCAGGAGGAGGTCGTGGGCCTCCAACAGCTGCAGGTCTCTCAGGTAGCAGCGCTTCCAGTGGTCCATGAAGATGAAGTCCACGTGGCTCAGCCCGTATTTCTCCTTCAGCTGGGGGATGACTTCCTGCGAGGGTCCCCGGATGAGCTCCACCTGCGCGAGAGAAGCGGTTGAAAGAGAGGCAGAGGCATTTCTGTTGGCAGGGACATCCCGAATGCCTTTAGGGAGGTATTTTTACATGCAACGCCTGCAGCTCGGACTTTGGTGGCAAAGGGGTGGAAGGAAGAAGAAGCCCTGACAATAACGGATTGGCACAACAGGCTACAAGAATTTGCTGAAATGGCGCAGTTGACAAGTAGCCTGAGAGGCAATTCAAAACAAAAATTTATGGAAAAGTGGGATAGATGTAAGATATATGTTCAAAAATACAGTAAAGGCTTGCTATCTACGCTAGTGTTCGATTGACGTTGGAGAGAGACTGAGTTGAGAAATAAGACCGAGGGTACATATTGACATAGGAATGTATTAGATAAAATGTAAAGAAATATACAATAATAAGAGTACATTCATTTGTAAAAAAGGAATATACAATGGGATAGACAGGAAGTCCAAAGTGTTGGTACATATAAGATTTTGGGAAAGTTTTTCGTCCTGGTTTTTCTTTTCGTATATAAACTTTGTATACATGTTGAAAATGATAGTATAATAAGCCTTGTGATGTAATGTGATAATGTTTACCGATGTAACGTAAGAACTTTAATAAATAAATTTAAAAAATTAAAAAGAAAGAAAGAGAGGCAGGCTGCCACCAGGATCCACCCACAGGGAAATCTGCCCATGGGCCCATCTAGCCCAGTACTGCCTGCACCGACTGCCAGCAGCGACTCTGTGGGATCTCAGGCAGGGAGTCATGTTTCAAGAGAAATGGTTAACAAACTTAAAAACTGATGTCTGCAGAGGGGATATATGGATTGAAAATGTATTGCATTGTAACTTTTGAATAAAGGGGGTTTCTTTATTTTAAAAAAGGGAAAAAATATATGTAAATATTTTGAAGTTTAATAAAAATTTGACAAAGATTCACACTCTTGGGAGTGTGCATCTTTCCTTCTGATGGCTCCAGTTTGCCCTGCTTGATTGTGTCTCAGGCCAGGGCTAGCTAGCCCTGGAGGTTTTGCTGTTAGGGGTGTTACGAGAATTTTAAGGTCTCCCAATATAGAATAAATATTCATAAATGCACACATATCTAAATATATGAACCATGTGTCTGAAATAGTGTGGGAGAGCAATCCTGAAGCTATTTTGACTCTCCCAATGACCTCAAATATTCCTCTGCAGTAAGGGAGGCAATTGGGGAAAGACTTCCCATTGTCCTTTTGATTGCAAATCCTGTCTTAAGGGTGTACTTAAGAGAGCCAGTGTGGTGTAGTGGTTAAGAGCGGTAGACTCGTAATCTGGTGAACCGGGTTCGCTTCTCCGCTCCTCCACATGCAGCTGCTGGGTGACCTTGGGCTAGTCACACTTCTTTGAAGTCTCTCAGCCCCACTCACCTCACAGAGTGTTTGTTGTGGGGGAGGAAGGGAAAGGAGAATGTTAGCCGCTTTGAGACTCCTTAAAGGGAGTGAAAGGCGGGATATCAAATCCAAACTCTTCTTCTTCTTCTTCTTCTACTTGTGTATGAATAGGGTAAGCCTATGACCTGGGACTCAGGAACTAAAGTATTTACCATCACAAAAGAATGGCCAGGCTGCCCAGGTAAAGCAAACAGTGACCATTATCAGGTATCCTGGCAGACAGGATTTCTGCTGTAGACTTGCCTCCTCCTGCAATGTATGTATCATGTTTTGGGGTGGTGGTCTTGGGCTACAGGGTGGACAATTTCAAAATTGCTGCATGTGAAGGGGGCATCCTGTTGCAACAGTTCAATAAAGATCAGGCTCACTAGTCGCTTTGCTTCTCAATATACAGTCATACCTCATGTTACATTTGCTCCATGATATGTTTTTTCAGGTTGCGTCCCGCGGCGACCCGGAAGTACGGGAAAGGGTTGCTTCCGGGTTTCGCCGCTCACGCATGCGCAGATGCACAAAATGACGTCATGCGCAGAAGCGGCGAATCGCGTATGCTACAACAGCAGCAAGAATACTCATTGCAAAGTATTGGAAGACACAAGATCTACCCACTCTGGAAGAATGGCAGATGAAGGTGATTGACTACATGGAATTGGCAGAAATGACTGGCAGAATCCGAGACGAGGGAGAAGAGTTGGTGAAAGATGACTGGAAGAAATTTAAAGACTATTTACAGAAATATTGTAAAATTAATGAATCTTAGAAGGATGTTGGATAGAAACTAAGTGGTTTCCAGCTGTAATGCTTTAAGAGATACGAAAAAAGGTTTATAAATGGGTAAAAGTTTAATGGTAAGGATTTGCTGAACTAATAAACTGAACTGGAATACAAAAAAGGGAGGTACGAGGAGGTCCGGGGAAATAAGTGTAAGGAAGATATGTTATGGAAAATTAATGTGTTCTTAACTGTTTTTATTTTGTATGTTTCTTTTTATTTCTCATTTCTTTGTTATATCTTAATAAGGGTTTTTTTTTATTTTTCTTGCTGTATTTTGTATTTTCTTGTATTTTTATTTTTTGTTTTTGTGTAATTCTTGTATTTTTTGAAATTTTAATAAATATCATTTTAAAAAAAAGAAGAAGTGGCGAATCGCAACCTGCGTGTGAGCAGATGCGCCGTTGTGGGTTGCGTTCTATTCATGTTGTGAACGGGCCTCTGGAATGGATCCTGTTTGCAACCAGAGGTGCCACTGTACTCTGGCTGACCTCTGTTATTTCCTCCTACTGATGGGCAACCTGCTTCAGGACTCTATATGGGCTCTGGAATACCCCAAAAGAGAAAAGGAGCACTTTTTCTTATAACGGGCAAAACAGAAAATGCCATGTCCTTCTCTGCCTGCCTGCCACGCGGCTGCAGTTACGTGCCTGGCCGTGGCACAACAGACTCACGGCAGAGAGGAGAGGAAGCACGAACAAGCACAGGAGGTGAATCTGCCGCGTTCCCCAGCCCTCCAGAGCCTGCCACCCTAAGGCAACCAACCGCCTCACTTTGCCTCTAGCTCTGCCCCCCGTCCCCCGGCAGCTTGGCAAGGGCAGCTGTGGAAGCCCAAGGCACTCACGGTGTCATCGTCGAAGCCAGCCAGGCGGATGACCTTCTCGGCCACGGCCGCTTTGCGCTCGTCCATCTCCACGGTGTACAGCCGGGCGCCCAGTGGCAACAGCTGCGCGATGAGGATGGTGGCGTATCCGCAGTAGGTGCCCAGCTCCAAGACTCGGAGGGGAGCCTTCTCATAGATCAGCCGCTCCAGGATCTTGGCTAGAAGGCATCAAATCAAGGTTGCGTTTGGGGTGAGGAAGGATGGAGGTTGCCCAGCAGCCAGCCACCTCTTCCCAATTTATTCCCTGCGGTTATTCTAAGACAGCGTTCTCCAAGACGGTGCCCTCCACGGGGCTGGCCAGGACTGTTGGGAGCCAGAGTATGAAATCTCAGGAGGGCACCGTCTTGGGGAAGGCTGTGAAACCCAAAAGCCCACCAAGGCGAGAATATTACTAGCGAAGAATTGGAAGAAACAAGATTTACCAACTATAGAAGAATGGCAGACAAAAATGATGGACTATATGGAACTTGCCAAATTGACCGGGAGACTCCGAGACCAGAGAGAAGAGACGGTGGAAGAAGACTGGAAGAAGTTTAAAGAATATTTGGAAAAAATACGTTAATATTTAAATCTTAGAATAGCTTTGGAAGTGGATATAGGCTGTAGGGTTAGAAGTAGAAGACAGTGTGTTTTAAAATAGTATTATTAGTAAGTGATGAAATGTGAAGATTTTTAAGGTAAAAGTAAGTGTGATAAAAAATGGTTAAAATTTATGATATATGAAACTGCTAAAGATGAGGTAAAATGAAAATCAGATGGGGGGACTTGGGGAAGCTCACCTAAAAATGTTTTGAAAAAATAAGGGTAAGACAAGAATTTGTATTGTTTGTATTTCTGTTTGTATTGTTTATTTGTGTTATAAAATGAATAAAAAAATTGGGGGGGGGGGAGCCCACCAGGGCCCTACGAATAGCTGCTGCCTTCACAGTCCGGGGGCTAAAGTCTCATGCGGCTTGTACAGCTGTAGAAGCTATTTGGGGCCTGCTAATTTTGGCCGGACGGACTTAGGGAGCTCAGTCTCCTGCCTGGATCAAGGCAGAAAAGTTATCCTCTGGCTCGAAGCCCAAGGCTTTAGTGCTGTGGTTCCTCTGTGTCAGAGGTGAAGACTCTCTGCCTGTGCTCAGAAGCAATCTCTCCTCTTAGCTGGCTGGAGCGTGGTGCTGATAACGCCCAGGTTGCAGGTTCAATCCCCGCAAGGGGGGGCCGGACTACATGATCCTCAGGGTCCCTTCCAACTCTAGAATTCTAAGGGATGTGCTGTGACGCCGAAACCCAGTTGGCAGGCAGCTTCAGTGTGCCAGCAGCCAATGCAACAGGGCACAACACTATTTACAGCTGCGCTGTTGGCTCCTCGACCAGAAACTGGCACAAAGCAACCAAAAGTCTATTAACATGATTCTTTGCTTGTGTTGGCTTGTGGGGCGGGCCCTCTGGGAGGGGTTGGGAATCGCTTCCGCTGTGAATCTTGGTTCACTGAAATGCTTTGAAACTTCATCCTTTGAAAACCAACCAATTCCTGGTTAGTTTGAAAGCTGCAATAAATTGTGAGGGAACACCTGGGACCGGATGCCACCGGCTCTTACGACTCTCTCTTACAATCGTATACTGAGTGTCTTGCAGCATAAGGGGGAAATACAACGTAATAGTAATTATAATGCAAATAACATGCGTATGCTATAAGCCCTAAAAACAGGCCAGGTGCGTCAGGGCTAAAAGATGTTTCAAAGTGAATAACTAAAAGAGATGGTGAGCTTAGAAGCTCATTGTAACCAGGTTGTTTTCAATAACTGTACATAGGCGCCTGGCTCGAATGCTGTAAATCAGGCATGCCCAAAGTCTGTTTCGGGGCGTAATCCGGCCCGCTGGTCAATTGAATCTGGCCCCTGTGGCAGTTTATTATTGGTCTCAACTAGGGCCAGGGCCTTTTCAGTACTGGCCCCGACTTGGTGGAACGCTCTGTCACAAGAGACCAGGGCCCTGCAGGACTTGACATCTTTCCGCAGGGCCTGCAAGACAGAGCTGTTCCGCCTGGCCTTTGGACTCCGTCTCACCCTTATGTTTCCCTCCCCTTATGGTTTTGATCTATGGGCTACTTTTAAAATGAGGCTGCATTTTAAATTGCATTTTAAATTGGGTTTTTTTCCCCCCTGTTATGTTTTTCTTGTAATTTACTGGTGTTAGCTGCCCTGAGCCCTGGGGTAAAATCCTAAAAAAAAACCTCAACAACTTCAGTCCTAAAAGAAGCTCAACAACTTCTATTCTAAAAAAAGTTGAGCAATTTTGGTTGGCCCTTACGGCCCTTCGCTTCATCAAATCTGGCCCTCTTTGAAAAAGTTTGGACATCACTGCTGTAAATGGCAGGGGTTGGACTAGATGACGCTTAGGACCCCTTTCCAACTCTACAATTCTGTGGTTCTACATTCCTTAATGGTTGCCGCGGTCTCTCTAGTCTTTGGCACAGCATTCTAGCAGAGGCGGTCTAGAGCACTTTAAATGGGCAGAAATAAAGAGGGATCGTGTGACCTGGCCTTATCTATTTGCTATTTGTGCTTCTAGCCTGCCCTTCACAAATACTTCTAGGGCAGGTTACTGATTACCACAGTTGACATTAGTACAACATATGCCCAAAATTCTATCTAGACTAAAACCACAAAAAAGCGGCCACAGCTATAAATAAAAAACTCTGATTTAGGATCAGCAGTTTTGCTGCCTGCTTTAGTAGTTTGATTGCTTCCGCTATGATCTGCTTCTAAATGTGGAGGTATTGGCCTGAATATAAGCCTCACTTTCCCCCAAAAAATTCTGACCGTGAAAAGTTACAGTGCGGCTTAAATTTGCAACCTTACAAAAATGGGCTTTTATGATATCGCTGCTGAAACAGACATACGGTAAAACGAAACGGGTGTGAGTGACTGTGGAATTTTAAGAGAGCGGCTTATATTCTGGCATTGTCTTTTTCTCTCTCTCCCCTCCCGCCCTTTGAATTTTAAAGGTGCGACTTATATTCAGGTGCGGCTTATATTTGGGCCAATATGATACATCTAATAAAACAGCACCTTGAAGGGGCAACAGGAAGTTTAAAAACTACAGAATTCCCCAGGAGGCAGTGAGGGCCAGCAGCTTGGATGGCTTTAAAAGAAGATTCAACAAATTCACGGAGGAGACATGGTGGCTATTTTCTTTCTCTGCTGTTGTGCCTCTGAAGGGATCCAAGGATCATCTAGTCCAACCCCCTGCAATGATCTAGCATGGCTCTCCTTATGTCAGGCATGTGCAAAGTCCGTTTCGGGGGTTTAATCTGGTCCGCTGGTCAATTTAACCCGGAGTAAAATTGTAAAAAAGCTCAACAACTTCAATCCTAAAAAAAGCTTTGGCCGGCCCTCACGCATGTTCACTTCATCAAATCTGGCCCTCTTTGAAAAAAGTTTGGGCACCCCTGCTTATGTCCTTACCAGTGTGTGCTCTCCCTCTCATTACAGTTAGACCTAAGAAGAGCCCATTCCCTGGAACTCCCTGCCACTTGGTTAAGTCAAGGGGCCAAGGCAATCACATCGTGTCTCAGGCCTTCAACATGGGGTAGGCTGGTCAAAAAGAAACAGAGGCAAATTAAAACAAACGGATCCGGGCTTCCTCACTGCATTCCCATCCCATCCAACATTTCTCTGGCGAAAATAGGGACGTCCTATTCCATCCCCTCTGACAGTTCTCCAATAAAAACAAGGATGTCCTATTCCATTTCTCCCATGAAAACAGGGACATCCTATTCCATCCCCTCCAACATTTCTCCGATGGAAACAGGGACATCCTATTCCATCCCCTCCAACATTTCTCCGATGGAAACAGGGACATCCTATTCCATCCCCTCCAACATTTCTCCAATGGAAACAGGGACATTCCTCCGTCCCCATCGCACACCTTTCTGGGGTCCCAGGTTGCTGAGATACTCGCAGTGGTAGCTCCAGTGGTCAAAGGTCTCCAAGATGTGCTGGGGGTCTCCCGGGATGGTGTGGGTCAAGACGTACTGGAAGGCCCTCTCTTCCTTGGGGATGCCCGTCAGGTAGTCTCGCACCCGCCGCACCAGCACCGCCCGGTAAAAGAGGCAGAAGTAGTGCCGGTAGCGGATGAGCAGCGTCACCACGAAAGGGATGAACGCCAGCGCAATAGCCGGGGAGACCATGGCGATGTGTCGAGAAGCCGGCCGCTGTCCTCAGACCTGTGGGAGACACAAGCAGGGCAAGGAAGGCCGGGGCGACACCCCCAAATTCTGGATCAGCCTGCAGTCTCATGTTTACTTCCCTGGGAGCAAACCTCACAGATCTGGATGGGACTTACTTCTGAGTAGACATGAATAGACACTGTTAGTCCCTTTTATATGTCTTGGGCCCAGGCTATCTGAAGGAGTGTTTTATCCCAAACGAATCTGCCCAGGGGGGAAGCCCTTCTCTCTGCCCCACCACCTTCTCAGACATCTTTGGTGGGGATGCAGGAGAAGACCTTCTTGGTGAAGAAAGAAGAAGAAGAAGAAGAAGAGGAGGAGGAGGAGGAGGAGGAGGAGGAGGAGGAGGAAGAAGAAGAGTTTGGATTTGATATCCCGCCTTATCACTACCCAGGGCTGAGAGACTTCAGAGAAGTGTGACTGGCCCAAGGTCACCCAGCAGCTGCATGTGGAGGAGCAGGGAAGCGAACCCGGTTCACCAGATTACGAGTCCACTGCTCTTAACCACTACACCAACTCTTCTAAGCCCACATCCCCAGCCTGTTCACATTCCTGTCTACTCTGGCTTGGTCACGTCCACAGAATGGAAGATGGCAGGGTCCCTGAGGACGTGCTCTACCGGGAGCTGGCTTCAGGCAGAAGGCCCGCTGGCAGACTAACTCTGCACTACGAAGATGTCTGCAAACATGATATGAAGGCTGGCAACACCAACCCAGCCCTGTGGGAATCCCTTGTGGACGATCGCAGTGCCTGGAGACAGTCAGGTTGTGCATCTCTAGCAGTGACCAGAGGAGGAATGACCTCTGGGAGGAGAGCAGAGAGAAGATACTCCCGGGTGTATCTGCAACAGCACAACCGGACGCCTTCCTCTGCCCCAGCTGCAACAAAACATCTCTCTCCTCTATCAGTCTCTACAGTAGGCACTGCAGCCTTCCAAGAGTTTGACTTCAGCCCCAAAGGCACGCTCCTCCAGTAGCTGTAAATAGTCTGGTACACTAACCACTACATCTCACAGCCAGTGAGACCCCCCCCCAACTGCATTATTCCGAAGCATGTAACTTTTCTAACAAACCACATCTAGGTTAACTGCTGGCTGCCTGCCTTGCTTTTAAGAGACCTCCGATATAGATAGGTGCGTCTTTTGAATTTGGTACCCACATCAACTCTTCTGGGTGGGGATAGTTCAGTAACATCAATGCCAGCCGTCATTGGACAGAAGGTGGTCATTCAGCATGTGAAATTGAAGAGGCAACTATTATCTGGCGGTCATTTTATCAGCAGAAGGGAATGGGCAGCGGGGATCCAAAAAGACGAAGAAATAACCTCATGCGTTTTGCAAAGAACTTTTGGAGGTAGGATCTGTGTGGGGCAGTTTAACAGAATGAGTAATAAACCAAAGGGAATTGGTTTCCTCACGGATTCTGAGCTCTGGGAGTGACCAAGAACCAGTACGGTGTAGTGGTTAGAGCAGGGGTAGGCAACCTAAGGCCCGGGGGCCGGATCCAGCCCAATCACCTTCTCAATCCGGCCTGCGGACGGTCCGGTAATCAGCATGTTTTTACATGAGAAGAATGTGCACTTTTATTTAAAATGCATCTCTGGGGTATTTGTGGGGCATAGGAATTCATTCATTTTTTTCCCTTCCAAAATATAGTCCGGCCCCCCACATGGTCTGAGGGATAGTGGACCGGCCCACGGCTGGAAAAGGTTGCTGACCCCTGGGTTAGAGTGTCGGACTAAGACTTTGGAGAGACCAGAGTTCACATTCCTATTTGACCACTTGAAGCCCGCTGGGTGTGACTTTGGGGGCCAGTCGCTGCCTCTCAGCCTGCCCTACCTCACAGGGTTGTTGTGGGGATTAAATGAGGAGGGGGAGAATCGCGCGTGCCATCCTTGGAGAAAAAGACGATGCAGCAAATGAATAAAAATTCTTCCTCTCCTCTCTGCCTCACCTGAAACGACAGAGGCAGCGCTTCTGCCAGGATGCTGAGGACACGGAGGGGTGGGGAGGCAGTTCTTACCTGCTCAGTCGTGTCCCACCTGGAGGCTGGGATGCAGAGCCTCTCTTGACTTCCCCAGGCGTCTGGGGCGAGAGGCCGAGCGGAGCAGCATCCCTCCTGCCCAGAGCCATAAATGATGGATGGTGTCACCTAAGCCGCCTCTTGGGTTTCGCTTCGCACCTGCCGTCATCCTGGCACAGGTGACAAGGCAGAGGGGCAGGTGGAGGGCAGGTGGAGGCCCCTGAAGCCTCTGCAGAAGCGAAATAAGCCGCTTCACAGGATTAGTGGGAGGATAAAAGGGGGGGAGCTATATCTATGAACCTTTGCATGAAGGGTGGCTCAATAATAATAATAATAATAATAATAAAATAATAATAATTATAATTACAATTATAATTATAATAATTTATTATTTGCAACCTGCCCATCTGGCTGGGTTTCCCCAGCCACTCTGGGCAGCTTCCAACAAAGATTAAAAATAAATTAAAATGTCACACATTAAAAACTTCCCTAAACAGGGCTGCCTTCAGATGTCATCTAAATCTCAGGTAGTTGTTCTCCTTTTTGACATCTGAAGGGAGGGTGTTCCACAGGGCAGGTGCCACTACTGAGAAGGCCCTCTGCCTGGTTCCCTCTAGCCTTGCTTCTCGCAATGAGGGAACTGCCAGAAGGCCCTCGGCACTGGACCTCAGTGTCCTGGCTGGAGATGCTCCTTCAGGTATACTGGACTGAGGCAGTTTAGGGCTTTAAAGGTCAACACCAACATTTTGAATTGTGCTCGGAAACGTACTGGGAGCCAGTGTAGGTCTTTCAAGACGGGTGTTATGTGGTCTTGGCGGCCACTCCCAGTCACCAGTCTGGCTGCCACATTCTGGATTAATTGCAGTTTCCGGGTCACCTTCAAAGGTAGCCCCATGTAGGGCGCATTGCAGTAGTCCAAGCGGGAGATAACTAGACCATGCACCACTCTGGCGAGACAGTCTGCGGGCAGAGAAGGTCTCATCCTGCGGACCAGATGGAGCTGGAAGACAGCTGCCCTGGACACAAAATTGACCTGTGCCTCCATGGACTGCTGTGAGTCCAGAATGACTCCCAGGCATGCCAATGCATTCCAGCAATGGAGCAAGCACTTTTTGCATCTATGATCTTGATTAGGAAATTTTCAAAAACCAAAGAGCATAACTGGGAACACGTTGGAACAAATCTCATTTCACCTCGATTGTTTCGGTTCCCTTTGAGAGGGGCCACTTTCTCCCACCCGCAGGTCTGGGTTTGACCTGCTTCCTTTCAGCAGCTCTGAAGCAGAGATTAGCCCAGGCTGTGCATTTAGCCGGAACGCTGCGAGGAAAAGAGAAGCTGAGCCTGTTGAACTTCCGCCCGCCATTCAGCTTGCACCACTATTGTTGCTACAGTGCTCCTTCAGGTTAAGTACTTAATTCGTTCCGGAGGTCTGTACTTGACCTGAAACTGTTCTTAACCTGAAGCACCACTTTAGCTAATGGGGCCTCCTGTTGCCGCCGCGCCGCCAGCGCACGATTTCTGTTCTCATCCTGAGGTAAAGTTCTTAACCCAAAGTACTATTTCTGGGTTCGCGGAGTCTGTAACCTGAAGTGTATGTAACCCGAGGTACCACTGTATTTATTAAATTTGCTGGTGGAATCATTTTGCCCATGCTCAAGAACCACCACCAATGTTGTGGTGGCAAATGCCATCAGTTTGCAGGCTGGCTCACTGTCTCAGATTCCTTAAAAGACCCAGGTTGGCAGTGTAGCGGATAAGAGCGTCAGGCTGGGACCTGGGAGAGATCTGAGTTCAAGTCCCCTTCCTCGGCCATGAAGCCCGATGGGTGAGCTTCAGGCGCCAGTCACTGCCTTCTTTCAGCCTCATTGACCTTACAGAGTTGTCGTAGGGATTGAATCAGGTGTCAGGGAAAGAACAACGTGTGGCACCTCCTTGGAGGAAAAGGTGGGATATAAATGGAATACACAAATAATAAATAAGTAAGAGGAGCTCCGTGGACGAAGAGGTGCTTTACAAACAGCCCCTGCCCAAGAGCTTAACCTGAGAGACACTTATTTGACTTGTAGAATACATGTGCCTCTGAGTATGTGCAGAGTGGCTTTCCCCCACATCACTGAGCTAACCAGAGCCTGCTCCTCCCCTTTCCCTCAACACGTATCTGGGATGAGGCGATGGAGTGTCTTCTTCAGAGAACTTCCTTTCCACTGAGGCCCCGTCCGACTTGAGCTTCCCTCCCGACCAAAAACCAAGGAGGAAGCAAAAAAACCCCCAAGAACTCTGGCCAATATAAGTTTCAGTAGTGGGAGTGGTCCCTACTCACAATTGTAGTCAATTGTAACAAAAACTAATCCATTCAAAAGTATGTATTCTGACAAGGATACAAACTCAAATAGAGATTACAAACTCAAACTCATAAAGATATGTATAACACAATAATTCGTTACAGAATGAGAGATAAGAGTTTATGAGTAGAGATAAGTTCATGTTAGTCCATAGTCAGATTCGACGTGAAGGTCTGAGTTTCACTCACTGAGCAGAAGTCAGAAGTCAGTTATGGAACAGAAACCAGGACAGGACCCTGTTTCGACGTATTCCTCTTCATCAGCTAATTTTTTAAAGGGTCGTGTAAGTTTGAAGACTTTCAGATAAATATATCCTGTTATTTTCTACGTTTCTAAGAGATAACAACTACGTGTGGCCTGAGTTCTTGGTGTGCTTTTTTCTTGGTATATTTAATAACAAGAACTCCAATTTATTTAACGTTAGAAACCAAGAAGGAGCTTTCACAAACAGCCGTATATTTATTGATTCAGGTGTTAAAACAAATGTTTTAGTGGATAAACAAGGCATGAAATGTGAACATGCAGTATAAAATGCTGGATTTCGGGGAAATATTACCCCCCCCAGTAGTCTACTAATTTGAGGTTGGGGAGGGACAAATGTGTTTAGCACTGCCATTTCCACGCAGAGGCAAATTCTAATCCGGATGGAAGTTTGGAGTGGTGGCACCCTAGAGCCGGAAACTGGCTGGCACGAGAGGCCTTTTGGATAGGAAAGGAAGTTGCTTTTGTGCCTGAAACTGAGCATAATTTCTGCTCTTCAGTGCCTCGCCTCTGCCAAGTTGCATCAGCGCAGGCCACCTCTGCGTTTCTGGCGTCCAACAAAGGCCACCTTCCCCAACCCCTCGCCAGTGAATTTTTATCCAATATTAGATACCATATTCTAATATGAAGTGTCAGGCACACCAGAAGCCCGGCTAAATCTAAACGCATTGTCTGGCTTGAATCATAGACGTGCAAAGTTGGAAGGGACCCCACAAGGTCATCCATCCCAGCCCCCTGTGATGCAGCAATTCTGCAGCAGAAGATAAATTGCAGAACCTGGTCGGGAGGGGAGGGGAGGAGGAAACACGGCCGCCTCTTCTTAACACTGCATTTTCCGCACGGCCCTGGTGAACTTCTTCAGCTCCTTCTCCCCCCGCCGCCACCTCCTGACCCAGGAGAGGACGAGCCGGCCAGCTACCCTGTGCCCCATGGCAAGGACCACGGACCCAGGCCCTGCCGCCGTCACTTCCTCGCAGGAGCAGGCCTCTCCGTCGGTCAGCCACAGAACCGGCTTCTTCAGCTCTTCCTCCGACCAGCCGTCCTGCCTGTAAAGGGTGCGCCCCCGGAGGTCAGGGGTCACCTGGAGGTCCCCGTCGATGGCAGATGAAGATTTGATGCTCATTTTTAAGGCTGCGGGAGACAGGGAGACATGGGGGAAAGGGACAGGGTTAATGGGAAGGCTCCTCTGCAAGTTGGGTTCTTTCCCTCCTCGCTCCCTGCCATCAAGGGCTGCCCCTGCAATTCCTGTACCCATAGCTGTCAACTTTTCCCTTTTCTTGCAAGGAATCCTATTTGGAATAAGGGAATTTCCCTTAAAAAAAAGGAAAAAGTTGGCAGCGATGCAGGTACCATTTCCAGTGGCCATTGGCTAGGACCCCCCGACCGCGACCTCCATAGAATCATAGAATCATAGAGTTGGAAGAGACCACAAGAGCCATCGAGTCCAACCCCCTGCCAAGCAGGAAACACCATCAGAGCACTCCTGACATATGGTTGTCAAGCCTCTGCTTAAAGACCTCCAAAGAAGGAGACTCCACCACACTCCTTGGCAGCAAATTCCACTCTTACTGTCAGGAAGTTCTTCCTAATGTTTAGGTGAATCTTCTTTCTTGTAGTTTGGATCCATTGCTCCGTGTCCGCTTCTCTGGAGCAGCAGAAAACAACCTTTCTCCCTCCTCTATGTGACATCCTTTTATATATTTGAACATGGCTATCATATCACCCCTTAACCGCCTCTTCTCCAGGTTAAACATGCCCAGCTCCCCTCCGTATGCCTCTTCACCAGGGCTGGATTTCGGTTTGATGATGCCCTAAGCTCTTGAAGGTAATGGGGCCCTTTATATGTCCAGCTGTCCTTTGTCAACAACAAATAGTGTTGAATAGATGCTATCTGGTAATTTATGGACCCAATAGGTATCTCAAGCCATTTGCACATAACAAAATATGCATTTTATCAAAGTAATTGTTGAACTGAAATACAGTTAAGAAGTACATTAATAGTGAAATAATTAAGCTCTAACTTAAAATGATTTTTTATTCATAACAAACTTAATAATGCAAACACATTGGCATTTGGCGATAACAAATGTTCCTTTAGAAACACAATTTGCAAAGACTCATAACCTAGTCTCTAGAAACTTGCTATAACATGAAATAATGATAGGTGTAAATATATGATGCAAACTACAAATAATGATAAATAGCAGAATGTAGGCACCCTTTATATAGAAATGAGCAAACCAGTGATATTTGAGGGAGCAGGCTAGCAGGCGGGGCCCATGACTTACATCATAGGAGCCTACACAACACAAAACACTGTTGCTGTATGTAGGTTTTATTTTATTTGTTTCTTATCTTATATTTTGGAAAGGTACATCCAGGTTTTCCCCCCTTTACATTTTTGGGGGGCCCCCAAGAGAGTGGGGCCCTAAGCTATAGCTTGTTTAGCTTATACGTAAATCCGGCACTGCTCCTCATAGAATTACAAGGTTGGGAGGGACCCAAAGGTCATCTAGTCCAACCCCCCACAATGCACGAACCACGGCTAATTTGGGGCAGGCAGGCAGGGTTGTAGATGCTGATTACATTCACAACCGTGGCTTGAAACACAGCAATATCATTCCATCCACTGTTGCATTTCAAGCTGCATTTGTACAGAGAGGTGTTTTCTGTTATTTATCAATCAAATTTATATACTACCAGCCCTCTAAATGGCTCTTAGGGGGTGTCCACATTGTGGCTTACCCCGTATCCAGTTTTGTAATTGGTTTGATGGGGGGGGGCATCAAAAAGCAGCACTAGCCAAGAAACTACAAAACCGATATGGATTTTGCTGAACGTCTTGCGAATGTGGCTTCAAAAATTAGATAATAAAAAAATAATAATAATTTTTTATTTATACCCCACCCTTCCCGGTTCAGAAAACCGGGCTCAGGGCGGCTAATAAGGAATTTAAAACACTTAATTGATGCAACAAAAAACAGTGTAAAATACAGTATAAAATGTGATTAACAATAAATTCAGAATTCAAAAATCAATTTAGGGGGGAAATCCATACAATAAGCATTAGATGATCACCAGGGCTAGCTGGCTAAATTAGTCCTATTTGGGCCAGCAAGGAGACCAGGGGAGAATTAGCTGTGGGATCTCAGAGCGGGTAATCTTCACAAAAAGGGGGGGGGGAGGAAGGGGAATAAAAGATGCGGAATAATTGGTAACGGGAGCATATTCCGAGTCAATGCGCCAGTTGAACAACATTCGTGAGTGCAATGAATGAATTGGCCTTCCTTCTTCTCTCCCCAGGCACTTCCCAAACCACTTCTGGGGATCCCCCAGTAATTTGGGGGTTGAAGAAGAAGAGAAGGAAGTGCCATTGCACTTCTGGGCGGTTTTCCATTCACGTGATTTTTTCTCCCCAGACATACAGCACCACTTTTCCCCGGCCAGCACACAGAATGAGAGACTCACCAAAGTCCTGGCTGCAGACATTCTCCAGGAATTCCTTCTCCCCAATCTCAGTATGCAGACAGGCAGCACACACTGTGTCTGGAGGAGCAAAGGAGATATATCCTAAATATACCCAGCTCCTTCAACCGTTCCTCATCAGGCATGTATCCCGGGCGCTTGGTCCATCTTGGTCGCCCTCCTCTGCACACCTTCCAGCTTCTCAACATCCTTCTTCAACTGAGGTGCTCAGAAATGGACGCTGCCTTTCCCAATTGAATGATAGCATACATATGCTGATATCTGTCGGGGCAGGTACCCAATTGACCAGGTCGCACTGACGCACTGACTTATTTTATGCCTTGCGTTTCTGTTTTGTCTATTGCACTTGCTTAAGGAAATAATATGTCCGACCTGCCTCTCCAAGGAGCTCAAGGTGCTGCACGCAGTTCTTTCCCCTCCTCATTTAAAACCCCAACAACTCTGCGAGGTAGACTGGGCTGAGAGAAGCCAGCAAAGGGCGCCCAAGGGAGCTTCATGGCCGAGGGAGGGTGTGTGATGGCCTGGGGCTCGGGCTTGGGCTTGGAACCAGAGGAGACTCAGTCCGCACCTGATCCGCTGCCTCAGGCATCATCTGAACCAAGTCTGGGGCCTGATTTTGAAGAGCCCCAGTCTGCACAGGTTCCCCTGCAACAAGCACCAGCTGGGCCGAGTCCGGGGCCGGAGCCTGCCCTGGCTCCAGATGCGGGGATGACCTCGTTGCCTTCAGCTGGGCCATCACTTACAGCTGCTCCACTACCGGTTGGGTCAGGGGAGGCTGAGGCGGCCTCTGGGTCTAGTAACCCACCGACGTCTCCCAAGCTGCAGAGACTCAGGTCTGAGAGAAGGAGAGACCTGAGTACTCGCAGGAGGAGTGCTCGCCTTCAGGTGAGACAGGGAGGTGAGTCACCGGGGGATCAGGACCGACCGTTACCCCGACAAAGATAAAAGGCTTTCGGACCCTGCCCCAGGTTGTGGGAGCAACATTGCTGTATGCTAGATCCTGCCTGAGATCCTGTGCCTGTCCTTGCCTGTTTTCCTGCCTCGTGTCCTGCCTTGGCCGTGTCGGACTGAGGTCCTGGACCGCGTTTCACGGGTTACCAGCCCAGGGTGCGTGATTCGAACCCATGTCTCCCAAGTCCTTGTCCGACCCTCTGAGGGAAGCAGTGAGTGGGGGGAAGGCAGCTCAGAGGGAAGGGAGAACTGGGCTGCTTGTGCCCCTTGCCCTGGTCCTCCCTGGGGCTTTCGCACCCCGGCCACCCGGCCCGCTCACCTCTCGCCTACCTTCTTTTGGAAGCCGCACCCTGTCGGCCGGGCCGGCAGGCGGGACGCAGAGCTCGTTCCCCCGGGGGAAGCGGCTGCAGTTGAGCATCTCTGGCCAGGGGAAGCCGAAGGCGGCCATGACAGGGGTGCAGCCGTCCCGGACGGCCTCGCAGAGGGAGCGGCAGGGGAAGATGGGCTCGTCCAGCTCGCTGATGCAGACGGGGGCGAAGAGAGAGCAGAGGAACTTCTTGGTGTCTCGGTGGCACTGCTTGGTGAGGAGGGGCACCCAGGAGGCGGCCTGTTGCAGCGCCTCCTTCATGGTCTCGTGGCCCAGGAGGTTGGGCAAGCGCATCTCGCTGTAGCCCACGCCGTGGCACAGGCTCATGCTGCTGGGCACGGGCTTGCAGCTGCTGCGACGGCTGCTCTGCTGGGCCAGCTGGTAGGCGAAGGAGGGCGAGGAGGAGCAGGAGGAGGGGAAGGAGCAGCTCCAGGCGGCCAGGAGGAGAGCAAGCGGGATCGGGACCTCCATCAGGAGCCTGGAGGGGAAAGAGAGAACGACAGTGGTACCTTGGTTCTCAAACGCCTTGGTACTCAAACACCGAAAACCAGGAAGGAAGTGCTCCCTCCACCACAAAAGAACAGATAATAAAACAAATCACCTCGCATATAAAATAAAATTCTTCCATATATCGGGACTTCTGTCATCCTCGATAGGGGTCCGTCATTACCTTGTTGACTGCATAATTGCATTTTTTAAACTTATTGTCAATTGTCCACATTCTTGGTAGAATATATCATTGGAGAAGTTGTTCAAAACATGTCAAAGATTTTATCTGAGAACAATGTTCTTTTAAATATAATTGGAATCATTCTTTGTTAAATTATTGGTTTGACTGATTCCTAATTTTCCCTGTCATCTTTGCCAAGTCTACGTATTCAAATAACTTTGCCTGCAATTCCAATTTAGTTGGTATTTTATCTCCCTTCCACCATCTGGCTATTAACATTCTCGCAGCAGCAGTTGCGTACATAAATACCTTTCTTAATTCTTTCGCTATATCTGCAGCAATAATACCTAACGTGAAGGCTCCCAGCTTTTTGATTTGAACGTTTTTGAAAGCTCATTAGAGATGATTTCCCAAAAGTTTTTTTAAATCTTTATGACATTTCTACCACATGTGATACATTGTTCCCTCTGATTCTTTACATCTCCAGCAAAGATTTGAGCTGGTTTTATACGTTTTCGCCAGTTTGCTTGGTGTAACGTACCGTCGGTAGAACATCTTCATAGAATTTTCTTTTAAAATATAGCAAGCCATAAACTTTAAGTCAGTTCTCCAAAGCTTTTCCCAAGAGGCCATTCATAATAATTAGTATTATGAGATGATTACACCTGCCGTTATCTATTAAACGGCTCTGAGGGTGTGATCGAAGCAGGGATGGGATAGAGGTTTGGGGGCTAAGCAAGGAGGAGCAGGGTTGTGGAAAGTAAACTTGAAATTTACAGACTGCATATTATTGAGAGAGAATTAAATGAAAATGATGTATAGATGGTATATATCACCAGTTAATTGGCAAAAATGTATAAATAAGAAAGAGTGTTGGAGGTGCGAAGCAGAAGGTACGTTTTATCATATGTGGTGGGATTGCAAAAAGGTAAAAGCTTATTGGGAAATGATATATAATGAGTTGAAGAAAATGTTGAAAATAACATTTGTAAAAAAAACCAGAAGCCTTTCTACTAGGTATCTTAGGCCAAGATATACTGAAAGAAAAGAGGACTTTATTTATGTATGCCACTACAGCTGCGAGAATGTTGATTGCACAAAACTGGAAGACTGGAGAAATACCAACTAAAGAACAATGGCAAGAGAAGTTGATGAACTATGCAGAACTGGCAAAAATGGCAGACAGACTAAGAGAAAAAGGCAACAGAGACTTTGAAAAAGAATGGGAACCATTTATATTATACTTGCAGAAACAAAGAAAGTCTATAGACTTGATGGCAGGATTTAAATAAACTTTCACATCATTAGTCTTAGAAAATGTGTAGAAGATAGAGAAATAATATGGTGTACTTATTTTCATCTTTATGTTTTTAGGTTAGATGTTATTGTATAAATATGTTATTAGTATTATTTTCTTTTAGGAGGGAGCAAAGTGGGTGAAAGGAGAAACAAACCAGAAACGGAAGTTGGGGGAAGCCCAGGAGGGGAGGGAGGAAGGAATGCATAGTAAATGTTATGAATATGAGATGTATGTAATGAATGAAAATGAAAAATGAATATTTTTTTTAAAAAAAGCAAGGAGGAGCAGGGAAGGAGCGTTGGTGCAACTGTCACCAACCCACATCTGAAGACGCCTGATTAGGTTTTCACATAGGCAAATATAGCCAGGTCTCTGCTGCCATGGAGCTTACAGAAAAGGGCTTGGGTTCAAGAAGCAGGGGACAACTGGCGTCTGTGTGCTATTCTAGGCATGGGGTGCAGGGAGAAAGAAGGAACAGGAAGGAGACAAAGAGGGTTCAGCAAAGCAGGGGAGTGGAGTCAGGCAGAAATCCCACTGGGAGAGGACAATGTGCTACTAGAAGGCGGGGAGAGTTAAATATTTGGCATACAGTGGATATTTCAGGCATTGTTTTCCAGGCTTGTTACCTTTTCTTCCTTCCTCTGGCCCAGGCTTCCTCAAACTCGACCCTCCAGATGTTTTGAGACTACAATTCCCATCATCCCTGACCACTGGTCCTGCTAGCTGGGGGTCATGGGAGTTGTAGGCCAAAAACATCTGGAGGGCGAAGGTTGAGGAAGCCTGCTCTGGCCAGTTGGTTAGAGCCTGGTGCTGATAACGCCAAAGGTTGCAGGTTCGATCCCCATATGGGACAGCTGCATATTCCTGCATTGCTGAGGGGTGGACTGGATGATCCTCAGGGTCCCCTTCCAACTCTGAAATTCTATGTGTTGCCCCATAAGAGAACCATAACATATGGTTCCCTTAGCCCAACATTCCTAATAATAATAATAATAATAATAATAATAATTTGTATCCCGCCCTCCCCTGACAAAGCTGGGCTCAGAGCGGCTAACATCATATAAAAACGCAATATACATAAAAACAATTGATTAAAATTGCACCCCAAAATTATTTAAAATAAATTAAAATTAAAATTAGACTGGACAAATGGCCATCCTCAAGTTTAAATTGAAAGCGGTTAATATTCGCCAGGACCAACTATTTCCACTGATATTGTAAGGACCTGTGAGCGGGCTGGGAAACCTCCTTCGTACTTGTTCATACAGGCAGAAAATGAGTCAGACTGAACCCTGGCCAAAGGCCTGACAGAACAGTTCTGTCTTGCAGGCCCTGCGGAAAGATGTCAAATCTTGCGGGGCCCTGGTCTCTGGTGAGAGAGCGTTCCACCAGGCCGGGGCCACGACTGATAAGGCCCCGGCTCCGGTCAAGGCCAGTCTAATCTCCCTGGGCATCGGGATCTTCAGGGTGTTGTTATTTGTAGACCGTAAGGTACTCTGTGGGGCATACCAGGAGAGGCGGTCCCGTAGGTACGAGGGTCCTAGGCCGTATAGGGCTTTAAAGGTTAAAACCAGCACCTTAAACCTGACCCTGTACTCCACCGGGAGCCAGTGTAGCTGGTATAGCACTGGGTGAATGTGATCCTGCAGCAAAGACCCCGTAAGGAGTCTCGCTGCGACATTCGGCACCCGCTGGAGTTTCTGGGTCAGTTTCAAGGGCAGCCCTGCGTAGAGCGAGTTACAATAGTCAAGCCTGGAGGTGACCGTCGCATGGATCACTGTGGCCAGGTCAGGGCGGGAAAGGTAAGGGAGCAACTGCTTAGCTTGGCGGAGATGGGAAAATGCCCCCTTTGTATAGCTGCAATCTGCGCCTCCATGGAAAGGGAGGTGTCGAAGATTACACCCAAACTCTTGACGGAAGGCGCTGGCACTAATTGCGCCCCCACAAAAGATGGGACGTCGGTCCATTTGGCTCCGAATTGCCCACCAAGCCTGGCAGTGTGTCCCCCAGGGCTTTGTGGAGAGGGAGCATTCCCAGCCCTACCTGGAGATGCGTGGGGTGGGTTGGGGTGCGAACCTGCCTCCTCCTTCTGCAAGCCAAGCAGCTGCCCTGCCTCTGAGCAACAAACTCCTTTTCTGCAGCTCCGCAATTTGCGCCTGGTTCCACGCTCGCAAGCTTCCCCCCAGTCTGGGGTTCTGCTTCAGCCCTTTGCCCTCCGTCTGACTTTCACCCCCTTTTAGAAAACCCTCCTCAAGTTAAGGTTTTACCTGGCTGGGTCTGGCTAGGCAGGAAGCCCTTCTGAAGCCAGGATGTTTTCAGGTCCTCTGGAGAGGCGAGGCTGCAGCAGCAGCAGCCAGGGATGCGTTTGGTCTTGAATGAGCAAGACGGGGAAATTTAACTGCAGGGAATCCGGTGGGGCTCACAAAAGGGCTGTAAAAGGCGGAGGGGGGGGGGACCAATACCACCCTGTAATTATACCTTAGTTCTCTCTCCAGAACAATAAACTGGAGGCTCTTTGTTCCCCCCACCCACCCAAACTGAGGTCCCCCTCCTTCTCCTCCTAGTTTTGGCTAAGGCACATATGCCATGCTAAATGGTTTCTGCCTTGGAAAGCAAAAAAAACAACAACCCACTTCAGAGCAAAAGCCACTATCTCTCCCAGCCATCAGGGGGAAAAGAGGTTGAAAACTTCAAGAGAAGAGAGGGAGGGAGACCCCAAACAGCAATGCATTTCCTTAAAAGCCTAGATAAGGAGGAATTCGCTTCTCAAAAGCTGCCTCCTCTTGCCCCCGAGCACATTTAGTCTGCATACTTAGTCTGACATGTATCCCACTTCAGTGGGGCTTCCTCCCGGTTGAGCACGTCTAAGACCTCCGCCTTACAATCACTGTTTTTTCCTCTTTTCTCTTGCCAAGGTGAAGAAGTCAATTAGTGAAATCTACCCTGAGGGAAGTCCAACATCTGCATGAATAACAGCCAGGCCCAGAAGGGCTCCAAAAGGAGCTCTCTGTTGGAGGTGGTCAAATGGCAAATGCAATTCAGTGCAAACAAGTTTAAAATGATGTGCATCGGTGCAATATATATATATATACATACATACATATATATATATATTCCTAATTTCACATATTGACTCACGGGGCCTGAACTGGTGGTGATGGACCAGGAACAGGAGCCCGGGTTCACAGCAGAGAGCTCAGTGAAAATGTCAACCCAGTGAAACAGGCAAATCCCATGTTAGAGATAATTAGGAAAGACAATTAAAACTGCCGATATCACAGTGCCATTATGCGAGTCTATTGTGTGACTGCATTTTGAGTGCTGTGTACAGTTCTGGTTGCTTTGCCTCTAAAATATTATTGTAGAGTTGGAAAAGGTTCAGAAAGCAGTGACCAAAATGATTATCAGGATAGAGGGACTCTCCTGTGAAAAGAAGTCTGCTTTGAGACTTTGTAGTTTAGAGGAAAGGTGAGCGTGAGACAACATGGCAAAGGTTTATGC